CCCTGACTGCTCTTTAGAAGGCCAGATCCTGAAGATGGAACTCAAATCCTTTGGCCACCTGATGAGAAGGAAGGAGAAGAGACGAATGCTGGGAACGATGGAGGGCAAAAGAAGAAGGGGACGGCAGAGAACGAGGTGGCTGGATGGAGTCACCGAAGCAGTCGGCGTGAGCTTAAATGGACTCCAGAGGATGGTAGAGGACAGGAAGGCCTGGAGGAACGTTGTCCATGGGGTCGCGATGGGTCGGACACGACTTCGCAACTAACAACTACAACAAAGGCAATGGAATAGCTTGCCTCCCAGAATGGCGAGTGCTTCGTCGCTGGAGGTTTTCAAAAACAGACTGGACAATGGCTTGACTGGGATGGTATAAGGCTCTTTTATTTGAGCAGGAGGTCGGATTGTGATTCTATGTTCACAAACCCGGCTGAAAGCAGCATTTGCAAACGGTGCGTGGTGAGCTCTCCAGGGTCCTGAAATGGCCCCAACCTAAACCTCTTGGGACTTTGTCTGTTCTGTGGCTGGCCTTGCATAAGGCGTTTACCCTGGCTATTGAATGGGCCCATTTTCTGCGTTCAAAGGACACATGGACCTCCAGACTAAGCAAATGGGCTGGCTTCAGGCAAAATATTAAGAAGCTTCCTCCTCCTCCTCCTCCTCTCTCCCCAAAGTCATCACATTTAGCGTAATGTACCAATGCAACCAAATTGTACGAGTGCAGCATTAGCTTTTTTGATGTCTTCAGGATGACCAGGAGAAGAATGGGAACGACCACAGCTGGGAAGTTACATGGATACATGCCAGGTGTTTTACTGGGAACAAGGCAGAGGTGGTTTGCCACTCTCTTCATTTAGGATGTTTTTTTTTCCAAATTTGCAGTCCAGGAAGTTACAACATCCGGGCAGTTGAGTGGAGCCGTGCGCTGCCTCCGCTACCGGTTCTCCGAACCACGCACCGCCGCCCCTACCGATTTGGCCGAACCGGTCTGAACCAGTAGCATTTCACCCCTGATACAGGGCTCTGGAATGTCCCGAAACACCAAGGACCACCCAATATCCCTAAATAACCTCCATATGTGCTAAGAACATCTTGATACCTTATCTAATGTTTGCCAGACTTTCTGGGTGATTCCTGTACCTCTTGTATGCCAGCTCAGCTGGGTGGAGTGTAAGAAAAGTATAAATATATGAATCTCCGTGTGTTCGGGGCTTCCACTCTTTTAGTGGGCCCCGTCTTTATTCAGCTGAATAAATGTGTAATCTAAAAGGCAGCCATACCTCAAATCCAGCACAACATATCCCTCACAGAGTTGCTGTGCGGATGCAAAAAGACCCTAAAAGTGACTTTTTTTTCCTCAAAGAACACCGAAGGACAAGCATGCTTCCATTAAAGGGAATAAAAAAGCAGAGCACAGTTTTCCAAGTTTGTGATAGTACTGTATATAGCTGTATATATAGCACCACTGTTTACAGATATATGTTCTTTCCTCCTTTCAGCGTTTCCAAGGTGACAACTACTCAAATAAGCTAAAAATTTCTATCCCTGGCAGAAAGGAGGGGGTGTAATAAAGATCCAACCAGTATTTTATTTTTTTTTGTCTGTGTTCCTCTAGGGTGAGTTCTCGTCAACGGGAGGTTGACCTCTTTTGCTCTTAACCAGAATAGGCCAGCGATCATGACATTCCTCGTGAAAACTTGAGACCTGAAATGAAAAAGAGAGGAGCAGAGCAGGTCCTTCAAATGAAACAACAATAAAGCTTGATTAACACTTTTTCAGGCAATTCTACTTAAGGCGTCGCAAAGCGATCTACAAGTTCCCACTCACAGATCCCAGATTTAAAATATATTGGGAAGGGAGGAAAAGACGTCATTTGTCGTAGGCCCACCCTTGTATCAATTTTTCCTCCTTTCTCTCCTCCAGGAGGTGATTTATTTTGGCCTTGTGCAGATTAAGCCCACTTTGTTGACTCATGGTTATCATCTTCTTTTTTTTAATGACCCCCATAAATCCCTCGCGGGGTGGAGTCTGGGCAACTGAATGGAGCTGAGCGTTTACTGGCCGGATGCCTTTCCTGTCACCGATGCGGAGTTATATTCAGCAGAATACAGTATATTCTCATCGTGCCCAGAGAGAGAAATATCTGCCTCTACCTAGGATCGAACTCACAGCCTCCTGATTGTGAGGCGAGAGCTCCGCCTCTAGGCCACCGCACCGCTCTGAGTCATGGTTATCATATAAACCAGAATTGGCTGAGCCCACCTAGATTAAGCCTAAAGCAAACAAAGCACGTTCTGGTTTAGCACCCTAATCAATTGTTATTAATAGCAAGAAATCAGATTTCGTACCATTGGACATTGTCAGTTTTAAACCATGGTTTATGGCTTTGTGTCTTATGCAATTCCAGCCAGCGGTGCTTTACTTGATTGTTTACGCCAGGGGTCAGCAACTTGCGGCTCCGGAGCCGCATGCGGCTCGTTGGGCCCTCTGCTGTGGCTCCCTGTCAGCTGATCCCACCACTGGCTGGCCCCACCCCTCGCCCTCCCCTCCCAGTCACTCCTTGCCTGGCCTGAAAATGTAAGGGTGACTGTGGGGGATGGAGAAGCAGCCAGGGCAGAGACAGAGAGATACAGAGAGAGAGGGAGGGAGAGAGAGAGAGACAGAGAGAGATACAGAGAGAGAGGAAGGGAGAGAGGGAGGGGAGAGAGAGATGTCAAAAGGATTTTGTGGTTCCCAGTGTTTTTTAACAACTGGTTCTCTGCTCTAATGACCGGCTGGGTAGGCGTGCCTAGGGGGGGGTGTCATGTGACTGGTAGAAGTGAGTGACATCAAGTTGGCCACGCCCACCCAGGTTTTGTGACTCCCGGTGTTTTCTTTTCTGTGGGAAACGGGTCTAAATGGCTCTTTGAGTATTTAAGATTGCAGACTCCTGGTTTACCCAAACTATGGTTTAGCAGGATCTGCAGACACAATCTAAGAAAAACAGCTCACTTTAGATCTCGGGATTAACTCTCTCCTAGCACTGCTTAGAAGCTTGTAACGGGAATTCTTGCTCTTTTTCCTCCGGCTAAGCCTTTACGTAACGTTTCTTTTATGCAATGCTTACCTCCTCCACAGAACAGAAACCCATCCTTACAACGTTCCAATTATTTCAATTATTCCCACCCCACACACACGCACCTCCCAGGAATCCTTTCAATAGCTGCTTTGCTCTCAGCACACCTGGGAAAACTGCGATCCTTCTAACCAGAGATCTGTCGGCTTTTGTAAGGTTTCCCCATCTTTGAAGGTCGCCGGCCTGTTTTTCCCCACCTTTTTCTTGCTTTTCCAAAGTCTGTTTTCTCTCCCAAGCCCCCTCTCTCTTTTCCACAGCTGGTTGCAATATGCGCGAGGGGCAGGTTGCGCGAGGGGCATGCGTGAAATCCAGCAGGTTCTGACAGGTTCTGGAGAACCGGTAGCGGAAATTTTGAGCAGTTCGGAGAACCGGCAAATACCACCTCTGGCTGGCCCCAGAGTGGGGTGAGAATGGAGATTTTGCAATATCGTTCCCCCAGGAGTGGGGTGGGAATGGAGATTTTGCAGTATCCTGCAAAAACCAGGAAGTAACGATGACCAGGCGGGTGGGCGGAGCCTCGAACTGCCATCACTACCGGTTCTCCAAACCACCGGCCATCATCGCTACCAGTTCGGTCGAACCGGGCCGAACCAGGAGCATTTCACCCCGGACGCAGCACAAGAAAAGTAAAATAAAATTGAATATCAGCTCAGTTGCGGAATTAGCTCCAGGAGCATTCGCAAGGACAAGCCTTGCCTTTTGACAATCTTAGTATGCCTAGGAAAATGTTTTAGCATCACACATTGCGAAACATCTTTTATTTGAGCCAAACAAACCGAGTGTGAAACGCAGCAGGGGCAGGCGAGTGGGCTTTCAGCCTGGAGCTAATGTGTTCAGAATTATATCGCTTACTCTAAAAATGTTTACAGATATGTTTTAAAACGTTCCCTGCCTTATATCGGTATGGCAATCACCACAAGAAAGGTAATTTGCTATTAATGTTGCACACACCCAAGAGTGGGTGTCGGTGATGTAGCTAGAGCAGGGGTCTGCAACCTTAAATACTCAAAGAGCCATTTAGACCCATTTCCCACACAAAAGAAAACACCGGGAGCCACAAAACCTGGGTGGGCGTGGCCAACTCGATGTCACTCACTTCTACCAGTCACATGATCCCCTAGTCACGCCTACCCAGCCGGTCATTAGAGCAGAGAACCAGTTGTTAGAAAACACCGGGAACCACAAAATCCTTTTGACATCTCTCTCTCCCCCCTCCCTCTCTCCCCTCTCTCTGTATCTCTCTATGTCTCTCTCTCCCCCTCTCTCTTTATCTCTCTGTCTCTCTCTCCTTCTCTCCCCCCTCTCTCCCTCTCTCTCTGTATCTCTCTCTCCCTCTCTCTCTGTATCGTCTCTGCCCTAGCCGCTTCTCCATCCCCCACCGTTGCCCTTACCTTCTCAGGCCAGGCGAGGAGTGACTGGGAGGGGAGGGCGAGGGGTGGGGCCCGCCAGTGGTGGGATCAGGTGACAGGAAGCCACAGCAAATGGCCCAAAGAGCCTCATGCGGCTCCGGAGCTGCAGGTTGCTGACCCCTGAGCTAGAGTTACATTTCTAGACCCTTATCTCGATGGTGGGCTGCAACCCGTTTCACAATGGTGAACGTGCACTTTGCGCGCGCACGAGCCTAACGCTCTTGCGCCCAGCAATTTGAAGCTCAGCTGCTTACCTTCTAAGGCAGCCCCGCTAAGTAGAGCAGCGGATGCGTGGAAAACAGCTGTGCGCGCGAATCAGCTGAGCCAGAAAGAAGGGAAATGTAGGACAGGATAGAGCAGGGGCGGGAGGGCGGGGCCAACTGATCATCGGAACTACCGGTTCACCCGAACCGGTCCAAGCCGGCAGCGGCCGACCACTGCCTTATCTCACACTAAAATGTGAATCTCTTGATCCGTAGGGCAACTGAACAGAGAGCTAGGTGAATAGAAAAAGCATCGCACCAAGTAATTAGAACATGAACATTTATCCTGGAGCCCATGAAAGGACCGGAAAATTAGGTTTCCCTTGCTGATTTTCAGGTATGTGCAGGTGCGTTGACCATGTGGGAAGAATTAAAGCAATTGCGTTACTCTTGGTTTTTGGCACAACGCTTGAAGAAGGGCGGAGCGTTCTTTTTAACCCCAAGTTTACTCATCCTCTTTCACAAGGAATGTCAGCGGAGATTCTCCACTGTCGTTCAGGTCATAGTTGTCCCAAACTATGTAGTCCCAACTGAGCCTTTCGCTTCTCATCCAACTTCTGGAAGTTCTTCAATTCCACATCCATCATTCAATTCCTCCCCGTGCCCCGCCCCCGCGCATGCACACGCCACCCCCTCGCGCGACTCCCGCTTTTGGCACACGACAGGAAAAAGGTTACTGGTGGATCTGGTTTTTTGCCCTCCCCAGGCTCCAGAGGCTTTTTTGGAGCCTGGGGAGGGTGAAAACAGCCTTCCCCATCGCCTGGAGGCCTTCCGGAGGCCGGAAACAGCCCGTTTCCCAACTTCCGGTGGACCCGGAAGGCCCGAAAACCAGCTGGCTGGTGCACACATACATGCTGGAGCTGAGCTAGGCCAACGCTCTTTAGAACGCTCTGCCCACAGATACGGCGGTGCGTGCCACCTGTGGCACGCATGTCACAGGTTCGCCATCACGGCTATATACGAAGGGAATAAAATAGCTCGCTAAATTCAGTCGAACGGCAGGGGAAAAATGTTTCTGCCCCATGCTTGTGTGGGCGGAGGTGTAGGGAGTGTGAAATCCAACTTCAAAGCAGCACAAAAGAGCTGTCATTCAAATGAAACACAAGAATTAATTTTTTAGAGGAGCCGCCAGCTCTAAAAATAAAAATAAAAAAAAAGGGGGGGGAGTTTTAGAGGCAGCCAAAAGGAACAGCTCAGAGAATTAGAGCAACTGGAGTCCTCTAAATAAGAATTTATCTGAATGTTTTGAACTGGGCATTTTTTTTTTTTTAAGTAATTGGCAGCCGGTTCCTTGCCAGCCGGTTGGCAGACTAATTAAAAATGTCTTCGTACTGTTGAGAAAATTACTAGTGACCAGTTATTTGCTTATCCCCGCCGTACCGTACAGATTTCGTTCTCCTCAAAATATTCCGGCTTGGGCACAATTCAAATCACGTTGCTGCCAATCAAAAAAGAGCCTTAGAATTAGGAAAACGAAAGACTTTGCGCTAACGCTCAAGAGCAAATGAAAAAAAAAAAAACGGGACCTTCCATTTGCTTTGGACTACCACTCCCATACTCCTCGGTCACTGGTCACTCTGGCTGCTGCCGATGGGAGCAGAGGTCCAAAACGTCCATGCAGCACAGGTAGTCCTTGACTTAGGACCACCATTGAGCCCCAGATTTCTGTTGCTAAGCGAGACATTTGTGGAGCGAGCGTCGCCCCGTTTCGCGACCGTTGCTAAGCAGATCACTGGCGTTATTAAGTCAGTAACTGCTATTTTTAAATTTGTCTTATAAATTGGGGTGTTTTAAATTTGTTTTGGGCCAAAGTATTTAATGTATTTTAAATGGTTTTTTAACGTTTGTATTATGTGTATTTTATCTTTTGGCTGTTCACCGCCCTGAGTCCTTCGGGAGTAGGGCGGTATATAAATGTAATTTAATAATAATAATAATAATAATAATATAATAATAATAATAATAATAATAATAAACCACCTTACTCAAAACAGCTTACATCCTCCGACGATACCTTAACAGTTCCTAGGTCCTTGGTTAGGACTCCAGCTGCTGAGTTATTAACCAGCCTCAAAGGCTGTGAATCTCACTAAAGATTAACTAATAATAATAATAATAATAATAATAATAATAAATAATAATAATAATAATTATAATACATCCTCCGACGATACCTTAACAGTTCCTAGGTCCTTGGTTAGGACTCCAGCTGCTGAGTTATTAACCAGCCTCAAAGGCTGTGAATCTCACTAAAGATTAACTAATAATAATAATAATAATAATAATAATAATAATTATAATTATAATACATCCTCCGACGATACCTTAACAGTTCCTAGGTCCTTGGTTAGGACTCCAGCTGCTGAGTTATTAACCAGCCTCAAAGGCTGTGAATCTCACTAAAGATTAACTAATAATAATAATTATTATTATTATTAATAATAATAATAATAATTATAATACCTCCTCTGACGATACCTTAACAGTTCCTAGGTCCTTGGTTAGGACTCCAGCTGCTGAGCTATTAACCAGCCTCAAAGGCTGTGAATCTCACTAAAGATTAACTAATAATAATAATAATAATAATAATAATAATAATAATAAATAATAATAATAATATTATAATACATCCTCCGACGATACCTTAACAGTTCCTAGGTCCTTGGTTAGGACTCCAGCTGCTGAGTTATTAACCAGCCTCAAAGGCTGTGAATCTCACTAAAGATTAACTAATAATAATAATAATAATAATAATAATAATAATTATAATTATAATACATCCTCCGACGATACCTTAACAGTTCCTAGGTCCTTGGTTAGGACTCCAGCTGCTGAGTTATTAACCAGCCTCAAAGGCTGTGAATCTCACTAAAGATTAACTAATAATAATAATTATTATTATTATTAATAATAATAATAATTATAATACCTCCTCTGACGATACCTTAACAGTTCCTAGGTCCTTGGTTAGGACTCCAGCTGCTGAGCTATTAACCAGCCTCAAAGGCTGTGAATCTCACTAAAGATTAACTAATAATAATAATAATAATAATTATTATTATTATTATTAATAATAATAATAATTATAATACATCCTCCGATGATACCTTAACAGTTCCTAGGTCCTTGGTTAGGACTCCAGCTGCTGAGCTATTAACCAGCCTCAAAGGCTGTGAATCTCACTAAAGATTAACTAATAATAATAATAATTATTATTATTATTAATAATAATAATAATAATTATAATACATCCTCCGACGATACCTTAACAGTTCCTAGGTCCTTGGTTAGGACTCGAGCTGCTAAGCTATTAACAGCCTCAAAGGCTGTGAATCTCACTAAAGATTAACCAATAATAATAATAACAACAACAACAACACAGTTGTTTTCCACAATTTTGGCCACTGCTGTATATTCTCTCTTCTATCCTGCAATTGCAATGCTGCTTTTCTTTGGGAAAACGAGCCAAAAACCCAACTGGCTTTGCCAAAGAAAGCAACGCGGCTCCTTTAAGAGTTTACCTGGCCCGGTGCAGGGAGGGGGTGGGCGGGGCGGAGAATCAGAGCGGCCGCCTTCTTCTCTTGAGCCACTCCCCCCACCCACCGCTTGGAACGTACCACCCGCTCCTTAGAAGAGGGGGAATCCAAAACTCGCCCACCCACCCCCCTCATCCCGGGACATCCAAACTGCGCAAACAAAACGATTTTTAATCTGCAGACTTCAAAGAGGGCGGGATGGGGGGGGAAGAGGAGAAAAATAATTATTTTTTCCTCCTTTCTAAAAAGCTGGAGTGTCTTTCCCCCCCCCTTTCCTTTCCATTTGGTTGCCTCCGTTGCCTTAGAAGCTTTCCCAAACGGACAGCTGGACTGGAGAGACGGTGATTAAAACAATTTTTAAGTTTTGCTCCAAGACTTCACAAATTGATATATATATAAATATATATTTATATATACCGTAAGGTGGAAGGGAGAGGGGTGAATGTATCCTCCTAAAGTTTGCATTATAACAATAAAGGTTATTTTTTTTAAAAAAAAAAACCTTGGGTTGTTGATGTTATCCATTAACAGTAACAGGAAAGGGTCCCTGGAGGTCATTTAGTCCAACCCCCTTTTCTGCTCACGCAGGAGATCTGTACTAGGGATTCGAACCCACAAACTGCCTGCCTTTCTGATCGACAAGCTCAAGGGTCTTAGCGCCTGACTAGGTTGGAGTCACCTGGTTGGGGGTGGGAGTGTCAATTGATGCCTTGGAAAATCTACCTGGCTATAAAAAAAAAAAAAAACCCAATTAAAAAGCGTTGTAACGTCTAATATTGCTTGGGTGGGTTGGACTAGATGACCTACAAGGTCCCTTCCCAACTTGGTTCGCCGGACTCTGTATCTGTAATACTGTCTGAGACAGATTTTTAAGAAATGTCTTTTAAGAACAGGAATAATAAGTTTAATTGGGAGCGCAGGGATTTCTACTCCCAACTCTTAAGAGTAAAAAAAAAAGACAATGAAAGACTTAATAAGGCTTCTCGCTGATCAGGAAGGAAACCTTTCATGTTTTTCTGTTTCAGCTTATTAATATTATTTTGTAACTAAAGGACCTTTGAGAAGAGGAGAGCTCCCCATCCCCAGATTAGCAAGATGGAATTCCATAATATTTTCGAAGAAGAACTTTCGCCTGATTTATATCCCATCGTAGAGGGAAGCAAGGAAGAAGAAACATATATATTTGAAGAGCAAGACATGGAAGGTTGGAATAATTGTTTATCTATCTGCCTGTCTGTCTGTCTACTATCTATCTATCATCTATCTATGAGCTATCGACTAATATCTATCTATCATCTATTGACTAATAATTAAAAAAAAACATTTCTGCTTTCTGTCTAGGTGGTGAAGAAGGTGAGGAAGCCCCCCCAGCCGAAGAGGTTTCTTTGGAAGAAACTGAAGAGACTACGGATATTAGCAAGTGAGTCCTCGACTTACAACAGGGTTCAAAGTTACAACTGCACTGAAAAAAAGTGTGTTTTTACAGCTGTTTTTCACGCTTACGACCATCGCGACATCCCCCATTGGTCCCTGGATCAAAATCCAGGCGCTTGGCAACTGACTCGTACTTATGACGGCTTCAACGTCACGTGTTCCCTTTTTGCGACCTTCTGACAAGCAACGTCAACAGGGAAGCCGGATTCACTTAACAGCCAGGTCACTAACTTAACACCTGCAGTGTTTCAGCTTAACAACGTGTTGAACGGAAGGTCGTAAAAATGGGACAAAACTCAGGTAGCAAATGTCTCGCTCAGCCACAGAAATTTTGACCTCAATTGTGATCGTAAGTCGAGAACTACCTGTATATCTTTACTCTAAACCACTCAATTTATTTAAATAAAACATAAAATAAATATATCTAATGAGGTTGTTGTTGTTTTTAAAAAAAGAAAATTCCAAAGCAAAATTTGGAAACGTTGCTTCTTTAAAGCCGGGCGAAATTCTAGGACTTCATACAAACTCCCCCTCTCCCTCTCTTCCCCCTTGTGGGAGAAACACGATGGAGCTGGGCTGGGGGGTGCCCATAGAGGGCACTCCAAATGCCACATCTGGCCCGCGTGCCAGAGGTTCACCACCACTGGCTTATGCACATTCCTCAATGCGTTTCTTTAATTTCTAGGCTGCCCTTCTCCGTCTCAGGCTGTTCCTTGATGTCGATAACATACTTTTTTAACCAACAGGAAAAGTTCAGAAGGATTCCCGGTGCCGAGTCGAAGACGGACCATGAACTACTCAGACCGAGTTCGTGTCCTCAACTTGCGTCGAAACCTGAACCAACTTGACAGTCTCACCAAAGAGAAAGAGCTGCTCATTCAAAAAACAAGGTCAGGTGGTGTGTTTTTTTTTCCTCCCACCGTTGTCTTCCTTTTTCTCCCATGCCCCTAGCTCAGAAAATTTATTCCGGCTCCATTTGGAAGATGAGGAAAATGCTAACAAGGAAATAACTCCATTAACTTTAATTACCAAACAATCCAAAAGATGTCGAAAGCATCAAATCAAAATCAGGACATTGATTCCTTTACAGGCCTCGGCTTACGACCACAACTGAGTCTGGAATTTTGGTCGTAAGTCGTCGTGGTTGTAAGTCGTGACAACATGCGACTGGACTCAATTTTACAACTGTACGACAGCTGCTCTGAGAGTTGCTGAGGTCCTTAAACAAACCTGACTTGGCACAGAAAGAACATTCTTTGTTGTGCTTTTTTGATGATGTTATTTATTTATTTATTTATTTATTAAATTTATATATGATGTTATTGATGTTAGCTGTCCATTTTAGGTCTTGAGATATGATAGTACCTAGAAATGTGAAGGTCTCTATTGTTGATACTGTGTTGTCTAGTATTGTAAGAGTATTATCCAGTATTGTATAGCTGAACTAGTTGTCAGCACTTCAACCTGCATTTACTCTAGTGCTGACATAAGGAGGAGAAGAGGGGGCAGCTGGCAAGAGGACACTGGACTTTTCACCTACTTATTTTCCCTGAAGATAATATCCCCTAGGAGATGAGATGGGAGGGGAGACATTCCTGGGAGCTGAAGTAGTAGATATGGGGAGAGTGATTTGGAAGATGGCCAATGAGACGCAGAGAATTGGGGAACAGAAAGGGAAGGTTTGGGGTCAGGAAGTCAGTGTTGGCTACGATATAATCGGGGACAGATTGTCGTGCTTAATAAATGAAAGATTTCATCAAAGACTATTTGTTTGGAAATGCAATTTATTTTGAGACAACACTGAAACCTGACACTAGTCCTCATGCTCCTTTACTTGGGAGCCAGCAGATCTAAAGGATGGCCTGAGAAACGTTCACACTACAAGGGAGATTAGAACTCCTTTTTCCTCTTCCCTCCTCCTCTCTTTTCCTTTTGTGTAGCACCTGTCCCTTGGCGAATCCTTGGTCTAGTTTTTCCTTTTAATCCATGCACGGCATATTATCAGCATGGGTAGGTGAGTGATGCCACAGATGTCCAAGAAGAAACGGACTGCTGCGCCAGCCTCTCTGGCTGAATCCTGCTGTCCTGTATTTTCAGAGAAGAGTTGGCGACTTGCCACGACCGACTGGACATGCTCACCGGCCAGCAGAAGGACGTGGAGAAAGAAATTGAGAAGGAGAAGGAGGACGGGAACATGTATGTAGTTCGCCCAGCTGATCAGCAGTTTCTTCTCCAGGTGTTTCCAAAGGGGTATAAAATTGGCTGAATTCGGCTCTGTTTGGTGGCTGAAAAATATCCGCCATCTCTTTAATATCCTTCTGTTTAAAGGTATTTAATGAATTAGCGATTAAGGTCTTCGATAAGTAAAACAAGAGTTATCTCCAGAGACCGCAGCCAGCGACAGGAGGAGTTAACCTTTTGCTGGGTGCAAGCAAAAAACCCCCCAAAATTCTATTTCTGATGCCATCTTTTATCTGTCCCACAAGTTATTAGTGCATGAAAATGGGCTTTTTGTTCAGCGAATCTAGGTCCGTGCAGTTGCTTTTAAACAGCTCACTGTTCTCCGCTTCGACTTCAGAGGCAAGAATCCACCTAGGAGAGTTAAAACCAGCACTAGGGACAAACAATTGTTTCCCCTTCTCCCCCCATCCCACTTTTCGTTTCCACAGTTTAATCGCAAAGGAATTGCTCATTCGCTTCCCCACTCTTTAAAGCAAAACGTTGGTTAAAATATTCTTGGGGTGCAAAGTTCTCACTCTGGGATCAGCCAAGAAATCAAAGAGCTGGAAAGGACCTTGGAGGCAGGGTGGATAAAAATCAATGGATTAAAAAAAAAAATTGGATTTTTAAAAAAAAATTAAATTGGATTTTTATTTATTTTTATTAAATTTATTTTAATAAAATGCTTTTGGAGTAAAAAAAAATACCTAAAGAGTTTTTATATTTAAGATACGTTAATAATTTAGTTTATTCGACATGAAATGGATCTCACTTATGTAGCATGAGGCTGTATATTCTGCAATATTGGGACTGTTGGTGAGTCAGCAGCAGGTCAGAGGAGAAGCTGCTGCGGGACAGAGATGATGACAGTTGCTCTTTAAAAATTGTGATTTAAATCGAGTTGATTTAAATCAAGCCTTTTTACTAGTGGTTTAAAGCGTGATTTAAATCGACTTGATTTAAATCAAATCCACCCTGCTTGGAGGTCTTCTAGTCCAGCATCCTTACCCAAGGCCGCAATTAACAAATGCATTGGGGAAAGCAGGGAGTGATCACATTCATTTAAGGCGATTCAATCAACCACCCTCTCCCTCCCTCCTTCCCTCCCTCCCTCCCCCCCACCCACCCACCCACCCCTCTCTCTCTTCTCCTTTGTCTCCCAGTGTTTGAAAAGCATGCAAATACAACACAACGTTGGCACCAGGTTTGGGAGACGGCACACAATTGTTGTGCTGGCTCCGCTCCTTCAATTTGCTTGAATTAAAAGCTGCTGGGGAGACGGGGGGGGGGGGGGGGGGGGGGGGGGGCCTTGTACGCAGCAGATCAACTACATTTGCATCCACCCTTGTTGCTTCTTGCAATTAATTGAGTTAATATAATTGTGCCAAGGCGGAACGCATTATGTGCCGACTGGCTAAAAAAACGAAACAATCCCAATCCGCAGAATAAACAGCCTCATTATGCGCCGGTGTGCAAAAAAACCGAATGGGCGAAGGTGACCTCTTCAAATGCTTAAATTTAAAAGAAACAATCGGAGGCAGGACTGGGTAAAAGTTGCATTCCGTTTTTCAATGAACCAGATTAAATCAGGTCCTCTCGCAAGGAAAATGCTCTCATTGTTTTCTCTTCCCCCCCCCCCCTTTACAGCTAGAGGCTTGGCATTTGGGAAAGCTGGCATCCAGGAAGAGACAAAGCATTAGGATTAGGATGGGTTTAAGGAATTTATTTAGGGCCACCCACCAAAGCACAGCCTCTGTACGGGAGTCTGAATTTCCCGTGTGCCTTTTCTCGAACTTGCCAAATGTGGTTGATTTCTAAAGATATCACAACACCTGGAAAACGCCTCTTCATCCCACCTCACCTGTGTCATTATTACCATTGTAATCCTTCCGCTCAATTCTGCTTTCTAGTCATTCTCTTTCAGGGATCACTTTTTCTTCTCCAAGAGAGCAAATGAACCACAAAACACTGAAATGGCAGAAAAACAGGGATTTTAATTTAATTATGAATTACAGAATAGCAGAATGAGAAGGGACCTTAGAGGTCTTCTAGATCATCCCCCCCCCTCTCAAGCAGGGGACCCATATACCATTCCGGACAAATGAGATTCTGGCCAATCTCTCCTTAAAACCCTCCAGTGATGGAGCATCCCACAACTTCTGGAAGCAAGTCGTTCCGCTGGTTAATTGTCCTCACCGTCAGGAAATTCCTCCTTAGTTCTAAGGTTGGGTTTATTCAAATTAAATCGAAATTGAAATGTGAATTTTAATTTCTCCAGCAGAGTGCCTCTTTCCCAGGCTGTGAGTTTGATCCTAGGTAGAGGCAGATATATTTCTCTCTCTGGGCACGATGAGGATATATCTGCTGAACAAAGCTCCGCATTGGCGACAGGAAAGGCATCCGGCCATTCAACGCTCTGCTAGCTCCATTCAGTTGCCCGGACTCCACTGCACAAGGGATTATGAGGTCGTTAAATGATGATGATGATGATGATGAGTGCCTCCTTCCTGGGCCATGTCTAGGGCTCTGTGTACAGCGAAGAACCCATATTCTTCGCGGTTGTTACAGGGGCTGTTGTGATTATTATTTTAGATGTAGGAGTTGGCTCTGATGTCTGCAGCAGGAGACCAAATAAAGAACCTCTTATTTGAAGTGTCGGCTGGTGTAGAGGTTTTGAAAGAGACCGAAAAGGATTCTTTTAGAGTATAATTGAAAAACATTCCATTATTATCAACCGCCGGAAATTCAGAAAAACAACGACCTGAAACCCTCCGGGCTGCAGAATTGTTTCACCTTTGTTTACGTGCTGACTTTGAACAATTCACTATTTCCAATTTTCTTCCCTTCTTTCTTTCTTTCTTTTTTTTCCCCCTCCTCCTCCTCTCCTCCCCTCCCCTCCTTTTAATGGCTCAGCGCGGCCGTGTCCCGCCTGCAGGCATTACATCGGCGCTTGTGTACTGAACTGGGAAACGAAAAGGGCCTCGAATCGAAAGTCACCGCAGCCCTAAATGAAAACGTGTAAGTGAAAAGAGACCCGGGGGGGGGAAGGAGGAGGAGAGCGGGACACATTGGGCCAACTGGATCCTTGCGCGATTTCCTCTTAATGCAATTTAGCGGCTTGGCTCGACTTTGGGGGGACTGGGAGGGTGGAATCTCTCCTGAATGTTTTATAGGGTGAAGGGGAATGGATCTATAAATAGGCAAAGCGCGTTCCGGATTTTCAAGTTGGCAGCACGCTTCGTTGGGAATTTTTTGAGCTTCGGCAAGGAAGCGTTTTTTTTTTCCCCCTCCTCTCCCTCTTCTAACTCTTCTAACAGTTCTGCCAAACTGAAACGCCTCACTATTCCCATATTGCTGACTTTTTCTTTAGGAATTCAAGCTGTCACATGAGTATCGCCTCCCCTTTTTTCCTCCCCTAATGAAACCTCGTAGGGGAGGTCTGGCCCAAGGGTGGGCTTAAAAATTTTTTAGAAAGGGGTTCTCTGCCCGGTTGCTGGGTGGCCATGGGTGGGTGTGGCCTAGTCAACCTCCTGCACCACAGTGGATGGGGGGAATTTTTGCCCTCCCCGGGCTCCGGAGGCTTTTCTCGAGCCTCGAGGAGGGTGAATGCAGCCTCCCCACGCTCCAGAGGCCCTCTGGAGGCCTTCCCAAAATTCCGGTAGGCCCGTTTTTCACCCTCCCCGAGCCTCCGTGCGTGCCCTGCACTTACCTGCATCCAAAATGGGCCACGTGGAGACTTCTGGGAGGGGGGGGGATGGATGGGAGGGGTGGGGGGGGGGGGGGGGGGCCAGCCAGGAGTGGGATTTGTGGGTTCTCTGAACTGCACAGAATCTTAGCTAGAGGTTCTCCCGAACCCCCAGCAGCCCCACTCCTGGTCTATCCTAAGAGGAAGCAACCAGCTTGAAGCCGCCCTGGATGAGGGTGGACTTGAACCCGTATCTCCATAGCCTACATCCAATACCTTCACCCACTACACTATCCGGGCTTGTTGTGTTGGAAATGTGTTGATGTTCCTCAACCTGGTTGGGATACTGATAAAAGCCTCCCTTCGCCAAGGTTCGAAATGTGGAAGATTGAAATAGAGCAAGGAAATTTTTCCAAACTTCGCAAGCAGCTCAAAGTGGACGAGGCAGAGCTGGATCAGCAGCGCCGAGACCAAGCGGAGGAAAGGCTCCAGAAAGAGAATGAGTTGGCCCAGCTGTTGAGCCAGAGGTGGCAGAACACCGAAAGGTAGGCCGGATTTCAAACCCCCTCTTAAGGAATGCTTTGAGATTTCCACTACTTGTTCTGACCTAGTTACTCCCTTAACAAGCAGGAGGCAGGAATTGATCCCGGCAAAACCTCTTTTATTTACACGACTGTGAATTAACGTTCATTCACAGTCAGAAAGGTTTGTCCAAACAGTTTTTCAAAGGAAGAGTTATCAACACAGACCTTATCTCGTTTGGGAAGCTGCCACGTAACTAGTTTCCAAATGCAATACAAGGCCAAACTTGGCACAGAGTCTCTCAGAGTCACGGAACGAACGAATTGTTTCCTGCAAAAGCCCCCTCCCTGTTCGCTCCTCTTTTGTTTCCTATGGGAGGGGCCAGTCACCTCCAAGGTGTGGCTTTACTCCTGAGTCGACCCTGCTTTCTGAGTTGTTCTTGTCTTCTGGCAGCTCTGCATATGTGCACGCTGGGAACGGGCTCCAGCTGTTCCTCTGCCTTGCTGCTGTCTACCTCCCTCTCTGCCTCTGACGCAGAGCCCTCGTCCGAGCTTTCCCCAACCCCCAGGACTGGCCCATGTTCCTCCCCAACCTCCTCACTGTCCGACTCTGCTGCCAGCTCTGCTGGTCGCCGATGGGCCACAACACTACAACTTATGTAAAGGCAGCAGGAAAATCAGGAGATCCAGACAGTTCAAATGGATATAAAGATTTTGTCAGGGTTCTGACTAATGCCCTAATAAAATTTAAGAGTCTCAAGCCATTTAGCAAGAAAAATCCTGTTGTTTATTAGGAGCGCCAGGTCGGCACGACCTAGGCGAAGCCAGCTCTGGCTTCACCTAATTCACACCTTGCCTCTGACCCTGTTTCCCCCTCCCACCCCAGGGTGTGTCATCAGTCACATTTCCCAATGAAGCAATTTTGCGGGTCGTAGAAGTCATTCCCTCCAGTCGTTGCGGGTCTCCGTGGAGATGGCCTTGACTTTGATGGTTGGCTAGGCTGTGTCTTGTTTTGACTGAAGTGTGAATTTCTTGGTGCAGCTGCGAGGCACGATTCCCATCCCCCCTGCCTATGGCAACTCGGGAGCAGGTCAGGAAAGCTTCGCGAGTTGACAGATTTATTGTAAGCTTGAGCTCTCTACAAGAATCTGAACTACTAACAGCCAAGGGAAAGTAGAGAGAGATAAGAATAAGAAGGAATTCAAGGTGGGCTGGGCTTAGAACCGGGGAGAAAACATTTCAGGAACCCTGACAGGATGAGTGATGAAAGTTCTTTGCTGTCTATTACACGTTAGGATTTTGCGGTCCCCTTTGAAAAGAATTCTGCTTTTTTCTTTTCTTTTTTTCCCCCTGTAGAAAAATCCAGCAAGCTAGCAAGGCTTACGAAGAAAACCTGGCCACCGTGCTGGAAGATTCTCAGAGGAACCATGCAAAGGCCGTCCATTTTCTGAAGGAGAGTTTAGGAAAGTACGTCGTTTAATTTTTCTCCCCTCTTGTTTCTCCTTTCAAAGAATGCAAGAGGTCTGGTCCATTAACTTTTGGGATTTTTCCTTCTCCAACCTGTGGCTCCAGATATCTTCAGCTCCAAAACATAGAGTCAGGAGTGGTAGTCATTTACTTTCCCTACCAGTTCGCAAATGTGAGCGCACGCGCGCAGTCGCTACACTCGCGCACGCCCCATCCACGTATGCACCTGGCCTTCCGTGCATGTGCTTTGCTGGCGCACATGTCTTCTGTGCCTCAAAAAAGCGCCTAAATAGAATGGCATAGAGCCAGGGTGAATGGGCAGGCCCCGATTTCTGCCACCGGTTCGGGTAAACCGGTCTGAACCGGCTGAATACCACCTCTGCATACAGTACTTCAGAGCCACAAAGGGAGGTGGGGGGGAGTAGAGATAGCTGGGGTTTTGTAGCCAAAACAAAATGGTTTCCTCTGGGAACCAAGGACGTTCCAACAGTTGGCCGAAGAGAGGAGGAGCGACGTTGCCCAGCAACCGGATAGCACCTTGATTGGACCATGTGACTGACTGATTGGGGAAAGGAGAAAAAACGTGTACTTTTATTGAGGTGAAAACCGCGGGGATGTTTAGAGTCGGTTTTCACCAGCCTGTGCCAATATGATATATCCAATAAAACTGTTCTTTTGAGGAATCTACCTGCCTCGGAGTTCTGTGTGCTATGGGTGTATTACTTGGAAACCTGATGTCAGGTTTTCAGGCTGTCTTCAAATAAATTGCATCGCAAACAAAGTCTTTTATAAAACAAACTTTCATTTTATTAAGCACAGCACTTTTTACACCGACTCGTTGCCGCCGGCACTGACGTGCTGCCCCAAAACCCCTCCTCTTCCTTCCCCCACTCCTCTGCATTCATTGGCCATCTTCCCAATCATTCACCCCTAATCTACTGCTCCAATTCAAAGAATTTCCCCCCCTCCCATCCATCTCCTAGGGGACATTATCTCCAGAGGAAATAAGTAGGGGAAAGGCAACTGTCCCGTTGCAGACGCCTGCGTTCTCCTTCTTATGTCAGCACTAGGATAAATGCATCTTGACGTGCTGACACCTGACAGATATACTGTGTATAATTTATGTAATAATACGAGATCATATGAGATCAAGGCTGCCTCCTCTCCTAGGTCCCATTGCATTGCGAAAGTCCTCAGCTAGCCTGCTGTAGAAGGACAGTAGAGGCGGGGCTTGACAAACCCAGGTTGGCCATGGCTTGCTAACCCTGGTTTGTTGACTGCATGAAGCAGCCAGGCTCCCATGGCACGTTAAGCCCTGCCCTTTGATGGGCATCAGTCCAGATGGCTGTCTTGGCACCAGCCTCTTCCCCAAAACGGATCAGGATTGACTCTGTGCTTTTCCAACAGGGTTCGTGAGAAGGAATCGGCGGAGGAAGTGAGCCATCAGGAACACTTGCAAAAAAGGATGGAAACGGTGCTGTCTCTGAAAAACAGCATCAGTTCGAACCGGGTGAGGGCTAGCTGCTTGAGTAAGGAGAACATGCCACTCAGTGGTGAAATGTAAAATTTGTTACTACCGGTTCTGTGGGCGTGGCTTGGTGGGTGGGTGGTAATGTGACTGGGTGGGCGTGGCCAACTTTTTTTAAATTTTATTTTTTAAAGCATTTCTTCTACAATTTTTTCTACTCAGCTGACGAGGCTCTGACGATCAGGCAACTCAGCTGGGGAAGGATACTGTAAAATCTCCATTCCCACCCCACTCCAGGGGAAGGATACTGTAAAATCTCCATTCCCACCCCACTCCAGGGGAAGGATACTGCAAAATCCCCGTTCCCTCCCGATCAGCTGGGACTTGGAAGGCAGAGAGTAGATGGGGGCGAGGCCAGTCAGAGGTGGTATTTACCGGTTCTCCAAACTACTCCAAATTTCCACTACCGGTTCTCCAGAACTGGTCAGAACCTGCTGAATATCACCTCTGCATTGCTGCATCCCCAAATTCAGACTTTTGGCAACTGACTCATATTTACGACAGTTGCAATGTTCTGGAGTCATGGGATCACTTTTTTGTGACCTTCTGAAACACAAAGTCAATGGGTTTTCCAGATCCGCTTAACAACCGTGTGACCATCTTAACGACTACAGCGATTCACTTAACAACGGGGGCAAGAAAGGTAGTAAAACGGGGCAAAATTCACTTAACAGCCGTCTCGCTTAGCAACATAAATTGGGCACCATTGTGGTCGTAAGCCGAGGACCACATGTAACTTTTGAAAGCAATTGAAATCCGGGAGTGGATTACCTGCTGATTTCTGCCCTCGTGAACTGCTTTCCTGCAAATCCAAAAGTGAAGGCTTAATTTTTTATTTTTTCTTTTTTTTTTTTTTTAATATTCTTGTCTAGGAAAATCTCAAAACCCGTCAAGTCCTGAGCAAATTGATCGGACTTGATGCTCAAGAGCAAGATCAGAAAATAAAGGAAGCCATTCAGGCTGAAGGACACAATGTAACCCGGGAATTTTTTTGCCACAAGCGACAACTCGAGTTCGAAAAGCGGAAAAAGTGAGCTGCTAATTTTCGTGAAATGCCATGTTGATGGGGGTGGGTGGGAGGAAGTGCTGATAAATTAACAGATTTATGAGTTATTTCCTCCTAAGTCCTTGATGGGTGAGACCTCCGTTGCAAAGGGCCAATCATGCAGGGAGGGGGAAAAGTTTTATAAAAAAGATATTTGGACTAGAATTCCTTGTCCAAATATCTTTTTTATAAAACTTTTTCCCCCTCCCTGCATAATTAATCCTTTGCAACGGAGGTCTCACCTATCAAGGACTTAGGAGGAAATAACCCATAAGTCTGTTAATTTATCAGCACTTAATTAATTAATTAAGAATTAAGTCTTCCTTAACATTTCAGGGCAATTTTCTGCTAGGATGTGCTTTGAAACGATCCCTATTTTTTTTAATAGCTGAAGCATCATTTAAAAAGTACTGTGTGCGCGCACAGATTTCCCCCCCCCCTTTTCGGTATGTTATTTTGAACATATTTTCAAATTCCAAAAAATGTTGCCTAGGAGTAACCTCAATGTTAGTGCAGTAGATCTGGAAAATAGAACCATTAACCCCTTTCCAACCTCCCTCCTCCTTCCTGATAGCTTGTCATTTCTTGTTAAAAACATGGAAATTCTTCTTCCTTAGTTAATTCTAGTCAATCAGCAGTAGATTTTGCCAACAGGTGAGAGGAGACCTGAATTTTAGCAGCTGGTAGCCACCAGCTATCAGAGTTCTTTTGATAGCAGCCTCAAGAGTCCTTTCAAAGAAGGATGTTTGCAAATGCAATAAAAATGCAGGTCACAAAGCGCACACATTCCATTCTTATATATATATATATACTAGCTGATAACCCGACGTTGCCCAAGTATTTATTTATCCCAATCCCCCTTACCAGAGGGAGCCCCCTTGTGAAGTACCGTGAAGCCGTTACCATGGCAACTCCACTGTGCTGTACAGTAGAAGCCATTTTAAGGCACAACAGGCTGTATCTTAACAGAACTTGAATCCAAAATGCACACTATCACTGTCAAAAGTACTGTGATTTGACACTATAGATATAATTCATTCCTTTTCATTTCAGCAGCCCAGGCATTCCAGAGTCATGCTGGAACACACACACACACCACCCACACACCCACACCCACACACCCACACACACCGAGGGGTGTTGGGGTGTCTTACCCCCCACAGTACTTTTATCCAGAGAGTAAATCATCTGTATACCAAATTTGGTTGAAATTGCTCGAGGCGTTCCAGAGTTATGCTGGAACATACACACACACACATACACACACACACACACACAGAGCCATTTTTGTATAGATAGATAGATTTTTAAAGGATTAGCGGATTAATCCTTTTGGGCTCAGAGGTCGGTGGTTTGTTCCCTCAGTTTCCCTGGGGTCTGTTCCCAGTTTGTCTCCATTGTCTGCCGTTGCATCGCCCACAGGGAGTTTCTGGACCAACAAAAAACCAGGAAACTCGAAATAGTCGCTCGGATTTTGAAAGAAGAAGCCCAGGCGGAGAGAATAAAAGCACAATCTCATCCCCAGAAATCTAAAGGCCCGGACAAACTCTCCGACGCCATTAAGTGGCGCATGAAAACATGGCGTTACATTGAGGAAACGTGTAGCGATAAGGTGGCGCCTGTCATACAGGTGAGAGAAAGCAGGGAGGGCTTATTATCATTGATCAACTAATGGGAACTGTTTGGATCAGATTAAAATCCTTCTACGTCCTTCCTTCCTTCCTTCCTTCAATTAGCAACTTGTAAAGGTTCTGTGAAATGGCCCAGAATGGAAACTCCCCTAATTTGTCAATGTGGGATTTCATCACCGCAGACATCAGCCTGGACAGGCAATGCAGAGTTGTGTATCTTAATTTTTTTTTCCTTTTTTCATAAATAGCAGATTTAAATGGGAGGAATCCATGTGGATCTTACTTGGTGTGCAGACCCCAGCAGTAAAGATGAGGTATACTGATCCATAAGCAGGGATGGGATTCAGCCGGTTCGGATGTTAATTTTAATCTGGTTCAGCGAACCGGTTGTTGCAAGGATCGGCTCGCCCCGCCCACCCCACCCCGCTCCTCCCAGGAGTCTCCACATAGCTAGTTTTGGATGCCAGATAAGTGCAGGGCCCAAGTGGAAGCTCTGGGAGGGTGAAAAACGGGCCTACTGAAACTTCAGGAAGTCCGGAAACGGGCCGGTTTCCGGCCTCCAGAGCCCGGAGGAGGCCATTTTCACCTTCCCAGAGGCTCGAGGAAAGCCTCCGGAGCCTGGGGAGGGCAAAAAACAGGCCTACCGGAAGTACCGGAAGTCCGGAAACGGGCCCGATTCCAGCTTCCGGAGTCTGGAGGAGGCCATTTTCGCCCTGCCGGAGGCTCGAGGAAAACTCCGGAGCCTGGGGATGTTGAAAACACCCCCCCACCTCTCCATCTCCATGGTGCAGGAGGCCGAGTAGGCCACGCCCACCATGGCCACACACCCCATCAACCGGGCAGAGAACCAGTTGCTAAAATTTCTGAATTCCACCTCTGACCATAAGCCAAGACACTTGATTTATCTTCATGGGTGTTCTTGGCAAGAAAACCATTTATTTGGAAGTAGGGATGGGTCTGTTCCAAATTAACCGAAGTTTCTAGGAGTTTGTGATGAATTTGATGTGTGTTTTTTTTCCTCCTCATTTTCCCAAGATTTTGTGATTAATTCACCTGGCCAAATGACCCTTTGAATTTTCGCCACTCTCTTCTGCGACAGAAACATTGGCGCAGCCCTTCAGTTTCCCCCTCACTGGACGACAAAAGTTGTAGCGCCTCTTGCGACTTCATCCCCGAAAGCAAAACCGAAGGCGAGCAGGAAAATGCGGACAATATTCTCGCGGAGCCCGAATTTGTAGGGATCTGGGACCAAGAATATAACCCGCTGCAGGTACAGATCCATCTTTCCGTCCTTTCCGTTCGTTTTCCATTCGCTCTTACCCGCTTGGTTCCCGGGTGGATGGCAAAAATACATATTTACCAAGAGATGAACTCAATCTGTCACCCTGCTCCATTATCCCTGTTTAATGTGTTTTTAGGATAACAGAATAACAGCGTTTGGGAATACCCAAAACTTCTGGAGGCAAGTCGTTCCACTGATTAATTGTTCTCACCGTCAGGAAATTTCTCCTTAGTTCTAGGTTGCTTCTCTCCTTTCCATCCATAGCTTCTTCTCCTGCCTTCAGGTGCTTTGAAGAATAGGTTGACCCCCTCTTCTTCTTTGTGGTACCCCTCAAATATTAGAAGATGGCTATCATGCCACCCCTAAGTCCTTCTTTTCATTAAACTAGAGGATGGTATGGAGTCTCGTGGTTGAGTAAAGTTGGAGTAAAGTTCCAACCCTGTTATTCTATGTTCTGGGTGTCAACTTGCAAAGCTTTTCAAGTTGCCATGAGCAGGAGGGAGGAAGAACTGATAGAGATGATTGATTTCCCTAACTGAAGTGCATTCCATACATTCTTCCTGACCGCAATCAGAAGGAGGGTGTTGGATTTCACAGCCAGCCAAAGTGGTTAATTGGAGAATGTGATTTATGACATGGCCAGAGAGGAGGGGAGAGACAGGGTCATAGGGGAACGTAAATCTACGTGGGATTAGTTCTAACTGCATCCGAATATTGCCGAAAGGGTGCTCCTAATAAATGACTGTATTTCTTTTGAAGTTCGGCTCATGGCTCATGAATTAATTAGGGACATCTTTCGGAAACTTCACACTGGGTTCTAGATTTAAATAAATCCCTTTTTTGACGTGTCAGCTGGGGCAAAGAACTGGTGGGCACCAAAAGATACCCTGGCGACAACTCCCACTTTAGCTGAAAAGAGAGAATTTCTTTTATAAAAAAGACAGTCTGGCTAAGTGGTTCAGTGGCTAAGACGCTGAGCTTGTCGATCAGAAAGGTCCGCAGTTTGGCGGTTCAAATCCTTAGTATAGGTCTCCTGTGTGAGCAGGGGGTTGGACTAAATGACCTCCAAGGTCCCTTCCAACTATGATACTGTTATACTGTTGAGAATAAATGGAGAAAGCCACCATTTTTCTACAAATCTTCTGTCTCCAGCCCTTTTGAATCAAATGAACCCTTTTTTTTAAATCAAGCTGCTCTGTTTTATAAGTCCTTTCGAAACCAGCGTTGCCTTATTTCTCAGGTCCTGGATGACAAAATCGATTCCAAACCTCTCAATGTGTCGAAACTTGAAAAGGACATTTTTGCCCGGAATTTGGAGAAGTTACATGCTGGAGTCATTCGCAAACACCGTGTTTGTGGACGTGAGTTCAAAGGGTGTCCTTTTTACAGCAAGCCGAGCCTCATTCATTTCAAGGTGAGCGATGACTTGGATCGACCGCGTTCACACAGCGGGCCGAAGTTGGCTTGTTTTAAATCTGGACTAGGTCTCCCTCTCTTTCTTCCTGTGATGTGCAAACCCAAACGGTTGGATTAGTTGATGGTTTGGTCCATTGTGCAAAGCTAGGAAATGAATCCGTGATTCAACAGATTGATTTACACTGAATATGTTGTCGGTTTGCGAGAAGGGGAACTGCCTTTCTTGGCCAAATCAAAATGTTATGATTGCGATGGCAACAACGTGAGCATTTTGAAGAGCTTTAATCCAACACTATAACTTAGTCTTTGCTAACTTGGATGCCCCCTCTGTAAGTAAGGATCAATTTTTCAATTCCCCAGCCAGCATATTGTTGGTAATTCAGATTTTTTTTAATACACATTTGGAGACCATCTACTTTTCTATCTTCAGCATCTTTCAAAGCCTTCATCCCATTAAAGAAGGCAAGCTGGTCTATAGCCAGTATGCTCAGCTGTGCAAATCTCCCAGTATAAATAGAGTTGCCATTGTTTTAAAATATGTTTTTTTTAATTTTAAAAATAGAATACACCAGATTTTCGTACTTCAGGTGCACGGTACATTTATAAAAACATTTTAAAAATTCATAATATATTAAAATACAGTTGGGATTGTTTTGTTTTGTGTGTTTGTGTATGTGTGTGTGTGTGTGAGAGAGAGAGAGAGAGAGTGTGTACTATTTTGGAAAAAGGCATTTCTCCAGAATGGGGGAGAAAAAAAGGAAATGCTGCTTTTAATTCTGATTATTTGTTTTTTAAAGAAATAAAAAAAACATTGAAGAGCCTGTTGCCCGGTTAATCGCAAGAACATTTTAAAAAGCCGATCAGAAAGTAATTTACAAGTATTTAGTCGATTTGCAATCTTACTTCTGACCGAATAAATACATTCTATCTATCCAATCGAATGCTCTCCAGTTTAAGCAATTGTGTTGCACTGATCAAACCATCATGCTTTCCATGACAATAAAGCTAATATATTTAAAAACAAATCTTTCCAGGACTTCGATGTTGGAAAAACCTATAAAAAGAAGGTGACTTTGATCAATGCCTTCTATAGTATCAACTACTTGAAGCTGGATGGCGTCAGCGAACATCTGAAAGATTTTTTCACTGTGCTGTAAGTCGATATACGCTAGTCATTTAACCAGGGTTTGTGGATCGTACGGCTACTTGGGCATTCTAGAAACATGCGAGGGAGAAAGAAGATTTTCTGTAAAATAATAATAAGGGGGCTGTCACTATGCCAACATTTTAATAATAATAATAACAACAACAACAATAATAATAACAACTTTATTGTCATTGTACGTGTATACACAGTATACACAATTCACTTAACACCCAAGGACCAGGTCCAATACGCATAACAATCCCCAAACACCCCCCCCACCACCACAAATTCCCCACCTCTAAACCACCCAAACATCCACACAACAGGCCAAGTAATGCTGTCCAACAGCTCACTGATGGTGGCCCTTTAGTTCGTTGTTGAGTGCAATTATAGCTCTGGGATAAAAACTATTCAGAAAACATGTGGTCCAAGTTTTAATTGTTCTGTAATTTTCCCTCGCAGCTTTGATCCCCCAGGCCCGATGTCCTCAGGAATGTCTTGTGAAGTTGGGGTGACCTTTAAACCTATGGTAAGAGAGATGTGTCCATATGCGTTTGAAAGGGAGACAGGGGCCTGGGCAGAAATTTTGGAAACTAGGCAATGGAAGAGGGTAGAGGTGGGAGAAATATCTAGATTGAAGAGCCAAGAAGGAGACGCAGACAGAGATAAAGATTCAAGAGAGGAATTTGGGAGGCAAGTCAAAAAAACCCATAGCAATTGAAGTATTGAAGCGGGCAAGAGATGATGGATAGATGATTTCTCTTTTTTGTTGTTGTTCTGATTTGCTTTTCCTTTTCTCTCTCTCTCTTTTCTTTTTTTTTTTTAGGTAGTTGACATGACTAGAAGTTAGGTAGGATAGAAAGAAAAAGTCTCTTAATAAAGGGTGACAGGATTAAAGGTTAGAATAAGTGATAGAAATAAGAGAAGGGGGAATATCTGTATGCACTTTAATACAACAAGAGAAAACATGGACTAATAACAGATTGCAACTTAATATAAATGAGTATTATTATTTAGAAATATATAACTTGATTGAATGTAATAACTACGATTAATTCTACTAGATTAATTCTACTAGTTTAATAGTTTTATTCGTCTTAGAATGTATGATTCCCAGGTGCCACGCTGTTCACGCATTGATTTGATACGTTTGTAAAAAAAAATAAAAAAACTTGGAGACATGTGTCCACTCCGCCTGATTAAATGGACGACTGTTTGGAAATTTCACAGTAGCCAAGAAGTTCGATGGCCGAGTCACGCTTGGGTGACAGTCTGATAAAGCCACGAATCTCCATTGCTCTGCTGTGTATAACTGCCCCGTGGCCTTTGAAGTCAAGATTTTTTTTTGAAAAAGCTTCTGTTGTGGAAAGAGGAGACAGAAATTACAGTTTATTCATTTGGGCCCAGTGTTGTTTATTTTCTTCAAGTCCAGTTTTTTCAGGTCCAGGAAAAACGTTTTCCAGTTTTTCCTTTTTCTTTTAATGATTTCAGACATTCAGAAAGGGCTACAGCAAGATTGTTCCCCAGCATTTCCATTTAAAAGATCCCGAGATTTCCTTCGGTTGATGTGCTACCAGTGATTGTTTTTCAGCCAAGGGTTTTATTAGTTCTCTAGGACTAGGGCAATTCGATAACAACTCTCTAGGGGCAGCGGCCTAGATCCCTGTAGTGCTATAAATACCAATTTGAACTTTTTTAACTTTGAAGAAGCATTTCTCGCCACTATATTTCAGCCACTTACAGGTAGCCCTCGAAATTACAGCCATTCGTTTAGTGATGGAAGTTACAACAGCATTGGAAACATCGGGACTTATGACAGTTTGTCACATTTAATGACCATTATTGCAGCATCCCCATGGTCGCGTGATCAAAAATTCAGACACCTGTGCAACTGGCATGTAATTTATGACGATTGTATCTCTCTCTCCCCCTGTTAAAGTAGCTTAGAACTGTGTTGGCTTTTTTTTGGCAATTGCAGCACATTGCTGGCTCATATATACAGAATACACAGAGTTGGAAGGGACCTTGGAGGTCTTCTAGCTGATTTGTGGTCATAAGTCGAGGAGTCCCTGTACACAGGAAGAGAAATAATATGCTATTCATGAGATGAATTTCTCAGGCCCTTCAGATATTTAATGGGCTGATAAAGGTATCTTGCTTGTTTTCTTTCAGATAAATGAAGATCTTGAAGGAGAAGTCACCTTTTTATCCCAAACTGGATCCTTTTCCATTCCCCTGAAGTGTTCAACCAAGAAGTGTGTGGTAAGTCCAGATTTTGCCTTAGGATCCGAGAGGAAAATTCTATCTTGCTTTGTATACTACCGTGTTTCCCCAAAAATAAGACCCTGTCTTTTATTTTTTTGGAACCCTGAAATAAGTGCTTGGCCTTATTGTCATGCGCTCAAAAGCCCGATTGGGCTTATTATCAGGGGATGTCTTATTTTGGGGGAAACAGGGTATATACAAGAGCAAAGGAAAAAAAAAACATTGGAATTCATTGTTGGAATGTATTTTTATGCAACAACTACAGTAGTATTTAGCCAGTAGATGGCAGTGTTTACAAGCCTGGATCTATGATATATACTCTATGCTTTTTTGCTCTAAGTAGAGTTTCCTGTTACAATTATGCAGTTGAGCAGTAAAGCACATGGTGACTGTACTCTTTGTTTCCTCTGTGTGGTGCTATCTATAAAACAGAATTTCTAACAAAATGTTAGTAGGAAATGAGGAGAAGCAGGAAGAGATCTGGGAGAATTCAAATGAACAGCGGCCTAACAGCATTTCAATAAATAAACTACACATTACTTTTCTTGAAATAAATCCACAAATCATTTACTCTGTAGTCAGCCCTGTCTATTTAGAGGAGGCTACTGTGAAATGACACTCTAGCAAGCGTAAGGATACATTATTTGATTTGGATGGCAAACCTTACCCTAAGTAAACCCACAGATGTTTAAATCCTTTTTCACACATGAAAGGAAATGCCTTTTTAATATATTTTTAAAAATGAAGGCAAGCGAAAGAATACATGAACACAGAAATCGGGCAGAGGCTTATTTATCTCTCCGTGTTATTTTATTTCTTTTATTAGATTTTTATTCAGCCTTTTCCACCAGGGGACTCAGGGTGAGATTCATACCCTCTCTCTTCCAGTTTTTAACCCACAAGAACCCTGCGAGGTAGACTGGCCTGAGGTAGAACAACTGGTAGAGTTTGACTCAGCAAACCCGTTTGTCTGCTTCACGTCCAGCACCTTAACCATTTCCCCATGGTGTGTTTGTGTGTGTGTGTGTTTGTGTACGTCACACACACGTCTGCAGACATTATTTTCCATCCTGATAAAGTACATTATTGTGATCGTTGTCCAGTTGCCAAGTTTTTGAGCTGTGGCATTTACAGGTTGCTAAGTCGACGGTTTGTTCTGTAAATTGCCATTTAAGATTTTGTCCTTTTTTTTTTTTTTTAAGTTGGAAGTGTTTGAGTCGTGCCTGATGTTAACGACCTTCTTCGCCAGGGTCGTTAAGCGGATCACTTGAAGTTGTAAAGTGAATCCTGCAGTCCTTAAGCAAATCCAGCTTGCCCCATTGACTTTGCTAGTCAGAAGCTGGCCGAGAAAATTTCAAATAGTGACCGCACCTATCATAAATACATTATCTATGTATTTATGATGGGTGCAGTCACCATTTGAAACTTTATATCTAAATGCCCCAGTTTTGATCACAGGACCTCACGCTGTAACTGTGAGGACCGGTCGGTTATTAGTCACTTTTTTCCACTGCTGTTGTAACTTTTAATAGCTGCGAAACAAAATGGTTGTAACCAGCGGTGGGTTTCGGATTATGTTACTACTGGTTTGCCCCGCGCGCGCACCAGGGGTGGGTTCTACTTACCTTTACTACCGGTTCGCATCGTGCCCGCGCACAGATCACTTCTGATGACGTCCGGGTCAGTGGGCGGAGCCTCCCGCCAGTTTTACTACCGGTTCCTGCGAACCGGTCTGAACCGGGGGCAACCCATCACTGGCGCGCATGCTCACTTTGTGCCCGGACGTGCCCGGTTCGTGCTGACACCTGCCTTCCACATATGTGCCTGGCCTTTCGTGCTTGTGCTTTGCTCACACGCGCACCTTTTGCCTAAAAGATGTGCCTAAATAGGATGGCATAGAGCCAGGGCAAGTGGGCAGGCCCATCCGCGATTTCCGCTACCGGTTCGCCAAAACCAATCCCGAACCGGCTAAATCCCACCTCTGGTTGTAACTCGAGGACTTTTCTGTAGAGACGCAGAAACGCTTGTGCCCCTTCCCTGAACCAACGCGATCGCCCCCATAGCGTTAAATCAAATTATTTCCCTCTCCCCGCCTTCCACTTTCTCTTTTTTTTTCCAGCTGTCCCTTGATAAAGAGCTCATAGATTTCGGCATGCACGTGGTTGGGGAAACCATTTCACGCACCATCACCTTGACGAACGACGGGGCCCTGGGGACACGGTTCCGGCTCCGAAAATTAGGTGACACCGAGGCTCCATACGCAGTTCCAATGCCTTCCACCGAGAAACCGGTAAATCTGCATTAAAGTTCATCAGTCAATCTAAAAATAGCCAGTTAATAGTCATTTTTCCCTCTCCGCCCCACCCCGAAAAGACCAGTTTCAAGGTCCTTTCGGCCTGCATGGTAGCTCTTTCCAAAGAAGTTAATCCTTGCAACTTTGCTCCAACTAAATCGAGGTGTCTTTAATTTCATATTTTGACCAGAAAGGTGCCATTCTCGGCTCCTTAAATGGAGCATTTTCCCACCCTGAGGCTTGCGGTGAAGCCAAAGGCTTAAAGGAATCGGTGGGAAGAGAAGAACGGAAATAATGCAGGATAGAAATATTGAAAACTGATTTTTCCGAGGGGGTCTCTTTCCTTTGGACTTCGGACTCAAAGTGAAAAAAAAAATTATCGGGAGCTGTGTTTCTCAACCTTGGTGACTTTTTTTAAAAATTTAATGTAATTTTTATTTTATTCCAAAAAAAAAAAAAAAAAAAAGTTAAAAGACAAAACTCCACTTTGATCAGAAAGTCAAAATACAAATTTTTTCTCTTTTAATGTCTTGATTGTTTGTTTGTTTTATCAGATTTTAGTAATAACTTGTGTCTGGAACTCTGCACTTTGATATGGCCCAAGGGCTAATTAATTAAACTAAACTAAAACTAAACCTAAAACTAAACTAAACTAAACTAAACTAAACTAAACTAGGTTAATGCAGTAGGCTCAGCCATAATTTAATTTGTTGGATTTAGCTCATTATTATTTGCACATCCAAGCCCTTGTGGCTTCTTAATAAACTATAAATAATTAAGTAATGGCTTGGTACAGCTTATGAGCAAAATTCTATTTTTTTCCCCCCATCTACTTTTTTGCCCCATGCCATTTCCTAACCACTTGACCAAACGTTGCCAAGGTAAGGAGATATTTTGGAATGTGGGTTTTTTTGTAACCTCCCTAAAAATGTCCATTCTGGGATACGAAACATTTGGCTCATGTTCAGTTCAATCAATCACCTCCTGTCATCACAACGGGAAGTGCAATCCGGCCTGGAGGTGCACATCCTCAAACCTTGAGGGTCCATCTGGGGAAAATGATTGGAATTGGACTGTTTTCAACGAAACCGCTCGTCCTTCCCATATTTAGGTCTGCTCTGCTACCGGTGAATTATTCAACATGGAGAAAAGCAGCTACAACACGGGAACTGACGCCGTGTCTCTGTCCCGCTCGGAAGAGGTTATCCAAGGCGCTGCCCCGCTGGAGAAACTACGTAGCGATGCCACCATAACTACCACGAATGGTATGCAGCTGCCTTTCCTTCGTTCGCAACTGCAGTGGTTAAAGCAGGGGACAGCAACCCGCGGCTCTGGAGCCGCATGTGGCTCTTTCATCCCTCGGCTGCGGCTCCCTGTCGCCGCCACAATTTTGAGAGGAGCTTCCGGTTATGGGGAGGAAAAGCAAGGCGCAGCAGGAAGAAACTCTATGGCAAGGGGCAGGTTTTCCAGTCACGATTGATAGGGCTTTCAGATAGGACAGGTAGAGGAAAAAGGATGCTGCGCTAGGAGGAGACTCTATGGTTGGGGGAATTGGACTTCCGGTCGGCTCCAGAATTGAACGGTGGGAACTTTTGTGGCTCTTTTGAGTTTTTAAGGTTGCCGACTCCTGGTATAGACCACTGGGCCACACAAGGTTTTTAACGATAGACAGAGCCCCAGGGTAGATATCATGTCTCTTGATTCTCCTCCGTTTCCTTTTTCAAGAGCCACAGGCCGTGACGGAGATGGACATCGCTGGAGAAATCTCAACGCTTTCTCCAGATGTCGGCTCCCTGGATGACCCTCCGGAAGAGTTCTGCGAACTAAAATTGGGCAAGGTAACAGAGCCATGGAGGACTTGTTCGATCTGAAGGTGGCGTTCGCGGATGGATCCAGGTGGCGTGATTCCCGAGTGGGCAGTCACCAGAGTGGACTATCAAAGAGAGATCGAAACCTGGAACGAAGGAGAGATTTCCTGACGGTCATCATCGTCAACTCCTTTTTATGACCCTGTAATCCATTGCGGAGTGGGGTCTGGGCAACTGAACGGAGCAGAGTGTTTCCTGGCCGGATGCTCTTCCTGTCACCAGTGCGGATTTTTTTTTTATTCAGTAGATAAATTCTCATTATGCCCAGAGAGAGAGAAATATCTGCCTCTACTACCTAGGATCGAACTCACAGCCTCCTGATTTTGAGGCGAGAGCTCCACCTCTAGGCCACCGCACCACTCAGAGATTTCCTGACAGTGAGAACGATTGGCTTGCCTCCAGAAGTCGGGGGTGCCCCCAACACTGGAGGTTTTCAAGAAGAGATCGGGCAGCCGTTTGTCTGGAATGGTCTAGGGCAAGGTTCGGCAACTATATCACTTTATAACTTGTGGACCTCAACTCCCAGAATTCCTGAGCCAGCCATAGATTCCCCCTCTTGTATAAGGTCTCTGTTCTAGCTGGGGTTTGGAATAGAAGCAGGGGTGAAATGCTTCCGGTTCAGACCGGATCGCCCAATCCGGTAGCGAGGGCGGTGGGTGGTTCGGAGAATCCTTGCCCCCCCCCATGCCCAACTGAGCTACGCGATCATCAGAGGCTTTTTAAAAATTTTTAAAAGCATTTTTTCTACAACCTCTTCGGCCGAAAAAATGCTTTGAAAAGTAAAGAAAAAAAGCCTCTGATGATCGCGCGGCTCAGCTGGGATCATCAGAGCCTTTTAAAAGCATTTTTTCTACAACCTCGTCAGCCGAAGAGGTTGTAGAAAAAATGTTTTTAAAAGAAAAAAAAAAGCCTCTGACGATCAGGCAGCTTATCTGGGATCGTCAGAGGCTTTTAAAAGCATTTGTTTTACAACCTCTTCTAGCTTTTAAAAGGCTCTGACGATCCCAGCTGAGTTGCCTGATCATCACAGGCTTTTAAAAGCATTTTTTTTTTACAACCTCTTCAGCTGAAGAGGCTGTAGAAAAAATGGTTTTAAAAGTAAAAAGAAAAAGAAAAAGTTGGCCACGCCCACTCAGTCACATTACCCCACCACCACCACCAAGCCACGCCCACAGAACCGGTAGTAACAAAGCCCCTTCCAACTCTTTTGCTATTCTATCTTTCCACCCTTGAGTTCGCAATAAGAAAATGTTAGAATAAAACCACTTAAAAATCTCTTTTTAAGAATCGGAAAGAAGAGACCTTACTGAAAATTACTAATAAACGGAGCTCTTTGATGATGGTTTCGTTTTTTTGCTTACCTGCAGGTAACCGAAGGCGATATCGGGCCCTTCAGCTCGGTCAAACTTCAGATTATTTTCACACCCGTGGTTCCGGGGACCGTCCAGGCTGATTTCGAGATCATCTTTGAGAACCCAGATTGCAAACCAGTGAGTGGTGGGATTAATTTCTCTCCCCCTCCCCTGCCGCAGATACGTTAAGAACAGAGCCAGCAAATATCTGTCAAGGTTCCAAGTAATACATTCCCAACAATGAGTACTCCGAGGCAGGCATATTCCTCAAAGAACATTTTATTGGGACATATATTGCCACAAACTTGGTGGAAAACTGGCTCTTAAATTCCCACAGGTTTTACACCCAATTAAAAGTAAAACTTTGTCACTTCCTCCCAAAGGTCACCAGTCATATGTGTTGTGACCCAGGCCCAAGTAGGTAGTAATTGACACAACCAAGTAGGTAGTAATCGACACAAACAGTTCCAAAACAAACAGACTTTATTAGAACAGCTGAGAATTAACTCCTTCTCAGTGTAGTCCAAACTAAATTAAAACAAACTCTTCGTAACACAAATTCTTCAGTCTAATCACCAACCTTGGTATAATTAGGCAAACTGCCAAAGGCTTTTCTTGGCAAAAGCTCAGAAGCAGAAGACGCCGACGAGATAAGTGCAGCAAGACTATCAACGTTGTTTTCCGGCAAAGAGCCCAAGAGCCGTTGCTGGTTTTTTAAGCCTTCTGGGAGGGGCCAATCATCTCTTGGCCTTACTCCTGAGTCGTCCTCTTTGCTTTAGCTGCTCTTGCCTTCTGGCAGCTCTTCTAATACGTGCACTAGGAACAGGCTCCTCCTGTTCCTCTGCCTCTCTGCTGTCAGCCTCTGGAGGCTCCGGAGTCCGCACATCACTCCCCGATGGCCCTGGCCCCATCTCTGCCTCCGATGCAGAGCCCTCATCCGGGCCTTCTCTAGGACTGGCCCATGTTCTTCCTCAGCCTCATCGCTGTCCGACTCCACTGCCAGGTGGCCGACAAGTGTTTGATGACCATTTTTTCACACTTACGACGGTCGCAGCATCCCCCATGGTCACGCGATCACAATTCGGACACTTGGGCAACGGGGACTCGTATTTATGAAGGTCGCGGTACCCCAGGGTCACATGATCCCCTTTTGCGACCAAAGTAAAGTCAGTAAGGAAGCCAGATTCACTTAGTGTTATGACCCGTCAGCGGCCTGTGCAGATTGTAGCTGATTCCAACAACGAGGAGGCTGGTGTGGGGCAGAACACTTAACAACAAGTGGGCATCTTTGCTGGGACGCTGAGTTTTGCGCGGATTTGCCTTTAGTTGCCGATCGGGGTCATCGCCGTCGCAATGGCCGTGCCGGTTTGGGTTTGCAATCCCACGATCGACCTGAAAATCTGCATGTACGATCGACTTTACCAGGACTGCATCGTGGTTCAGAGCAGGTGAGCAGTTTTTAATATATTTCTTCTAGCCCGATACTATGCTAATTTTTAAAATTATTATTATTTGAAGGACAGCGTGTGTAACGTCTAGAAAGAAGCATCCATTTTAGCAGACCCCGCAAGGAATTGTAAAGTTACAAACAAACAGGAGGGGGCCCCTGTTTTTTCCGAAGAAACGGATCTCGTGCACGTGCAGTGTTTGCTTTTTCCAAAAAGTGTTGCTGGCGCCCCCCCCCCATTTCCACCTTCCTTTCATTCCGCAGCTTCAGCTGGCAAGATGTTCTGAGCCTTGCTATTTTTAATTTCCTTGCCGTTTTAACGTTCTATTTTGAAGGCGAGCAAATAGGATCGGTTTTTTAAAAAAGTATGCTGGATTTATCCTCTTCTCCTTTGTTTCCTTTGTGTGTGTGTATGTATGTGTGTTTAATGAGCCACACATATTCTCAGTTCCTTAAAAAGTAAAGGTAAAGTTTCCCCTCGCACATATGTGCTAGTCGTTCCCGACTCTAGGGGGCGGTGCTCATCTCCCTTTCAAAGCCGAAGAGCCAGCGCTACCTGAAGACGTCTCCGTGGTCATGTGGCCAGCATGACTCAACGCCAAAGGCACACGGAACGCTCTTACCTTCCCACCAAAGGTGGTCCCTATTTTTTCTACTTGCATTTTTTTTTACGTGCTTTCGAACTGCTAGGTTGGCAGAAGCTGGGACAAGTTACGGGAGCTCACCCCATAACGCAGCACTGGGGATTCGAACCGCTGAACTGCCGACCTTTCAATCGACAAGCTCAGCGTCTTAGCCACTGAGCCACCGCATCCCTAAATCTCAGTTCCTTACTAAGACCTTAAACACCGCCAAGGTTTTTTTTTCACAGTTGGAAGAGAATGAACTCAGCTTGACAATTATTAGTCAAGTCGTAAAGTGGAGCAGAATTCACCAAACAAATGTCTCACTTAGCAACCAAAATTCTGGGCTCAATTGAGGGCGCTCCGCTCTCTTGCCTTTCTCTCTCTCCAGAGCGACCAGCGCCTTACGCCTGAAATTTGAAGTTTGCAAGGAGCTGGCTAGCTACGTGGAGCTGCTACCCAAAACAGGCTACATCCAAGCCCATTCTTCCTTCAGCGTCCAGCTGAAATTCCTGCCAAGGTAAGGAATGCACCGGCTGCTTTCGCTACTTTCCCGATGCGTTTCTTTCTCCGCCACCGTTCACTTCTTTCTTCGCCAATTTGGCCGGCTTGGAGTTGCAACAGCCTGGATAGCTCAACAGACAGAGCTCTGTAATTTAACACCAGCTGTCTGCAATTAAAGTAAGTTCGAATCTCGCCAGGCTCAAGGTTGACTCAGCCTTCCATCCTTTCTAAGGTAGGTAAATTGAGGACCCAGTTTGTGGGGGCAATAAGCTGACTTTGTATAAATATACAAAAGAATGGAGGCTATTGCTGAGCACATTGTAAGCCGCCCTGAGTCTTCGGAGAAGGGCAAAATATAAATCAAATTAAAAAAAAACAACTGTCCTAACCGAAAGCCCTATCAATGGTGGAGCCGACCAGCAACAGGAAGCCTCAGCAGAGGAACGAAAGAGCCACATGTGGCTCCAGAGCTGCAGGTTGCTGACTCCTCATCTAGTAGTAGGTTATGGTCTACTTTATCAAATGCCTTATTGAAGTCCAAGTAAATTATATCAACAGTATTCCTCCGGTCCACTAATTTTGTCACTTTATTTTTCTTGCCTAAATGTAGAATTTTCTTGGCTAAATGTAGAAAACGCTCGTTTTCTTTCACCTCCGTTCAAGGAGGGGCAGTTAGGGGCCATGTGGATTTGAGCAGCCCATCTTTTCCTCTCCACTTGAGCGAGGACCAGTTGAGGGGTGAGTGGAGATGCCAGGATATTGGGGGGAGCCCAGCATGGCTCCATCCGTTCGACACCGCGCTCCCACCGAGGGTGACTCAGAATTGCTGCTAATTAATTCACGTCAACGTCAAAAGGAACAGATTGGCCGAAATGGGTGCCTTAGCTCCCTACAGCTGGGATCTCGGAAGCTGACATACTGATTAGTGTGCAAGTTTAAGTTCTATTTATAGCTAAGAGTTACTGTCCTGAAAACAGAGCAATCTCTTGGTCTGTTTTTTTAAAAAAACACACACAGTAATTATACAACATCGGCTTATCTTCGGCTCCTATTTAATATCACGAGCTGACAGAAGGAATTCCTGGCAGTGAAAAGCAGTGAAAAGCATTGTCTCGAAATCCCCGTGCGGAAACGAGGCTTAAAAAAAAATCTGCTTTGCCACTCAATCAGACTAATAATAATTTGTACTGCAAAAAAAAAACAAAAACACACACACCAAAGGAGAAACTTATTTCTCATATATCGCAGTGGTTTGGATGCGAAGGGGATGAACCTGAAAATATGGTACCCCGAATTATTTGCAGGATGCAAAATGGAGGATTGCATTCCTACTTTTATTCCTTTATTCTCTTATTTATTCAAGCTGCCCATCTTTCTGTCACTTGTCTGTGTCAGGGTATTGAATAAACCAGGATTGCTAGTTCTCTTACTTCCTCAAGCGGGAGGCTAGGATATGCAAATCCTTTTGGATGGGCTCAATGCGGGATTCAGCCTCGCTTTTTGTGAGCGCTCGGTACCAGGCGGAATACATTATAACGACATGTCATTGGAGTCAAAAAGATAAATGCCTTGTTTTATGGCATCGCTTGCAAAGGTCCTGCAAAAATTCCCCTGTTGGCTGAAAGAATTAAGAATTTTCTAGCATCTGGAAATAAGTTTTCCTTCCATTCTCAGTACAGATAGGCTGTATTGCAGGTGGATTAATTTATTTACCATAAAGGGTGCGATATGGGCAGCGAATAAATTTCATGAATGAATGAAATGAAATGAGTGGCATATTTGTTTGAATCGTTGACACCCGTGCCTTCGCCGAATGCTGGTTCCCAGACAAGCCTGCTAAAATGTAATACAAAAACTATTCTTGTCTTCAGATTATCTAGAAAAAAGCAGAATAAGAGAAACAAGGATCACGGAAAGCCATCTGGAGCAAAAGCTCTTAACTGCAATATTCGATAAGATGTTCTTTTCTTCACTCTTGCTCAGAGAAATCCCCGTATGTAACTAGATAAAAGGTTCCCCTCGCACATATGTGCTAGTCGTTCCCGACTCTAGAGGGCGTTGCTCATCTCCGTTTCAAAGCCAGCACTGCCCGAAGACGTCTCTGTGGTCATGTGGCCGGTATGACTCAATGCCAAAGGCGCACAGAACGCTGTTCCCTTCCCACCAAAGGTGGTCCCTATTTTTCTACTTGCATTTTTTACGTGCTTTCGAACTGCTAGGTTGGCAGAAGCCGGGAAAAATTCACAGGAGCTCCCCCCCCCCCGTTACGCGGCGCTAGGGATTCGAACCGCTGAACTGCCGACCTTTCGATCGACAAGCTCAGACTCTTAGCCACCGCGTCCCCTCACTAGATCACCTGAATAAATTTAAATCTGGATTTTTCAAGGAAACTTCTAAGCGTCTGAGAAACATTGTAGGAATGTCCTTAAAAGTTTGTTTACAAAGTTGAGTCAAGGTTGTTTATGCTGTTTTCCCCGAAGGTATACTCAAGCTTTTAGCACAGGGATAGGCAGTTATGGCCCCTTTAATGACCTCTGGACTTCAACTCCCAGAATTCCTGAGCCACCCATGCTGGTGGCTCAGGAATTCTGGGAGTTGAAGTCCACAGGTCATTAAAGGGTCTATATTTATCCATCCCTGCTTAACCTGGACACCCCCACCTTCTCTTCTTTTTCAGACTCCCCCTTTCAAAAGATGCCAAGAAGTACTTTGATGAGAGGACCCGAGTTCTGGAAGCACCCCTGACTATCATTGTTTCTGATCAGGTCAGCTTGGCCAATCTGTGGCTTGTTGTTTGCTCTGTAAGCACAAACGTCCTGTCCCGTCTCATTCTGGACAAACCTGGATTCTTCATTTGAAGAATGAAGAACAGGGGTGGGCTTCAAAAATTTTAGCAAGGGGTTCTCTGCCCGGTTGCTGGGTGGGCGTGGCCATGGTGGGCGTGGCCTAGTCCTTCTGCACCACAGCGGGAGGGGGTGTTTTTGCCCTCCCCGGGCTCCGGAGGCTTTTCTCCAGCCTCTGGGAGGCCAGAAATGGGCCCGTTTCCAGCCTTCCCAAACTTCCGGTAGGCCCGTTTTTGCCCTCCCCTAGCCTCTGTTTGCGCCATGCACTTACCTGCATCCAAAACAGGCCTTCCAGGGACTCCTGGAGGGGTGGGATGGGAGTGGGATTTGGGGGTTCTCTGAACTGCACAGAATCTTAGCTAGAGGTTCTCCCAAACCCCTGGGAACCCCCAGCAGCCCCTGATGAAGAACCTCTGTTGAAATGTACCATATTTTTCGGAGTATAAGACGCACCTTTTCCCCCCAAAAAAGAGGGTGAGAATCTGGGTGCGTCTTATACTCCGAATGTAGCCCCGCCCAGCTTCTCAAACAGAGGTTTCAGAGGCTGAAAAAAGCATCAGAAACGACGCTTCAGAAAAAAAGCCTCCAAACAGAGCTTCAGAAAAAAAGCCTCCAAACAGAGCTTCAGAAAAGAAGTCCCCAAACAGAGCTTCAGAGGCTTTTTTTCTGAAACTCTGTTTTGGAGGCTTTCAGAGGCAGGAATTTTTTTTTTTTCTGAAACAGGATTTCAGAACTTTCAGAGGCAGAAAAAAAAGCCAAAAAAAGCAAGGCACAGAGCTCACAACCAAGGAACCTGTTGCTAAAATTCACCTCTAGGAACAGCTGATTGGGGGTATTCCGGGAGGCCGATCCACCTGCCAATCAGCTTTTTTCTTATTTTCCTCCTTTTTAGAGCAAGCCGGTTGAATTCAGCATGCACGCCATCCTGACCACGTCGGATTTGGAGATCAACCCAAGCGACGTGGATTTTGGATACTGCTCTATCTACGAAGCTGTTCGGACAACCATCACCGTCACCAACAAAGCGATTCTCCCCCAGGAGTTTGGTTTCGTCGGGCTGCCAAAGGTAAAAAGATCTGCTTGATTTTGTCCCTTGGGAATTTGCAGCCCGGGTGAGAATTACTCTCAACTGTTTACGATGGGGAGGTTCTGGTGGGTCCCGCTTAGAATGAAATCCGTGTCAGGAAATTCCAACTTCTTCATTTTTCTACACTGAACCAGCCGGTAAATGTTTGTTGTGTCACCTAGTGTCGGGGTGAAATCCAGCAGGTTCTGGAGAACTGGTAGCAGAAATTTTGAGCAGTTCGGAGAACCGGTAGCGGAAATTTTGAGCAGTTCAGAGAACTGGTGGTGGAAATTTTGAGTAGTTCGAAGAACTGGTAGCGGAAATTTTAAATAGTTCGGAGAACTGGCAAATACCACCTCTGGCTGGCCCTGGAGTGGGGTGGGAATGGAGATTTTGCAATACCCTTCCCCCAGGAATGGGGAGGGAATGGGGATTTTGCAATATCCTTCCCCTGCCACACCCAGCAAGCCACGCCCACCAAACCATGGCCACAGAACTGGTAGTAAAAAAAAAAATTGGATTTCACCACTGTGATCATTGTCATAATTTCTGATGTTTTAAAATTCTCCTGGAAAGGAGCTTTAAAAGCATATATATTTTCAGAGCCAGGAGGACTAGTAACCTGGCTTATTTAGAATTGGGGGGTGGGGCAGCAGACGTCCATAGTCAATACAATATTCAATATGTTTCCTTTTTTTTTTTTTGCTTTGCAATCTCACTAAATGTATGAGCCTCGGTGGCGCAGTGGTTAAAGTGCAGTACTGCAGGCTACTTCTGCTGACTGCTGACTGCCGGCTGACTGCAGTCTTGGCAGTTCGAATCTCACCAGGCTCAAGGTTGACTCAGCCTCCCAGCCTTCCGAGGTGGGTAAAATGAGGACCCAAATTGTTGGGGGCAATAGGCTGACTCTGTAAAACAGCTTAGAGAGGGCTGTAGAGCACTGTGAATATAGTGCTATTGCTAATTGCTAGAAGAATTCTGAGAACCAAGTTTAATAACAGATTAACATAGTCGGAAGGGACCTTGTAGGTCATCTAGTCCAGCCAAAATAAAACAACCCTTTTGATAAGGGTAAAATATCTACCATTTGTACCTTAGAAGTGATAGGACATTCCTTAATAAATAAATAACCGTCCATTTTCTAATACTTTTCCTTGGTTCATTTTTCTCCCGATTTTGGGAAGTTTGTCGAAGTTCAGCCCAACGACGGCTTTGGGGTGCTCCTACCTCTGGAAAGCTTGACCCTGGATGTCATCTTCAAAGCCAAGACAGCGAAACTGTACAGTTTTGAACTCATTTGCAAGACGGAGATCAACAGGTATGGGTGTCTGTTTCAGTTGTCAATTTTCGTGATGTCGTTGGGCAAAAACGAATCGGGGCGAGGTCCCCTTGAGGTTCAGCTCACCCTAGCTAGAACAGAGGACTCCATATTTAGCTCCTGGCACTAGTATTTTACAATACTAGTTTAAACTCTCGAACCGTGATAGCAAACCGTGATAGCAAACAGCTGCCACGGCGGGCACGCGAGCTGTCGCCCAAATCAGCTCCATTGCGCATCAGCCAGCCAGCTGATTTTTGGGATGCACAGGGGGCAAGGCACATGTGGGAGATGTGCACGCATGTGCAGGGGCCACACCCACATGCATGGGATCACATGCACGGGGGCAGCGGTTGCGCATGCGTGCGCGGGGGTTGGGGGTTGTGTGCATGCGTAGGGGCGGGAGTGCGGAGGGGTGCGGCACGCTTCCCCCATGGCCCATTTCTGGGCCCAGTAGGCTGCCGTGATGCCTACTAGGCCCAAAACGGGGGGCAACGGGGTTGAGTAAACTGGATGCTAATTTTACATCTGGTTCGCCGAACCGGTAGTTGCAAGGATTGGCTGGTCCCTCCCACCCTACCCCGCCCGTCCCAGTAGTAGCCACACGGCCAATTTTGGATGCCAGTTTAAGTGCAGTGCCCACGCGGAGGCTCTGGGAGGGTGAAAAACGGGCCTACCGGAAGTCCTGAAACGTGCCTGTTTTCACCCTCCCAGAGGCTCGAGAAAAGCCTCCGGAGCCTGGGGAGGGTGAAAACACCCCACCCTGACAGGATCTCTGTGTGGTTTGTAGATAATTCCTGGTTGCCTTTTAAAACAACCCATCCGAGCCACTCATCACTCCGCAGACAGAGAAGACAAAACAGTGTTAAAACATGGGAAAACAAACCCAAGAACAGCCCCAAACAACTGCCAATTACTGTCATCGTTTTTTCAAAAGTGATGCCGCCTCATTCAGGGAATAATATTTAAAACAAAACAATGAGGAAAAAAGGTTTGCCAGCGAGAGACACCCAAATCCTATATATTCCAGAATCAGGGGTGGGCCGATGGCGGTTCGCAGGGGTTCGGGAGAACCTCTAGCTAAGATTCTGTGCAGTTCGGAGAACTCCCGAAATCCCACTCCTGGCTGGCCCTATCCACCGCGTCCCGCCCCTCCCAGGAGTCCCCACGTGGCCCATTTTGGATGCAGGTAAGTGCAGGGCCCGCGCAGATGTTCGCGGAGGGCGAAAAAGGGGCCTATCAGAAGTTCAGTAACTTCTGAAAACTCTCTAAGCAGAGAGTTGCCGCCAACAATTTGGCTCCTCATATTACCGACCTCGGAAGGACGGAAGGCCGAGTCAACCTTGAGCCAGTGAGAATCGAACTGCCAGCAGCCAGCAGTCAGCGGAATTAGCCTGCAATACTGCATTCTAACCATCGTGCCACCCCAGAGCTCTTCGAAGCCATGAAGCAAGTGGGGATTTCTCTCTTTTATTTGCAGAAAGGGGCGCGCGTGACAAACTGCCAACTTGGTCACACCGCTTCTTCGAAAAGAATCCGACGCCGACCCCGAAACATTTCGGTCCCGTTTTCCCATTTTAGAGAGTTCAAGCTGTCCTGCAAAGCTGTCGGAGTCCATCCTCCCCTTGTGCTTTCCCACTCCTTCGTCCAGTTTCCGGCCACGGCTCTGGACGACGTCTCGGCCGCCACCCTCTTCATCCTCAACCCTCACGAGAGAATCAGCCACTTCACTCACACCATGCCCCGAATCGGCGAGGGGGAAATCGCTCCAGTTGGACCCACTTCCTTCCAGTTCCTTGTGCCCGAAGATTCTCCCATCATCATCATCCCCTGCGTGGGGACTGTCCTGCCTGGGAAGGTAAACTCTGAGCATGTTTAAATAAGATATTATTACTACTACCTCCAGCCTCCCAACCAGCTTCATGAATTTTTGGCTTGGGGTTTTAATCAGTGGTGGGATTCAAGTAATTTAACAACTGGTTCTCTGCCCTAATGATTTCTTCCAACAACCAGTTTGCCAAACTGCTCAGAAAGTTAACAACCGGTTCTCCCGAAGTGGTGCAAACCGGCTGAATCCCACTACTGGTTTTAATTCCTTGCGATGGATCCACCCTTTGAAAACTTTGCCATCAAGTCGGCCTAAAAATTAGCAGATACAGATTAACAGAGTTGGAAGGGACCTTGTAGGTCATCTAGTCCAGCCTCCCACCCAAGCAAGAGACCCTACACCATTTCTGACAGATGGCAGTCCAATCTCTTCTTGAAGGCCTCCAGGGATGAAGCTCCCACAACTTCTGAAGGCAACTTCTCTTCCATGGGTTGATTGTTCTCACTGTCAGGAAATTCCTCCTTATTTCCAGGTTGAATCTCTCCTTGGTCAGTTTCCATCCATGATTCCTTGTCTGGCCTTCGGGGGCTTTGGAGAATAGCTTGACCCCCTTCCTCTCTGTGGCAGCCCCTCAAATATTGGACACGTATTTCCTCCCTCTTCATTTGGGCTTTGTTGAAAGCTAAGAGGAGAATGACACATTTAAATAGGAAATAATTGCTTGAATAATTAAAATAAACAATTAAAGCTACCTCCACCACCCTATCCCTCAGATGAAGTGGAAACTAAAACATAACGAAGAACGGTTGCAGGAACTGGGTATGTCTAGTTTAATGAAAAGAAGGATTGGGGTGATATGATAGCGTTCTTCCAATATTTGGGGGGCAGCGCCACAGAGAAGAGGGGGGTCTACCTATTCTCCAAAGCACCAGAAAGCAGGACAAGAAGCAATGAATGGAAAACTAATCAAGGAGAGAAGCAACCTGGAATTAACGAGAAATTTCCTGACAGTGAAAATAAATTGATCAGTGGAACAACTTGCCTCCAGAAGTTGCGGATGCTCCAACACTGGAAGTTTTTAAGAAGAGATTGGAAAACCATTTGTATGAAATGATACATGGCTTCCTGCTTTAGCATGGGGTTGGACTAGAAGATCTCCAAGGCAGGGGTGAAATGCTACCGGTTCGCACCGGTTCAGGCGAATCGGTAGTAAAAAAAAAAAAAAAAAGCTACGGGTTCGTCTGAACTGGTATTTCCGACGATCAGCTGTGCCGCGCGATTTAGATTCGGTAGAAAGGGGGAAATCCTGCTTTCTAGCGAATCTAAATCACGCGGCACAGCTGTCCGTTTCCCCCCTCCCTCGCTGTTCTACTTACCTTCAAACAGCTCCTTTTTCCATGCGAAGTGCACGCATGCGCAGGCAGTGAATAGGTGGCAACCCGCGGAGGATTTCACCACTGCTCCAAGGTCCCTTCCAACTCTGTTATGCTGTTATTTTGAGGTTCTGTTGTAGTTTTGTGGCTTCAGCCATTTTTGTTTCCTGCCTAGTTTATTTGGTTTTTTTATATCCTTGGTCATTTCTGCTTTTAGTGAGGTCTCCCCCCCACCCCCCTCCTTATTTCTTTCTCTTCTGTCGGCTTCTGATGTCCAGAAATGCCTCCTTGATGTCTCCTTCCACCCAGCGCTGTCCGATCAGTTGATCAGGCAAGAGGCGGTCAATATAACCTGTCAGAATGCCGAAATCAAAGCTCAGATGGAGAAAAGGGCCCGAGAATTGGAAATGCAGGTAAAGAGAAGAGTGGCGCGGGACACTTCCTCTTAGTTCTTTCTGACCAAGGGAATGTATGACAGGATCACAACTTGGAGAAGCAGGTGGCAAAAGTGCACAGACACACACAGAAACCTGGCTTTGGGGGGATATAAGGTGAGCTGGACAAAAATTAGAGACCACCATTCATCACAGAAGTGTAATACTTCATTCAACACCCAGTAAAAGTAATAAAGTCCAGTGACATAATTAAGAGAGTCACAGAATGGCTACAAAGGGAGGGGAGGGGAAGAGTGGGAAGGGAAGGGAAAGGAAAGGAGGGGAGGAGAGGGGAGGGGAGGGGAGAGGAGAGGAGAAGAGAGGAAAGGATGAAGAGGAAAGGAAAGGAAATAAGAAAAGAAAAGGAAAGAAGGAAAGGATGAAGAGGGAAAGGAAAGGAAAAAAGGAAAGGAAGGAAAGGAAAGGAAGAAAGGAAAGGAAAGGAAAAAAGGAAGAAAGGAAAGGAAAGGAAAAAAGGAAAGGATGAAGAGGGGAGGGAAGGGAAGGGAAGAGTGAAGGGAAGGGAAGAGGAAAGGGAAGGGAAGGGAAAGGAAAGGAAAAAGAAAGGGACGAAGGAGAGAACCGAAGGGAAGGGAAAGAAGGAGAAGGGAAGAAGAAGAAGGGAAGAAAGGAAGGAAAGGAGAAAAAGAAGGAAGGGAGAAGAAGGGAAGGCAAGGAAGGAGAAAGGGAAGGAAGAGGGAGAGGGAGGGAGGGAGGAAGGAAGGAGATGGAGATGGAGGAGATGGGGACTTTTCTTAATCTACGCTGAAAAAATCCTGGTGGCCCCAGTCTCTCAGTTCTATCTCCAGGAGCCAAAGCTAGGATTCAGGGGAAAGTCTAAAGTTGTGTTTTGTTTGCTGCCATTCACACAGAAGGATTTGACTTTCCCATCTGCTCTTTATTTGTTTATTTATTTTGATGGCAGAGGAGGAAAGAGGAGGCAGCCATATTGGGACGGAAAGACGGGAAGAAGACAGCCAGCATCTCCTTCGTGGCTGAACCTTCAAAGGACAAGAGCCCCATCAAGCCCTTCGAAGTACCCAACCCAGAAGACATCTCCAGAGAGTGAGGATGCCAAAATCTATTTGTCAGGGTTCCCGACGGTTGCCCTAATTAAATCATAAGCCTCAAGCCAAGCTTCCAAAGAAATCCAATTATTTATTAGGAGCTTCATGTCGGCACGTTCCAAGTGAAGCCAACTCTGACCCCACGTAATTTACGACCCAGGCTTGACCCTGTTTCCCCTCCTCCCCCCCCAGGGTGTGTCATCAGTCACATTCACCAATGGAACAATATCACGGGTTGTAGAGATCACTCCCCTCCGTCCGCTGTGGGTAACCCTGGGAGACAGCCTTGAGAGAGATATGTCTGGAATGTGCTTTTGTTTTTGGCTGCCATGCTGCTTCGCCGTTTTCCCATCCCCCTTGCCCTTGCAGGGATGCTTTGCGAGTTGACGCTATTTCTGCTTCCTGGCTAACACTCAATTGTAGAAGTTGGGTGTGCTCATCGGTCTACTTTGGTCAACTATTGATTGGTTTCTTCCCCCTATAGCTCCGAAGAGTACATTGCAGCACATCTCAACCTAGTCCGTAGCTACACCAGCTGTTTCGATAAGTACATCATACCTTGCCTCGTCGCGAGTGGAGACATCGACGAGAAAAGAGGAGTCGAAAACATGAACTTCAGGTACGCCACGTGCATCAACCGGAGAAACCAATGCGGACGAGGGCCTCTTTACCATGGCATTACCGTGGGAGGGGTTGAGTTTGTCAAAGTCTGCTGCTTTGGCTACATGTGTGGCTAATAAAATTAGCACACCGTCAGCCTCTTTTTGCTTGCCATGGACACCCTTTGATTTGCATCCACATGTAATTAAAGACTGGGCTTTGTTTTTACTCTGATTTTAAACCGGGTTTTTTAAGTGGAAGGGCCAGATTTGGTAGGAGTGAATTTTCTTTTCGCCTGGCTTCATTCCTCAACAAAGATCTTAACGCTTTCTGGTTGGACAAAATATTTCTTTATATTTATCTTATCTATATCTGATATTTTGGGACCGTCCGTCTCAGGCGGTGTATAATAAAACAGGAAAGAAGATTAAAAACAGGCTGTAAAAATTTAAAATTTTAAAAGGACGCTATTGAATGCTATTAAAATGAGTTAAAAGTCACAGGTCGGGCTCTTCGGCCACTCATCAACCCCATGGCTGCGTGCTCCCCTGCGCTCCCCATACCAGGCCGCAGAACCAGTGGTGGGATTCACCAGTTGTAACAACCGGTTCCGCTTCGCGCGCCTTCCAGAGGCTGGAAATGGCCCCATTTCTGGACTTCCGGTACTTCCGGTAGGCCGGTTTTTGCCCTCCCCAGGCTCCAGAGGCTTTCCTAGAGCCTCCAGGAGGGTGAAAACAGCCTCCCCTGGGCACTTTAGGTCCTCTGGAGGCCGGAAACAGGCCTGTTTCCGGACTTCCAGTAGACCCATTTTTCGCCCTCCGACAGCCTCCGCACACACCCTGCACTTACCTGGCATCCAAAACGGGCTGCATTGAGACTCCTGGAAGGGGAGGGGCGTGGTGGGCGGGATCAGACAGTCCTTGGAACAAACCGGTTCGCCGAACCAGATTAAAATTAACATCCGGTTTGCCCAAACTGGCTGAATCCCATCCCGCAGAACCATGTTTTTAATTTTCTCTGCAATCAGAATCTTCTCTGAGAGTTTGCTTTTTACAAAGCTATTTTTTGCCGATCTTGGGATTTTGCGGTGTTCACGGGCCATGATGCTTTCCGTGCCGGAAACCAGGGGCATTTGAACTGCAGTGTATTTTTCTCTCTACAGCCCTTATAATACTTTGTACTTGGAGCTCCATTGTCCGTCTGTCGCCCCTGTCGTGGTGGTCACTTCAAACAACGGGAGGACCTTTTTCAACTTTGGGGACGTCGCCGTCGGTACAAAATCCTCTTTCTCTATCCTCTTTTTTGATTCATAAACCTTGGTGCTTTCTGGCGGAGATCCACAAGTTTTCTCAGTGGCCTTATAAGCATCTTAAGAGCAACGAAGTTGATTAGGGGACTGGAAGCTAAAACAGATGAAGAACAGTTGCAGGAACTGGGTATGTCTAGTTTAATAAAAAGAAGGACTGGGGTGACATGATAGCAGTCTTCCAATATCTCAGGGGCTGCCCCAAAGAAGAGGGAGTCAACTTATTCTCCAAAGCAGGACAAGAAGCAACGGGTGGAAACTAATCAAGGAGAGAAGCAATTTAGAACTAAGGAGAAATTTCCTGACAGTGAGAACAATTAATCAGTGGAACAACTTGCCACCAGAAGTTGTGAATGCTCCAACACTGGAAGTTTTTAAGAAGAGGTTGGCTAACCATTTGTCTGAAGTGGTGTAGGGTTTCCTGCTTAAGCAGGGGGTTGGACTAGAAGACCTCCAAGGTCCCTTCCTATTCTATTCTGTTCTGTTCTGTTCTGTTCTGTTCTGTTCTGTTCTATCCTATCCTATCCTATCCTATCCTATCCTATCCTATCCTATCCCTATCCCTATCCCTATCCCTATCCCTATCCCTATCCCTATCCCTATCCCTTTCCTTTTCCCTATTCCTATTCCTATTCCTTTTGCTTCTCTTCTCTTCTCTTCTATATTTATTCTCTTCTATTCTATTCTAACAAAAAACAAAAATCTCTCATTTTGGAATATTGGAGCAGTACAACACTTTGTATAGGGCAGGCCAAAGGTATATAGGTAGTCCTTGATTTATGACCACAACTGAGCCCAACATTAGGTCCCTGTACTTGGGGTTGTCTAATTGTCTAAGACAAAATGAAACAAGCCAGTAGTGGGATTCAAATTTTTTTTACTATGGTTCTGTGGGCGTGGCATGGTGGGCGTGGCATGGCTTGGTGGGTGTGGCAGGGGAAGGATACTGTAAAATCTCCATTCCCTCCCCACTCCAGGGGAAGCTTACTGCAAAATCCCAATTTCCTCTCGATCAGCTGGGACTCGGGAGGCAGAGAATAGATGGGGGCGGGGCCAGTCAGAGGTGGTATTTATCGGTTCTCCGAACTACTCAAAATTTCTGCTACCGGTTCTCCAGAACTGGTCAGAACCTGCTGAAACCCACCTCTGAAACAAGCATATATAGCTTGAATCAGGCCATGCTGATCTCAAATCCTACTGTAAACGGAATCTGTGATACACAGACATAACACACACACAAACAGTTGTAGCTAAACTGTAATTTCCAGAAATACCGGTTAATATTGCCAATAGCAAAAGAGGATTTGAACTATAGATCGATAGGATCTGGTAGGCTGCTGGTTTCCCAAAGTTGGTTTGGTGGTTTGGCTGGTTTTGATAACGCGCACAGTGAGAATTCTTCTTCTTATGTTTTCCGAGACCAATGTAAGAATGGCTCCTTAATGTCGTCCTTCTTTTAAAATTGTCTTCAGCTGGCTTTCTTTTACCTGAACTGTCTTCTCCCACAGGGCATAGAATCAAGAAAGAAGTGGAGATCCAGAATATATCCAAAGAACACTTGGTGGTATCCTTTTCATTAAACTAGGCCCTAGTTCACCGCCGCTGCAGCATGGGCTGTGGCATTGTTAAGCGACGCAGAGGCAGGCAGGTGGGCACAGGGGAGCGACTGGCGGCAGCGCTCCTGGCTGGCAAGGGGGCGGATGCCCCGGGCTGCATGTGGACACCGATGGCAAGCAAGCGGGCGAGGAGCGGGAGCAGCTGGGCCTGGGCGAGTGGCGATGGCAAGCAAGCGAGGGGGGAGTCCCATAGTCACTCAGATAGGCAGCAATTTACCAAAAATTAGGCAGGCGATGGCACTCCAGCAGACGAGGAGCGGGAGCAGCTGGGCCTGGGCAAGTGGTCTGGGCGAGTGGCGATGGCAAGCAAGCGAGGGGGAAGTCACACAGTCACTCAGATAGACAGCAACTTATCAAAAATTAGGCAGGCGACGGCACTCAAGCGGACGAGGAGCGGGAGCAGCTGGGCCTGGGAGACGTGGTCTGGGCAAGCGGCGACGGCAAGCAACAAAGGGAGCAGGCGAGGAACCAGAGAACAGCCAAAGAACAGTTGGGGGGGGCTCTGGCAAGCAGCCAATGCGGGCGAGGCGAGATAAGGAATGGCGGGGAGGGGTGGGGAGAGGAGGGGCTAGCCAGTTCGCTGAACTGGGCAAATGGGATAGGGGAGGGTGGTGTGATATATACAAGAAGTCTGCCTTCGGGCAGAAAGCAACTTGGCGTGGCGACGGCACGCGTGCCCACAGAGAAGGCTCTACGTGTCACCTCTGGCACGTGTGCCATAGGTTCGCCATCACGGAACTAGGCCCTAATGCTCCACCGTATTTCCCACTAGATTGCTTTTCTCTTTCTTTTTCTTTTTTTTAAAAAAAGAATATTTTTTTTAGTTTTGTTTCTTTTTTCCCAACCAGAAAGCTCCTGTCTGTGATTTAGAAATAGTAACGTCGAAGGAGGTGGGGGGAAATTACAGTTCAAAAATCAAAAAAGGTGGGGAAGGAGGAGGAGGCGGGGAAAAAAGTAAAGATTCAAACTCAGGTTTCAGCTTCTAAAACCCCGGTTCTCGTTATCCTCCACTTGGAAGAAAAGCATTCCAAAGTTAGTTAGTTTGTATTATTTGGCCCAAGATTAGGAATTGGCTGTTTTTCTTTGTCCTTTGTTGGATTCTTTGAACCAAGTTTTTCAGGTGGGATACTCCCTTCTTGATCCCTTCGGACCGTTTCTGCTGGCCAATCCGATTTGTTCACTCGGAGAAGGCGAATCCCGGGAGCTGGTCCTGTCCTTCTGTCCGGAAGAGAGCAAGTCCGTGAGTTTCTCCGTTCTCTTGTCACACTTTTCATGTTTTGTAGCGCTGGGTCTCAACCTTCTTCACTTTTAAGAGGTGTGGACTTCAACTCCCAGAATTCCCCAGCCAGCTGAGGAATTCTGGGAGTTGAAGTCCACACCTCTTATAGTGGAGAAGGTTGAGACACACTAATCTATACAGTGTCCCACTGAACATTTCATCCATTTCCCCCTGAAATTTCTCTTCCCAGTATTTTGAGATCCTGGAGATTCGAACTGAGAAAGCCACCCTGACTCTGACGTTGACTGGCAGAGGAGTAATCGTGTCCATTGCCTGTTCGCTGGAAGAAGATGTGTTGAATATGGGATATGTAGTCTCCAAGGAAACCACCACCTCTGTCTTCAAGGTACGGTCTCCTTTCCAAGGAAATCCTGTTCTCCTATTCCCAAGCGAGGCGAATCAGTGGGGGCGTTGTAACATCCACGCCTAATAACAGTAAAAGAGTTGGAAGGGGCCTTGGAGGTCATCTAGTTCAGCCCCCTGGCTTACGCAGGAGACCTGTCCTAGGGATTTGAACCGCCAAACTGCCGACCTTTTGGATCGACAAGCTCGGTGTCTTCGCCACCGAGCCACCTCCCTGTGGTAAACCGTGTTACCATGATTTGCAAGCAAGCTGCAAGGAAATGCCACCACTTGGTATTATTATTATTATCATTATCATTATTTAAGATTTCATCTTCAATTCGATTGACAGCCTGGGACTGGTAAAAACTTAACAATTCAAGTCCTAACCAAGGACCTAAGAGCTGTTAACATAACGTGTCATTCATTAAAAATGAAACTCAAGAGAACTGGACAATTAAAAATGTGTTACAAATACCATTGACTGGTGCTAATGGTTGATACAGGTTGCTGCCAGCGTCCTAGGTATTATTATTATTATTATTATTATTATTATTATTATTATTATTATTTAATCTTTAGTGAGATCCACAGCCTTTGAGGCTGGTTAATAGCTCAGCAGCTCAAGTCCTAACCAAGGACCTAGGAACTGTTAAGGTATCGTTGGAGGATGTAAGCTGTTCCGAGTAAGGTGGTTTTTTGTAGAGTCAAAATGTTCAAGTCCGGTAAATTTAGAATTTCTAAATAGCAGGGTAGCCCTTATTATTATTATTATTATTATTATTATTATTATTATTATTATTTCAGATTTCTTCCAGTCACCCCGCCTCTAATCCTACTTAGCTTCTGGACATAAGCTGAGGTCAGCCTGTTTATTGCCATCTGCTGTGATCTAGCAATTTTTGATCAAATACCATAAATTAGTTAATCCTTGGAGGATTTCAAGCAAATCCTATCTAAAGTTCGCAGGGTCGTCTTTAAAATCATGATAGGGGGGAAAAAATGACAAGATAAATTAACCTCAAGATCAATCTAGACTACAGGGCAAAATAATCTTTATGAGTGATAAACTTTCAAATATTTTTTTTACAGTGAGCAATTTCCCCAGATTAGAGATGGTCCATTTTTGGGAACAAAGGTTGTCTGAAATATTTAACATCTGAACCAGAATTCCCCAGGTCTGAAGTCCACAAGTCTTAAAGTTGCCAAGGTTGCACACCCCTGATCTGAACCATGTTACTGTTCTCATCCATGACAAGCTAGGAAAGATTTCTTGCAAAAATTACTTTCCCGCCACTGTTTTCTTCCTGAACCCACAAAAAGAAAAGTTCGCGTTTTTGCCAAAGGCCAACAAGCACCTGCACTCTGCTACCGAGGAAAAACAGCTTAATATTGGAAGTAATTTTAGGACGATGGGTTCTTTTGCAGATCGACAACATTTCTCCTTTGGCCTTGAAATATTCTATCGTCTTGGACTCTCTTTCTCCGGACAGATATCAAGAGCTGCAGAAGTTTCCCCCATTCCTTAACACTCCAAGAGAAACACATATAGTCGGTAAGGAAATGGGCCCCGTTTTGAGGGCTATTTTGTGCTAGATGTGGGTTGTGGGTTGCTTCATGGTTACGATTCATACAATTTGAACAAATTCTCCAGAGGGATACATGCTGTGGTGGGATTCAGCCGGTTCGCACCACTTCAGGAGAACCGGTTGTTAATTTTCTGTTGTTTGGCACACTGGTTGTTGGAAGAAATCATTAGGGCAGAGAACCGGTTGTTAAATTACTTGAATCCCATCACTGGATACATGTTCCAGTTACATGAAGGTGGCAGGGCAAATTTCATAGGAAGAAATGGCAATAATATCCATCTATCCAGTGGTGGGTTGCCCCCGGTTCGGACCGGTTCGCAAGAACCAGTAGTAAAACCGGCAGGAGGCTCTGCCCACTGAGCTGGATGTCATCATAGGTGATCTGCACATGTGCAAAAGAGCGTTCGCACGCGTGCGGACACAATGCAAACTGGTAGAAAAGTAGAACCCACCCCTCTATCTATCTATCTATCTATCTATCTATCTATCTATCTATCTATCTATCTATCTATCTCTATCTAATATCTATCTATCTATCTATCTATCTATCTATCTATCTATCTATCTATCTCTATCTAATATATCTATATCTATCTTTCTATCTATCTGCCTGTTTATCTATCTATCTTTATCTGTCTGTCTGTCTGTATGTCTAGCCATCCCTTATTTAGCTACCTACTTATCTCTATATCTATGTATCTATCACAAGGGACACGGTGGCTCAGTGTCTAAGACGCTGAGCTTGTCAATCGAAAGGTATTGGCAGTTCAGCGGTTTGAATCCCTAGTGCTGTGTAATGGGGTGAGCTCCTGTGAGTTGTCCCAGCTTCTGCCAACCTAGCAGTTCGAAAGCAGGTAAAAAATGCAAGTAGAAAAATAGGGACCACCTTTGGTGGGAAGGGAACAGTGTTCCGTGCGCCTTTGGCGTTGAGTCATGCCGGCCACATGATCATGGAGACGTCTTCGGACAGCGCTGGCTCTTCAGCTTTGAAACGGAGATGAGCACCGTCCCCTAGAGTTGGGAATGACTAGCACATATGTGCGAGGGGAACCCTTTACCTTTACCTAAGTGTTCTTCAAAATACTTTAGCCACCTAATGAGAAGGAAGGTCTCACTGGAGAAGAGCCAAATGCTGGGAACGATTGAGGGCAAAAGAAGAAGGGGACGGCAGAGAACGAGGTGGCTGGATGGAGTCACTGAAGGCATGAGCTTAAATGGACTCCAGAGGATGGTAGAGGACAGGAAGGCCTGGAGGAACGTTGTCCATGGGGTCGCGATGGGTCGGACACGACTTCACAACTAACAACAACAACAAAATGTTCTTCCTTGGGCTCAACTGGTTAATATCCTGGTTTTTCTACTCGTTGGATTTCCAGCACTGCTGTGGGAAGGGGACAGTTTCTTTCCTACTGGCCTTTTTACCGATTCCTTTCCCAGGTACGCAAAACTACAGTGGCCTGAGTGTCTTCAGTATCTTCCCGATGCAAGGCATCATCGGGGTTGGGAAATCTCAGGAATTCACCGTCACCTTCAGCCCTGATCACGAGAGCTTGTATTATTCCGACCGCATCCAGATCTTGCTTTTCGATAAGGTGAGCTTCCATATATTATTCAAAAGGGAATTGGGGAAAAGGTGTGAAATTCAAGGGGGAAGAGAAAAAGAAAGAAAAGGGGGCATTGACTTCCAACTCTTCCTAGCACAGTACAAGATAAACACACTCCAACCTCAATGTTTTGCTTTTACATCTATATATATAAAAGTGAAAACCACTCACGCATTAATCACGAAATCTCCAGAACTGTAAAGCCTACAAACTTGAAATTTGCCACATATATTCTTCTTAGCTTTTAGGTGCTCACTAAGAAAGGATTTTTCGAAATTACCATCAGAGCATTAGTATTTCCTATATTATTATTAACACGCTCTGATGCTAAGGACTTTTATTCCTCCTTCCCACCTGAAAAGAAACCTGTTCCAAATGCAAAACACAAGCAGAGGAGACGAGTTTCATTTTCAGTTTTATTTTCACAGCAGCAAGCAGCTTTACTACAGAACAGTTGAGCTAAGCCATGCCCAGCCTCCTTCCTGTCTCCTTCTTGCTCACACAGCAAATACTGTTTGAGTTTCCAAACACCCCTCAACTCTTTCACACATTGACAGGATGCTAGCCAGATGAATACCGATGGATGCTGTGGGCTGGGACATTCTGCTCCCCGTCTCCCTCTGTTCCAACTGCCAGTTGCATTATATTAACACACTCTGATGCTACGGAGTTACACATTCTACATTAAGTTTCATGCTGCAAGTGTCAATTTATCAAGCCCGAGCACATAGTTACTAGCGTCCAGCTAGTATTAATATATAATGAGCCATTTCTATAATACCGAATCTTTCTCATCAACAAAACCAAAGTCAAAGTTTCATTCTTTTTTTTTTTCTTCACAAGCACCAATGCCAGAAGTGATGTCCAAATAAGAACATATTTTGCTCTTCAAATGAAGTATTCAATTTAACCATTCCTGCTATATCTTCTTTGCTATGGAAACAGTGTGTATTTTTATTTGCACCTGGTAATCTTTGTGAATTGTCACTATTTTTATTTTATTGTATTCTTTCAAAATTCTTTGGCCTTACCGAAGTCCACGCATCTTAAAGTTCCCGACGTTGAAGAATATTGTTTTAAATATTGTTGACAGAAGGAATAGATCAGACACCCAGCCCTTGCTTATCAATGGAGACCGAGTGGAGCAAGGGGCCAGTTTTAAATTTCTGGGTGTTATCATAAAAGAGGACCTGACCTGGGGCGCTCACATTGCAGCCCTGGTCAAAAGGGCCCAGCAGAGATTTTACTACCTGAGACTTCTCAGTAAACAACAACTGAATGAGAAACTGCTGGTGGCCTTATACCGCTGCACCATAGAGAGTATCTTAACTTACTGCACCTGCGTATGGTTTGCCAATTGCACAGTGGCAGATAGGACAACGCTCCAGATGGTCAACGTCATTGCCCAGAGGATCATGGGTTGCCCTCTCCACTCCTTGGAAGAGCTTTATACCTCCCGCTGCCTTAAGAAAGTTCAAAATTCTTAAAAATCCATCTCATCCTGGGCACCCCCCCTTTTTTTTTTTTTTTAACGATTACCATCTGGCAGCCGGTACAGGACAATCAAAAGAAGGACAAGCAGGCTGAAAAACAGCTTCTATCCCAGAGCAGTAACTATATTGAATTCTACTGTATAGTGCAGTGATGGCTAACCTTTTTGTCGTCGCGTGCCAAAAGCAGGGGGAGTGGGTGGGGTCGCACGTGTGCCCACACCCATAATTCAATGTGCCGCGCCCCCCGCACATGACCCCTCCCAAGCTCCCCACGCTTTTGCCATGCAATGGCCCGGTGGGCCCGGTAGGCCCGTTTTTCGCCCTCTCCAGACTCCAGAGGCTTTCTTGGAGCCTGGGGAGGGTGAAAACGGCCTCCCCCATCCCTGGAGGCCCTCCGGAGGCTGGAAATGGCCTGTTTGCTGACTTCCGGTGGGCCAGAAGGCCTGAAAATCATGCACACTGCAGCTGAGCTAGGGCAACGCTCACATGCCCACCGATATGGCTCCATGTGCCACCTGTGGCGTGCATGCCATAGGTTCGCCATCACGGGCATAGTGCAATACTAATGCAATATCAGGGGTTTTCAATTCAATTGTATAGAATGTGAAGGCGGTGTGTTTTTATTTTTACAGTTATGTATGATGTACACTGAAGGTGGCATTTAATTTCGTTGTACAAGGTGCAGTGACAATCAAGTAAGCTAAAGGGAGTAGTAGGTCTAAATATCCTTTTCCTTCAGAAGATTTCCTTCCAAGATTCCTTGGAAAGGTGATTGTTAAGGAATTCACAGAGTAACCCTTGAGTAGCAAGGGTGTACACGTGAAAGCGATTGAGAGTAGTTACGAATAAACACAGCTAACACACAGATACACTGAGTTGTGTTTACTTTCAGGAAATAACAAGGCACAGTCCAATAAACAGTCCAGGTCATACACATATAAAGCAGGAGATAGCCAAAACGACAGTCCAGGGATAATCCAATAACAAAGTCTTCTTACCAGTCGTCGTAGTCATTGACAATAAACAGTTCTTCTGAATTTGCAAACAGTAGCATACAGAGATATTGGAGAGCAAGAACAGCAAAGAGAAACAAACCATGTTTCTAGCACCCTCTTAAAGACACTGGCTACAGAGCTAACCAATCAGGACACAGTATGATGCAATACAGCAGTCTTAAAGGTACATTGATAGTTTATATATTGCCAACCCAAAGTTAAATAAACCATCATAGTGATGGGAATAGCACAGGCAAATGACGGAGAGGCGTTTTAGAAACCTCGAGCTGTTTGAAACTCCTTGCAGGAAATTATCCGGGTGATAGAGCTGAAGGGGGCAGCAAGAAACCACATCATGTACGTGGAAGGCGGAGAGGCGCTGGACGTGCCCTTTGAATCGCTGGCGGTGCTAAGCTCCATAACTGAAGAAGCCTCCAAAGCAGGTGACCCGGCCTTAAAAGAGGGATAAACTAGGTTCATCTTGGGCTTGGAAACTGCAGGTGGAAAATTTGGGGGGGTCCGGCGGGCAGAGGATGGGGAATCAAAACCTGTTCCTCCTTTTCCCGTTCTCCCAAAATGGACAAAAATTGCATCTCTGCAGAAGCTGAGAAAGCCATCAACTGCATCCTGGTCAGCCTGAAGTGTGTGCAAACGGAGACGTTGGTGATCCCAGCAGTGAGGGAGTTGAAAGTCGGAGCCATACGGACCGCTCAGTTTGCATCGAAGAAGGTGCGGCAGTCTTCGGGGGGGGGGGTAGGTGGGGAGAGGGAGGGGGACATTTATCAAAGCAAATTGTGGAATTCAGGAGAGGACTTGGTCTAGAGGTGGAGCTCTCGCCTCACAATCAGGAGGCCATGAGTTCGATCCTAGATAGAGGCAGGTATTTCTCTCTCTGGGCAGAATGAGAAATATATCTGCTGGACAAAACTCCGTACTGGTGACAGGAAGGGCATCTGGCCAGTAAACACTCTTGATAGCTCCATTCAGTTGCCCAAGACTCCACCCTGCAAAGGATGATGGGGTCGTTAAAAGAAGATGATGATGACTTGGTCAGACATAGAAGAGGATTGGGTGGGAAAATCCTTCAGATGTATTACAGTAGTCCTCAATATACAACCATTTGTCTAATGACTGTTTGGATTTACAAAGGGGGACTTACGATTATGCACCAAGACAAATTCCTTGTGTGTTGAATCATACTTGGCCAATAAAAAATTCTATTCTATTCCATTCTGTTCTGTTCTGTTCTGTTCTGTTCTGTTCTATTCTACTCTACTCTACTCTACTCTACTCTACTCTATTCCTGTCCTGTCCTGTCCTGTCCTGTCCTGTCCTATTCTCTCCTCTCCTCTCCTCTCCTCTCCTCTCCTCTCCTCTCCTCTCCTCTCCTCTCTTCTCTTCTCCTCTCCTGTCCTCTCCTCTCCTCTGTTCGCTTGTATTTGATGCTGCTATTTTATATAGATAGCTATTTTATGCTGTGTCAGGAATTAAGAGACTAACAAAGCTGGAAGGGACCTTGTAGGTCATCTAGTCCAACCCCCCACCTAAGCAGGAGACCCTACACCATTTCTGACAAATGGCAGTCCAGTCTCTTCTTGAAAGCTTCCAGTGATGAAGCTCCCACAACTTCCAAAGGCAACTTCTGTTCCATCAGTTGATTGCTCTCACTGTCAGGAAATTTCTCCTTATCTCCAGGTTGAATCTCTCCTTGTTCAGTTTCCATCCATTATTCCTTGATCAAGGGTTTTCTCCCTTTGCAAACCTTTCTTTTTTTTCTTTCTTTCTTTCTTTTTTTTTTTGCAGAATGTCGAATTCACCTGGGAAAACTTACAGGTTTTGCAGCTGAAAGGATTCAGCGTGGACCCCATCAAAGGAATGGTGGAACGTGGGCAGACCAAATCCATCATCGTTTCTTGGGTGCCCCCTGCCGGCTCAGATGTAGGTTGGCACGCTTCAAAAGTCTTATCCGGTTGAGGTTGTTTGCCCTGGCATTCTCTCCTTCCCTTTTAAACTAAGAACGGGGTGGATTTCAATTCCCAGAATGGGGAATTCTGGGAGCCGAAGTCCACCTATCTTAAACTTGCCAAGGTTGACAAACACTGCATTAAAACAGCAGTACCCACTTTTAGGACACCGGGAAGTTGTTCCATGGAGTGAGGTTTTTCCGTGGACCGGAGGGGTTTCACGTGGTACCTGCATCCCATGGATGGGGCTTTGCTTGTTTCCACGGCCTGGTTTATGGTCTACCGTGTCCCAGTGTCAATTCACAAACTAGGGGTTGGGGACTCCGGCTTTAATACACACACACACATTCTTTGGGGATGCAGTGGCTCAGTGGCTAAGACGCTGAGCTTGTCAATCGAAAGGTTGGCAGTTCAGCGGTTCGAATCTCTAGTGCTGTGTAACGGGGTGAGATCCCGTGACTTGTCCCAGCTTCTGCCAACCTACCAGTTCGAAAGCACGTAAAAAAAAATGCAAATAGAAAAATAGGGACCACCTTTGGTGGGAAGGGAACAGCGTTCCGTGCGCCTTTGGCGTTGAGTCATGCTGGCCACATGACCACGGAGACGTCTTCGGACAGCGCTGGCTCTTTGGCTTTGAAACGGAGATGAGCACCGACCCCCTAGAGTCAGGAACGACCAGCACATATGTGCGAGGGGAACCTTTACCTTTATATATTCTTTGCATACAATATGTGCTTAAAGAACAGTATATTGTCTGAGTCAATTCATTTATATCTTAAACTCCTAATTTCTACCCCTGTTGTCCAATCATTGATAAAATAAGTCCCAAGTTCGAAAGCATTTTGTGTCTTCTTTTTTCTTTTATCTTCAGTGTTAATCTGTCCATTTCTGCACAGTCCAATATTTTTTTAAATTACCGGTACATCTTCTGTAGGTGTCTCCTCGGTTTTCCAATGTTGTGCAAACACAATTCTTGCCGTTGTTAAAACACGTACTATCAAACCTGCCTTCTCTTTGTCGTATTTTTCTGATATTATGCCTAACAGGAATAGTTCTGGCTTAAAAATCTACTGTGCTGTCTTCACATTTTTTTTTCTAACTGCATATGCATTTTCGCCCAAAATCTTTTTTTTTTTGCTTTTGGGCACGTCCACCACAGGTGTTGGTATGTGCCTTTCTCTGTCTTGTTTCCACAGCCCAATCAGCCTATCACCGGATCGGCCACGCTGATCGTGAAAGGCGACGTGAAGGAAGTTTACGGCGTCTACTTCATGGGCCGGATCGTGACCAGAGAAACTCCAAACTGAAAAAAAAAAACCTTCCCAGGGAGGAGGCTCCATTTGAGGCTGTGCATCTTAAGAACGTTTTGAAAAGGCCATCTGGAACATGGGAGGTTTTAACCCAAAATAGATTTCCGGTTTTATCCCTCTAGAATGCTTTGAGGCCGAATATTATCTGCTGCTTCCCTCTCCCCCCCCCCCCATTTTTTTTCCTTCTGAACACGCAGAGAAGGCTTCAAGCTGGATTGGAGAAATTGCTTTTTCGTTCATTTCTGTTTCTGTTTGTTGGTAAATAAAATTGGCCTTCCTGGCAATGCTTGAATTTGTCACCTTTTGAGATGAGAATGGGCTGAAAGGAGGAGAAATGCCATCTAAGAACTTGCTTCTGTCTCCCTCCCTCCCTCCCTCCCTCTCTCTCTCTCTCTGTATCATCGTCTTTTAATCTCTTGCGGGGTGGAGTCCGGGCAACTGAATGGAGCTAGCGGAGTGTTTACTGGCCGGTTGCCCTTCCTGTTACCAATGCGGAGTTATATTCAGCAGATATATTCTTCTCGTGCCCAGAGAGAGAAATATCTGCCTCTACCTAGGATCAAACTCACAGTCTCCTGATTGTGAGGCCAGAGCTCCACCACAAGGCCACCGCAACCACTCCTTGTGTGTGTGTGTGTAGGTGGCTGGGGAATTCTGAGAGTTGTAGTCCACCCATCTTAAAAGCGGAGAAACTCTGCCATAAACCACGAGTTTGCAAACCACGTTGGCCGGTGTTTGGGAAGGAGGCAGGAGTCCCCCAGGGACCAACCACGTTCTCCAGCAGAAACAACGTCGTGTGCGTTGCTTTGGCAAGAGTTCTTCCCTCCACACACACACACACACACACACACCATCCCCAGTTGTTCCAGGCCTTTTGCAGAAAAGATCTCCCACCTCCACCGAGAGCAACTAATGATTGTTTAAGATTGCTGTCTGGGCCGGTCGGACATTTCCTTCCAGAGACTGGACCAATGAGATTAGCTCCAGGGGGGAATAATTGCAGACTTCTTGAATGAGGCTATAAAAGACCGTAATTATATACTTGGAACAGCCTCTACCCTTCAGCGAGACGGCCTCTGCATACAAATAACCCCAGCAGGCTGTTATTTACAATTAATGTGCAAAAAAAAATGTCATTTATTTATTTTTTTTTAAAATGCAAAGATTTGCAGGCTTTCTAGCTCATCACCAGCCCAGCCCATTTTGAGTCCAGCCAACTCCTTTGCTCAGATATCTGGATGTCCTTTAGATATTTTCAGATTTAAATAAGTTCTTATGTCACGGGCATCCATCACAGCTCGGCTAAAAAACGGGTCCGTGTTACATAAAACCCCGATAAGTTGTTGTTAGGTCGCATTAAGCAAACAACCGTCGTGTCGAAATCCAATCCTGCAAAAGAGGTTTCTGTTTTTCTTTCTTTCTTCCTTTCTTCTTCCTTCCTTCCTTCCTTCCTTCCTTCCTTCTTTCTTTCTTCCTTCCTTTTTTCTTCCTTCCTTCCTTCCTTCCTTCCTTTCTTCTTCCTTCCTTCCTTCCCTTCTTTCTTTCTTTTCTTCTTTCTTCCTTCCTTCTTTCCATTCTTCTGGAGATACTTGGGAAGGTTTTTCCATCTTCCTCTTTGTAGTGTTTTTCAGCTTCCTTCCCCTTGCAGGGTAGCCGGGGACGATGGTTTCTCCCGCACTCTAAAGACTTCACCGGTGCTCGTTGTTCCCGATCCAAAAAAACTCCTGCAACGATTGGAAACCTTTTCTTTGGGTTTTGAGCAAGGAAGCAGGGAGGCCACAGGCGCCTAGAGAGAAGGGAAGGCGTGCAGGGAAAGGGAGGCCGTTTGCAGCTACAGGTAATATACACACCCTTGCTTTGTCCCTAACAAAACCTGTTAGTGCATAAAAATTCTCCCTTTCGTTGGAAAGAAACTTCTGAAGCAGATTCTCCTTCGTTCAGATCAAAGGAGGACTTGTATGAATTGGGGGAGAAGGAAGAGGCGAAATTCCTTCCTTCCTTCCTTCCTTCCTTCCTTCCTTCCTTCTTCCTTCCTTCTTTTCTCCTTCCTTCCTTCCTCCTTTTCTCCCTCTCCCTCCCTCCTTTCTCCCTCCTTCCTTCTTCCCTCCCTTCCTCCCTCCCTTCTTCCTTTTCTCCCTTCCTTCCTCCTTTTCTCCCTCCCTCTCTCCTTTTCCCCCTCCCTCCCTTTTTCCTTTTCTCCCTTCCTTCCTTCCTCCTTTTCTTCCTCCCTTCTTTCCTCCTTTCCCCCTCCCTCCCTCCCTCCTTTTCTCCCTCCCTCCCTCCCTCCCTTCATCCTTTTCTCCCTTCCTTCCTTTCTCCCTCCCTCCCTTCCTTCCTCCTTTTCTCCCTTCCTCCCTTCCTCCATTCTTCCTTTTCTCCCTCCCTCCCTCCCTTCCTCCTTTTCTCCCTCCCTTCTTTCCTCCTTCTGTCTTCCTTTTCTCCCTCCTTTTCTCCCTCCCTCCCTCCCTCCCTTCCTCCATTCTTTATTTTCTCCCTCCCTCCCTTCCTTCTTTTCTCTTTCCCTCCTTCCCTCTTTTGTCCCTTCCTTCCTCCTTTTCTCCCTCCCTCCCTCCCTCCTTTTGTCCCTTCCTTCCTCCTTTTCTCCCTCCCTCCCTTCCTCCTTTTCTCCCTCCCTCTCTTCCTTCCTGTTTGCTAGCAGTTACCTTTGCGCATTGTGGTTTATGAATCCTCGCATTCCACTTAAAAACAAGTCAGGCCTTAACCCATTCTCTGCATACTGCCTCAGTCCCATTTCTGGCATTTTAACCTCGGCGGTTTTTTAAAACCATACGGCTCTCCTGCCACCCTTTACTAGTGCTAACTGTGGCTTTTGAGTTTCATTTTTGAAGGCCCTGAGAGGTTTAAAACTTAGCGTTGCTATGGTAAGAACTGGGATGGAAGCGGCCGTGGTGTCACCATTATAAGACGAGAACCAGGCTAATCTCTGTTGGCAAAAAAATCCCCGGGATCTGGTAGCAATTGATAAAGGCATTTTATTAAGAGGCAGAAGATTTTGTCCTACGCCTGGTAAATTACGTCTCTTGTCAAGGCTTTATAATAATTCTAGGCACCTCCCCGAGACTCCGTTCAGCTGGCGGGGCAGGTTTTAAAAGCGGTGACACACAACTGGTGTGCTCCACTTCAGTGAGAAAAACACAGCTGTCTTAAGCACAGGAGCCTCCCAGGGGTGAAATTCAGCAGGTTCTGACAGGTTCTGGCGAACCGGTAGCGGAAATTTTGAGTAGTTCGGAGAACCGGCAAATACTACCTCTGGTTGGCTGCCTGGAGTGGGCTGGGAATGGGGATTTTGCAGTATCATTCCCCCAGGAGTGGGGAGGGAATGGGGATTTTGCAGTATCCTTCCCCTGGAGTGTGGTGGGAATGGAGATTTTGCAGTATTCTTCCCCTGGAGTGGGGTGGGAATGGAGATTTTGCAGTATGCTTCCCCCGGAGTGGGGAGGGAATGGAGATTTTGCAGTATGCTTCCCCTGGAGTGGGGTGGGAATGTAGATTTTGCAATATCCTTCCCCTGGAGTGGGGTGGGAATGCAGATTTTGCAGTATCCTTCCCCTGGAGTGGGGTGGGAATGGGGATTTTGCAGTATCCTTCCCCCAAGAGTGGGGAGGGAATGGAGATTTTGCAGGATGCTTCCCCTGGAGTGGGGTGGGAATGGAGATTTTGCAGTATCCTTCCCCCAGGAGTGGGGAGGGAATGGAGATTTTGCAGGATGCTTCGCCTGGAGTGGGGTGGGAATGGAGATTTTGCAGTATCCTTCCCCTGCCATGCCCACCAAGCCACGCCTACCAAGCCACACCCTGCCCACCAAGCCACGCCCACAGAACCGGTAGTAAAAAAAAATTGAATTCCACCACCGGAGCCTTCTATGTTTGAAGAGCTGTAGAAAGTGATAACACAAAGTTGCTTAAATTCCATTTCCATTCAAGAACTCGCTGATAAAGATCATTTCCTCACCACAATGGGCCTCACGTACACTTCTTGACAAAAAAGAGTAGTGGAAAGTCAAAAATATTTGAAACATCTTGGAAAAGGCAAACCTCTCACCTTCCCTCCCCTAAGGGGCCATTCGATCGCCTAACATGTTTCCAACTAAACAATGCTGCATTTTTATTTATTTATTTCTTTGGCTTTCTTCTTTCCACACCGGGATCTTATCTCCATCAACCTCAGGGCCATTACTGGCTATTTTATAGAAGGAGGAAACTACAAAGGGGTCGTGGACCTGTTCTCCAAAGCACCTGAAGGCAGAACAAGAAGCAAGGGATGGAAACAAATCAGAGAGAAGCAACCCAGAATGAAGGAGAAATTTTCCTGGCAGTGAGAACAATTAATCCGTGGATTATTTAAAGTTGTGAATGCTCCATCACTGGAAGTTTTTAAGAAGAGGTTGGATAACCATTTATCTGAAGTGGTGTCGGGTTTCCTGCCTAAGCAAGGGGTTGGACTAGAAGACCTCCAAGGTCCCTTCCAACTCTGTTTATTCTATTCTATTCTATTCCATTCCATTCCATTCCATTCCATTCCATTCCATTCCATTCCATTCTTCCATTCCATTCTATTCCATTCTATTCTATTCTATTTTATTCTACTCTACTCTACTCTACTCCCTATTCTATTCTATTCTATTCTATTCTATTCTATTCCATTCCATTCCATTCCATTCCATTCTATTCTATTCTATTCTATTTTATTCTACTCTACTCTACTCTACTCTACTCTACTCTACTCTACTCTACTCTACTCCCTATTCTATTCTATTCCATTCTATTCCATTCCATTCCATTCCATTCCATTCCATTCCATTCCATATTCCATTCCATTCCATTCTATTCTATTCTATTCTATTCTATTCTATTCTATTCTATTCCATTCCATTCCATTCCATTCCATTCCATTCCATTCCATTCCATTCCATTCTATTCTATTCTATTCTATTCTATTCTATTCCATTCCATTCTATTCTATTCTATTTTATTCTACTCTACTCTACTCTACTCCACTCCACTCCACTCCACTCCACTCCACTCCACTCCACTCCACTCTCTATTCTATTCTATTCTATTCTATTCTATTCTATTCTATTCTTCCAACTTGGTTATTCTGTTATTCTGGAGTTTTATTTATCTTATTGATTAGATTTCTGTCGCGCCCACCACATCTAGAGGCGACAGAAAGTGGATGTAAAATAAACGGCATTAATCAAGAGTTAAAATTAAACAACTGCATGTAAGTTAACGCAGCTGTCCCCTTGTCTCATTCGCATTTTCCTCGTCTCGTGATATTAATCCTTCCAATTTCTCAACAACTAGGAGCGAATGAAACGGGACAGGACTATTCCAGTTCGGTTGTCTGCCAAGGATATCTGCTCCTGCTCCTGTGGTTACCCAGAAGGATCGTAATTGCCAACTGAAAACAAAAACGGTGAGATTAAATAGCTTTGATAAATCGCCAGTTTTTTGTGTTGCGACAAACTTCCTCCATAGGTATCAACTTGGCTAAAAAAAAAGTCTCGGGCTCCGCTCCTTTCTGTAATCCTAGCTTTCGCCTCTCGTTTTCCAGCATTGATAGCTTATCTGGTTAAAAATAGCTTCTTTTTCCCCCCCCCCTCTTTTCGTTTGACTAGAACGCTGCATTGTGGGGATTTTTTTTTTTTTTACAAAAGGGTGGGAAACTGCTCCAGAGAATGAATGGCACAAGCAGCTGGCAATCAAAACTACGAAAAGGAAGTTTCCCACAATTTTTTATTAAACTGGTAAGCGATTTTTCTGTGGGGTCCTTGGTGCGCTCCAAGCTTGAAGACATTGCTTTCTTGAAGACATCTCATAACCCAAGTAGATAACATCATCAGTGCTAGAAAGGAGTGAGGGAGGAGGAAGAGGACTGTGAGGTCCTTGAAGATCTCTGAGCTTGATCGTTTTCTTGCAGGCATTTCATTACCGAACTAGGTAACCTCATCAGTGTTTCTCCACAGCGATCAGAATCCGTTATCTGTAGGCATTATCGCTGTGACACACTTCAGTTGGGAAATGTCATCCCTCCTGTTCCAAATGATTAATGGCTTCATTAATTCACTAAGCTGCTATTATTAACCCTTTAAGTGGAGAGGCTGGGATCTATGACCGAGAAGAAGACACATCCCTTCCTTCCTTACTCACTCATCACCTGCTTGAATGCCCTTTTAGCTGATAACCGGGCATTGCCCAGGTAATTTATTTATTTTAATCCTGTATTAGACAGGACGAGCAACTTCATTCTGAACCCTGATTTCGGCGAGAATTAAATTAGTTAAAAATGTTTTCCCTGTGCCCCCAGAAGTGTCAAGTAAACCGATACCACCTTATTGTTGCTAGCTGACCTATGATTATTTGGTATGCTTTTTGTCTGATCTTGATTTAGAAGTGGCTTCTTACCATGGCAACTCCACTGTGCTGTACAGTAGGAGCCATTTTAAGGCAGTCCAGTAGAAGCCATTTTAAGGCACAACAGGCTCTATCTTAACAGAACACACACACCCAAGAGGTGTTGGGGTGTCTTAGTCCCACAGTATTTCTTTCCAGAGAGTAAGTCATCTGTGTACCAAGTTTGGTTGAAATTGCTTGAGGCGTTCCAGAGTTATGCTGGAACATACACACACGCAGCCATTTTTATATATATAATAGATTTCCCAGAAATGCATGTTTCATGAGGCCTAGAAACGTGTTCATGTTTTTCTAACTGAAGGCGGGAGGAACGCTGGAAGGAATTTAAGCGTTTCCCTTCCCCTTTAAAGAAAATCAGATAAAACCCAGATTTAAAGAATAGAAATAGAGGCGTCAACAGGGTTGAGATAAGACTCGTGGGTACCTGTGCCTGGAGCAAGCTGAAGATATAGGAGCTAGTAGAATTTCTATTAGCTAAAAAAATTCAGGTCACCTCCAGTTTCACAAGCGAAGGTATAAATAGTCAACACCTTGTACCCATAATGGATTAGATGTGAATCAGCTCTCTTTAATGACATAATCTAAATAATATTTACCTACAGCCATGGGGTGCTATTCCTCTTATTGCCGTTTCTGTTGATCAAACACCTGGCTCATTAAAAGATATATATATATATACATACACAAACACACATATCACCATGACTTTTAATCAGCATTTCCTCTGGCATTGCAGAGTTTCACATTTTGGGAACACAAATAAATGATTCATGCTTAAACCACCTTTTTTTAAAAAAAACGCTCATATGATCTTAAAGCAGATGCTGTGTTTCGAAATCATTCCTGTTGAATTCAGGGACTTTTATAATGTCCCATCTGAGCCTTGGATAAGAACAACTAGCTTCAGAGCATGTGCAGAGAACGGTTCTGGAATCTCTCAATCGATGCAGGCCGTGGTTTGATGGATTGGGAAACGCTGAAGCGTGGGGAATAATTACTCTCAGAAAAAGATTCTTGGCCAGGGATCTACAGATGCAAAAATCCTACATTTTGTTAAGCATAAAGTTGTTAGAAGAGCTTACAACTTTAAGTTGTTAGAAGAGCTTACAGTCGGCTTTCAACCATTTGTTTCGCAACCATTCGAAGTTATAACGGTGCTGAAAACAGTGACTTACAACCATTTTTCACACTTATGACCGTTGCAGCATCCCCAGGGTCACGCGCTTGGCAACTGACTTCTGGCAAGCAAAGTCAACGGGGAAGCCAGATTCACTTAACAACCGTGTGACTGGCTAACTTAACAACTGCAGTGATTCACTTAACAACGGTGGCAAAAAAAGGACATAAAATGGGTCACCTAACAACTGTATTGCTTTGGAACAGCAGTTTTGGGCTCAATTGTGGCCGTAAATCGAGGACTAGCTGTAGTTCCAAGCTAGAAAAAGAACTGCCTGGCCTCGTTTTAATCTCAAGGCACTCCTCTGCTGAAGGATAACTTCTTGAGGACTAGAACGTTGGCATTTCTACCAAGTCAACAAAACATCAAAAGTTTTTTTCACGTTTGACTTACCTACAGTAGTGGCCAAAATTGGGGAAACCTTTTGGGAAAAGTGTATTTTTTAAACATCACTTTCTTTTGGAGTAGTGCCCTAAAATTATATATCAATGGAAAGAGTATTTAATCAAGAATGTAATGCCGTAACTTTTATGAAGGATTTGCTATTAGAATAGCAGTTACAGTATAAGGAAGAAAAGTGAAACACGTAGAAAAAATGAGATATTCAAAAATTATCACCACGTCAGTTAATACTTCGTTGGGTCTCCTTTAGCATGAATTATGGCCTTATAATGTCTTCCCATGGAGGGAACCAAGCCTTTGAGTTCTGCAGCTGTTATAATATGAAACCAAGATTGAATGATGGCTTCTATTAACTGGGTTTTATTGCTGGGTCGCTTCTGATTAACAAGTTTCTTTAGTCGGAAAAATCCATAGATTTTCAATGGGGTGAAGGTCTGGGCTATTCCCAGGCCATTCCAGCAGTGGAATGGGATTATCTTGAAACTCCAAAAAAAAAAAAAAAGTGGTGTTATTAGCCATCAAACCTCAAAAATACAACTTTTCCCAAAAGGTTTCCACAATTTCAGCTGCTACTATAGTGCCTGACAGAGATTTCTTTTGTTAGAATAGGCCCCAAATTTGAAATTTTCCAAAATGAAAAAAACGGGGTAATATTCTAAAGGGCTGCATTTTTTTAAAAAAAAACCCTGACCATCTGGAACCCTGGCAAGAAAAAAAATCTTCCCGATCTTGTTTATTTTAGAGATATATACACACACTTGGCTTTTGCGCAGCTCTTAGTAATGGCTCATGAACGCTTTCTCTTGTGTGTACCTTTTCCTAAGCTATTAACCTTCGCATCCGTCTCTAAAAGGAGCAAAAGTCGCCTCGCCTATCTTCACGATCTCGCAGAAATCCCTCCGGATGAAACTTGCTGCCCAATGAATCAAGATGAGAAACTTAATCTATGCGGGTCACCACCGTGTAATAATACTCAACGGACTCCCAGTTAGGAGTTAACAGCCAGACAAAAGCTTAGCCAGCAAGGCTTGGGAACTGGGATAGAATCAGGACGCTTCGATCAGAAATTCAACAGAAATGCGAAGAGGTTATTGTTTTATTTCTTTTTTAATTTGCATTGACGCAGTTCTAGGCATTGCACGCCGGGACAAGGGGGCACAAAGACAGTTTCCCCCCCCCCACTGTGCCGTCACTCTGCTAAACAAACTCATTCTCACAACACTGTCAAACTATCTAATATGGCTGTGTATTGCCATTATTTTCCCCATCTTTTCCTGTTACCTATTACGGTTTACATTGTTTATTTAGTATCCTAGTATGACTTATGTCTATTGCCTATTTAGTATCCTATGACTATCACTAAGTGGTGTATCTTATGATTTATGATGAACGTATTTTGACGCTGACTATGATCATGCTTTATCACTTGTTGCTTGTATGTACACTGAGAGCTTATGCACTGGAGACAAATTCGTTGTGTGTCCAATCCACACTTGGCCAATAAAGAATTCTATTCCTATTCCTATTCCTATTCCTATTCCTATTCCTATTCTATTCTATTCTATTCTATTCTATTCTATTCTATTCTATCCTGCCTTTATTATTTTTACAAATAACCCAAGATGGCAAACATGTCCAACACAACTTCCTCCTCCTATTTTCCGCACAACAACAACAACATTGTGAGGTGGGCTGGGCTGAGAGAGAGAAGCGGGGGGTGACTGGCCCAAAGCCACTCAACCGGCTTTCATGGCTAAGGTGGGACTTGAACTCGTGATCTCCCACTTTCTAACCTGGTTTCTTAATCACTAGGCCAAACTGGGCTTATGCAGAATTTGACTTACATTTTTTTCCAGCTCTGCAGAATTTGGGTTTCAGGCTTGAATTGCAGGAAGGACCAATTTTAGCTGCCCCGCCCTCCAAAAAATCAAGCACAGGTATAGATACCTACATTAAAAAAAATTACAGGAAGAAGGAGTATTATGTATGTTTGCTTCTTACTTACAAAGTAATAAAGGTGGGATAAAAGATAATAAATGAAGGCAGAGAGCTTGGAATGACCTCAGCACGCCTTTTTTCCACGTTTAATAGGGGCTTCTTACATATTTTACATTTCTTTTTCTCTGTTTTAAGATCCTGAAGATGGAGATAACGCAAACAGGAATGCCAATCATCTCTCTTTAGACCGACAATGAGATTTATGGAAATCTGCACTTCTATACCATTCCCTGCTGCAGATCCTTTGTTCCCCACCCATCCACCCCCTGAGAAGCTGCTTAAACACGCCAGCAACCTGACTAAGGTAAAGGTAAAAAGGTTTCCCTCGCACATATGTGCTAGTCGTTCCCGACTCTAGGGGGCGGTGCTCGTCTCCGTTTCAAAGCCGAAGAGCCAGCGCTGTCCGAAGACGTCTCCGTGGTCATGTGGGCGGCATGACTAAATGCCAAAGGCGCACAGAGCGCTGTTCCCTTCCCACCAAAGGTGGTCCCTATTTTTTTACTTGCATTTTTTTTACCTGCTTTCGAACTGCTAGGTTGGCAGAAGCCGGGACAAGTCACGGGAGCTCACCCCGTTACGCGGCGCCAGGGATTCGAACCGCCGAACTGCCGACTTTTCGATCGACAAGCTTAGCCACTGAGCCACCGCGTCCCAACCTGACTGGGTAGGTTGACGTTTTTAATGGAATCCCCTTGGAAAGATCCCCGCAAAATTTGAAAATAGGCAAACCCCAGTAATGTAATGAAGCGGGCTCTGATGGATGACCACTGGATAACTTTCTATTCACTCTATTCTAAAAAGAAATGCATCCGGTTGGAAAGAGTACAAACTCAGCCAAGGTCCTTTTGGTTCCTCTAGGAGGCCTCTAAGTTGTCAGAAGAAAGGAACATTCTAATAACATACAGCTTAAAGGTTGGTTAGGTCAAGGGGATCCACATGAGTTAAAAGTTGTCCATCGTCAAAAGATAAAAGATATGCTTCAGTAATCTACAAAAAGAATTATGATTGTTTTGCAAAGAAACTCTGTAATGTCAATTAAAATTGATAAATGTATAGGACCATATGAACTGCTGACTTCAAAAGAATCCTTTGTCTAGAAGGGTATAAAACCATTGTACCTAATTCCTGTCTTTGTTCAACGCTTCATGTACAGAGCCTTGAACCTATTGCGCAATATATAAAATCTGTCTCTGATCAACCCAAAAGTTGTGTTTGTCTTATTAAATCCACAACATTTATGGCACCCTGCAGATGGGACTACAAGGCAGAGAACTTTTGTTCTACCAGACAGCCTGCCTCAGTGGGAATCGACGCCTCCCCAAGGAAAATCCACTGGCCGGCCATTAGGACTCCTTTGAAGTCCATGGAGATTCAGTGAGGAGGTGCCGTAAACCCGCTGACGAAGACAGGCCAGTCAAGAATCCTTGAAGGTTGATCAGACAACAGAGACTCAACAAAAATACAAAAAAGAAAAAAAGAGAAAGAAAGAAAGAAAGAAAGAAAACAGGTAAGTATAAATTAGAGAGTTAAAGTCTCTCTGTTTAGAGGTACCTACCCATTAAAAGGGTGGAAGAGTGAGATCTGATCAATCTCCTGAGAGACCAGTTGGCGTGCTGAAGTCTCTGGAATTAAGTATTTAATTGTTGAAATTAAGTACTAAGTATTATGTGTAATCTTATGTGTGGTAAGAGAAGAACTAATTGCAGTGTTATAAATTTTCTGATAAACTGACATTCTTAAACAGCCAGAGTTTACTGTTCTTCCCTCCGGGGTTTAGCAGGCAGTTAAAAAGGTGAAGCCTGTCTAAATGGGAAAACAGATATGATTTGATCAATTTGGTGTGATTTCTGTTAAATATATATGTATATATATAATGATAGTGTGTAAATTTGAATGGAATTTAATTGATTGTGATATGTGTGGCTGCCAGCAAAGTGAGATGATTTGTGCTTGAGGCTGTAAGAGATATTTGAGATTATTGTAATGGTTGGTTTGCATGAAGTGGGATTTTTTGTATGTGAAATTGGTTTAAACAAGAAGTTGATTGCAGTACAAATATGAAAAGCCTGTGTGTTGATAAAGTGAGAAATTAGAGAAATACTAATGTTAGTATAGTAATAATACTGTGTTGCTTTGTTGTAAGAATGCTGAATGGAAGAGAGAAGCGAGGCTTCCTTGCACGCTGTACATTTTTTCCCTCTTCCCCCCCTCTTTTCCTTTGTAAGAGAGAAACAGTTCCTTTTAACTTTTTTCCTTTCTCTCACCCCTCCTTTTTCCCTGGGAGATGAGAGGCACGAAAGAAGGGGGGGGCTACGGTTTAACCATTTTTTTTCTCTCAGAAAAGCAGCCAGAGAAAGAAGGGGGAAGTGGGTGATCGGCTAATGCTGTTGCTGCTAGGTCTCTTTAATTTGCATATGAAAACTTTTCTGCTCTGAATACAATTTTGATTTTATTTTTTCTGGAAATTTTTGGAGGTTTAAAAACGCTTCATTAAACCTGTACTCAGAATCCTGTTGTTTCGCCAGGCTGGGTTAGCAACATAATTTTAAATCAGATGTTTTAAATTTCTGAGGTTTTAAATTGAGCCGAATCCATTTAATATTTTTAATTATTTTAAATTGGTGTTGTTTTGTTTTTTTTTAAACAAAATAGGCTGTACACCGCCTTGAGTCCTTCGGGAGAAGGATGGTATAGAAATAAAATTATTTTTATTCTTATTTTTATTCTATCTCAAAGAAATTATTTTGAAAGATTTTTTTAATCTACTATTGTTTTATTTTTGAAGCTGTCTTTCTTAAATGTTTTTTATGTCTGCGTGCATTCTGCATCCTTAACAGATGGCACGTTTGTTCGTTTGTATGTTTGTTTGTTGTTTATTTGTTTGTTTGCTAGTAGCACAAGTTACTGCCCTTTTTGGGAATTGTCACAGAGATGAGTTGGAAATTGCGATGTGTGGTAGGAGAGATTCAGTGGCATTTTTGTCTAAAATGTTGGATTCTGCCTCGAGAGTATGCTTGTTTTTGTTCACTTCAGTTTGCGGGGAGATTAGATAATTGGTGCTGAGGAGCTCATTTGTTTATAGAGGGATATACGGTAGTTGAAGGAAGAGAGGAAGTTTTAAGGGAAGTCAGAAAGTTGCCTTTAAGTTTGTCTACACAGACTTGTGCTGGCTTGGAAATCAGGATGGCAGTGGTAGGAGGAATTGAATGTTATAATAAGAAGGAGTTAGAGAAAGTAGAATTGATGGAAAGGAGAAGGTATGTGATTTGTTTTTGGAAAGTTATGGAAGTTGGCAGATTGAAATGTGGAAGTGCTAAGAAGTAGGAGAGAAGTGGTGATCTGAAGAGAAGTGGTGTTTTTCGTTGACAGAGATCAGATTAAGTGAACAAAGCATTTGAATACACTTAATCAGTGAAGGGAGTGTTGGAAGATTTGAGAAGCTCAATATTAAAAGCACAAGAAAATTCCCCTAAAGAAAATAGGCAGAAACTCCGGCAGAGTTCAGCCCCCACCTTTACCAATGGGCCATTAAGAAACTGACACGCTGCCTTAATTTCCACAACAAAAGGAAGAATAAAAGATGTATTTGTTTCTTGCTTGCCTTACTAGGAACAATAAAACTAATTCCAGGAGTTTTGAATTCAGGAGGGGAAAGCTCTGCCTTTCAGCAATCTTTAAAGGGAAAGACTTCCCCCCCACAGAAAAAAAAAAATCACTCCTGATAGAAAGGAGGGGTAGCGTCTCCGCCTCCATCTATAAACAAGCAAGAATTAAGACAATTCTATGCAAAATTAATTGAATCTGGATCTTGGAGTTTGAAATGGGAGGGACATGAAAGAGGAAGCCTTGAAAATTTTGAAACAGGCTTTAACCAGGGCTCCTGTATTGGGTTTGCCGAATTTGGAAAAGCCATTCAGTCTCTTTGTAGGCACACACACACACACACACACACACACACACAAATTGAATTGCACGAGGGTGTGGCTCAGAAAGTAGGAAATTGACCTTTGGGGGAGCCCTCATTGTAAACACCCCACATCAAGTCAGAACTATCCTTCAGTGGTGGTTATCTGATTCAAAATTCTAAACAAAAATAAAACAATTTTAATGCAGCAGACAGATTTGATTTTAACCTGCAGATTTCAATTTGAATCAAGCACAGTTCTTAACCAATACCAGATCAATGGATCACCTTGGATGAGAACATTATGGTGTTGAAATAATTGGTCTCCATACAAAAATAAGACCAGATTTGGAGGGACACCCCCTGGAGACAAATTGCCTCGAAATTGGTCTGCTCAAACCTTTGAATTGCATTCATTAAATTAAGCTCTATGGACAGGGAGCCTGGATAGCTCAGTAGATAAATGCATTGTAATTTAACACCAGCTGTCTGCAATTACTGTAAATTCGAATCTCACCAGGCTCAAGGTTGACTCAGCCTTCCATCCTTTCTAAGGTAGGTGAATTGAGGACCCAGTTGTGGGGGTGCAATAAGCTGACTTTATGATGGCTATTGCTTAATGCATTGTAACCCTTAGTCTCTGGACATCATTTGGCAAAATATGGGTGGAGTCATTGGGGACTTCAAGCTATCGTACATGAACTTTTAAACTAAGCTATGATTGTATTGGGATATATCCTTTAGTAACATCAATTATAAACAAATGTTTGGTTTGTAAAAAGGTGAATGAACATGCTGTCAGAAAACAACAGATGTGTAAGATGTATCACCAGCTTTAAGATCATTTCAATGTATTCATGTGGATTTTACAGAATTACCAAAAGTGGGGAGTGTAAAATATTTATTAGTCATAGTGAACCACCTCACAGGGTGGGTTGCAGCTTTTATCTGCAGTAATGCTACAGCAACAGTGGTGTCAAGAGTTTTACCCAACCTAGACAGATTATCATCATATGAACTGTTGTTTGGAGTAGTTTTCACTACAGGAAGCATATGCATTACTTCCTTGGAAACCAGTGACAAAGTATTGAAACAATATGTGTATAACCTGTCCAGATATTTTGAAGTTTTTAGGAAACAAGGACTATTAGCCCAAACATCGCCTTTGAAGTTTCCAGTCCACAAATTCCACCACGATGATTGGATGTTAATCCAAACTGGACGGAAGTTAGACCCCAAGTGAACGGGCTTAATCTCATCAAGGAAATCCAGTGAAGTTGATGATCCAAAGGATCCAGCCACCAGTGGGAATAGCATTCATCTGGACTATTTTTGTATTTTTTCTTTCTTAGGATTCAGTGGTTGCCTATGCTGTTTCCCAACTGAAAAGGACTACAACTGCTCAGATTCCTTTGCGCACTCGCCCAGATGTATTGGTTTTGTAATTGTGTTTTTAAGATCTTAGGAGGATGATCCTGGATCCACTGGATGAGACTGATACCAGGTGACCATCAGCCTTGTTGGATCACTCCGGAAGCTGATTCTCAACGCACGGCGGAAGATTTGTAAAGAGGACAACTGCCTTCACATTGTACATATACATATTATTAGCTTTAATATAACACTTTCTTACACATGCTAATGTTATTAGAAGTTTGGGAGTACATTTTGTGGGTACTTGTTTTTCTAATTTTGCTAGTAATTTTGTTTTACATATATAAGGAACGTTTTTGTGGTAGACCTAGGATTTTTATTGCTACTCCTGTTTCCCAAACCACATGCACCACTAACCCTTTCCCTGACGTAGTGAGCTTCACACCATAGTTGATTATGATTTGCTTATGGCTTTGGACATTATTCGCACTAGGACTCTCAAGTGAACATAAGATGAACATTGATTCCCCAAGTGGAGACACTTTAGGTCAAGTTCGCTACCACCAAAAACGCATTGTCTATGCACGGGGTTCTTACTTTAGACCTAAGTCAACTCCACCACCTAAGGTTGCACTATTGACATTCTCATCTGAGGGGGGAATAGATAAGGAAAATGGGCCTCTACAACAATTGCATAGAGGAGACTATATATCACGGATTTTGGAATTAAGTCAAGATCTTGTTAATCAGTATGACCCTACCCTAGGTCAGAAATGCTGGTTATGTTTATCTGCTAGCCCTACATCTTATCATGCTGTTCCTGTCAAACCACAACTCTGGGTTAGAACAAAGGCTACCAGAAATAAACTTTAAGAAGGGAAAGTGGGGTGGGTGGAATCTGTCCAAGACCGTTTCAACCTTCAGAATTTCCACTCTGGTTCAACTTGAAGTCCAAATTAGATTTGTGTATTCTTTTTCCACCTGGAAATACTACCTCTCGATATGTTTTTTGAAGGACCAATTCTCAGAGATAAACAGAAGGACCTCTCACTGGAAGTCCCATTGCAACCACTGGCAGGAATGTTTGTGGCAGGGACTTAGGGATCTGGACTAATGCAAGGAACTACTGAGTGCATGCCTTTTCCATAAATCTTCTTATGTGGAAAGGATGCATATTTGTGTTTACCAACAAACTGGACAGAAACATGTAACAAATCAGGTGTGGTCAGAGAAATTGCCAAGGAATTGCAGGATAGGGCTTCCAAGATAGGTCAGAGGTTATAAACAACTGACATGTGGTTTTCTTGGTTGTCTGGATCGGGTGAATTAATACGGCTGTGGCAGGCCTAGCTTTTATTCCTTGTGCAATCCCTATGCTGAAACATCTATAAATAAGAACAGTAAAGGAGATTCAAGTTGAAAAGGAACTAGCTTTGATAGAACGTTTTCTTAATCAACTTGGTCCATATCCTGTGGAAGAACATAAAGATTCTGAGGCAGACCCATATGAGGAAATGGAACCTGTAGAAAAAGGTAGAGAATCTCCCCAAGAATCAAGAGAGTAGAAAAACAATCAAGAACTACCTATCCTTTATTTTTATTAATTATCTTTTGTTAGACCCTATATATGGTAGATTTGTTTATTGGAATCTTGTATACTCAGAAGTTAAACTTATATGAGAATAGTGAAAGTTTCTGCATTGAAAAACTTTCAGAGGGGGAATAATGTAATGAAGCGGGCTCTGATGGATGACCACTGGATAACTTTCTATTCACTCTATTCTAAAAAGAAATGCATCCGGTTGGAAAGAGTACAAACTCAGCCAAGGTCCTTTTGGTTCCTCTAGGAGGCCTCTAAGTTGTCAGAAGAAAGGAACATTCTAATAACATACAGCTTAAAGGTTGGTTAGGTCAAGGGGATCCACATGAGTTAAAAGTTGTCCATCGTCAAAAGATAAAAGATATGCTTCAGTAATCTACAAAAAGAATTATGATTGTTTTGCAAAGAAACTCTGTAATGTCAATTAAAATTGATAAATGTATAGGACCATATGAACTGCTGACTTCAAAAGAATCCTTTGTCTAGAAGGGTATAAAACCATTGTACCTAATTCCTGTCTTTGTTCAACGCTTCATGTACAGAGCCTTGAACCTATTGCGCAATATAAAAATCTGTCTCTGATCAACCCAAAAGTTGTGTTTGTCTTATTAAATCCACAACACCAGTTCCTGTTCAGCCAGAAAGAAACGTCAGTCTGCCCCGATCTGGCACGCGCCTGCCAGCCAAGCCTCAGTTTCCCCATTTCCTTCCTTTTGAAAAACTCTCTTGAGCAGCCAAACAGGTTCGGGGGAATTATTGAAACCTAGGAAAACAGTTTATTACCATGTGTTTTTCCATTGCGTTTCAGCGAGCTCACACCCACACTCGGATCTGTGCCTGCTCCCTTGAAAAGCGCAAACAGATAGAAAACAACAGAGTTGTGGGGCTGGGAAGTCTTAAAATAACAGCCACATACTTTCTGAAACGCACAAGCACGGGCCTCTTTTTTTTTTTCCTTTTCAAAAAAAAGAGAGCCAGGAACAAAAGGTGTAGTTTTAAGGGAAATGAAAGAGCAATTCTCTTTTGCAATGGCCTTGTTTATAGCTTGGTGTGTTGCGTGAAAGAACGTAGGTATGTTTTTAACCTATCGGAGAGAAGGATTGGGGCAGGGGGGCACAGGATAGCTGTCTTTAGAAGATCATTTGACGGCCGTGGCCAGGGGGGCTTTTTATCAGGTTCGCCTGATACGCCAGTTGCGCCCTTTCTAGATCGGGACTCCCTACGCATAGTCACTCAGGCACTCGTCACTTCCCGCCTGGACTACTGCAACGCTCTCTACATGGGGCTCCCCCTGGGGGCACCCGGAGGCTCCAGCTGGTCCAGAACGCGGCCGCGCAGGGGATTATGGGGGCGACGAGGCGCTCCCATGTGACACCTCTCCTCCAGTTCCTGTTCAGCCAGAAAGAAACGTCAGTCTGCCCCGATCTGGCACGCGCCTGCCAGCCAAGCCTCAGTTTCCCCATTTCCTTCCTTTTGAAAAACTCTTGAGCAGCCAAACAGGTTCGGGGGAATTATTGAAACCTAGGAAAACAGTTTATTACCATGTGTTTTTCCATTGCGTTTCAGCGAGCTCACACTCACACTCGGATCTGTGCCTGCTCCCTTGAAAAGCGCAAACAGATATAAAACAACAGAGTTGTGGGGCTGGGAAATCTTAAAATAACAGCCACATACTTTCTGAAACACACAAGCATTGGGCCTCTTTTTTTTTTTTTTTTTTCCTTTTCAAAAAAAAGAGAGCCAGGAACAAAAGGTGTAGTTTTAAGGGAAATGAAAGAGCAATTCTCTTTTGCAATTGGCCTTGTTTATAGCTTGGTGTGTTGCGTGAAAGAACATAGGTATGTTTTTAACCTATCGAAGAGAAGGATTGGGGCAGGGGGGCACAGGATAGCTGTCCTCCCAATGTTTGAGGGGCTGTCACGGAGGAGAGGATGGTGTTGACTTATTCTTCAAAGCACTTGAGAGCAGGACAAGAAGCAACTGGTAGAAGATCTTTAAGGAGAAATTTCCTGACAGAGTAATCAATCGATGGGACAGATTGCCTGTCGCAATTGTACGTGCTCCATCGTTGGAGGTTTTCAAAAATAGACTGGACAAGCACCTGACAGATGGTATAAAATCCCCTGCCTTGGGCTCAGAGGTGGGATTCAGCCGGTTCGGACCAATTCGGGCAAACCGGATATTAATTTTAATCTGATTCGCCGAACCGGTTGTTCCAAGGATTGGCTGACCCTGCCCGCCATGCCACGTCCCTCCCAGGAGTCTCCACGCAGCCCGTTTTGGATGCCAGGTAAATGCAGGGCACGCGTAGAGGCTCTGGGAGGGCGAAAAATGGGCCTACCAGAAGTCCGGAAATGGGCCTGTTTCGGCCTCCGTAGGGCCTCAAGTGCCCGGGGGAGGCTGTTTTTTTGGCCTCCTGGAGGCTCAAGAAAAGCCTCTGGAGCCCGGGGAGGGCAAAAAACGGGCCTACTGGAAGTACCGGAAGTCCAGAAATGGGCCTGTTTCCACGTTACCGCCAAGGAAACTACCCAACAATTCTGCATTCTGTAACGCTTGACTCGAGAAAGACTTTATAACTTTCCGGTCAGAACATCTAGCCATCCGTGCTCGAGCTCCGAAAGCTAATCAAGATTGAACTTGATACTCTAGTCCAGAGGCAGAAAGCCACCGAAATCTGAAGGCGGTAGGATCCTAAATATAGCACAAGGTTCAGAAATTTAAATAAACTAGCTGGAGCCGGCCTCGGGCTTTCCAAATATAAGAATTACCTACATTTCTTAAGCATTGTAGTTTCACCACACCAGATTGTAGCCCCGTCCCTCTGCCAAAATTATCCACATTCCCTCCCAACTCCAGGGGAAGGATATTGCAAAATCTCCATTCCCACCCCACTCCTGGGAGAAGGATACTGCAAAATCCCCATTCCCTCCCCACTCCAGGGAAAGGATACTGCAAAATCCCCAATCCATCCCCACTCCAGGGTAAGGATACTGCAAAATCCCCATTCCCTCCCCACTTCAGGGGAAGGATACTGCAAAATCCCCATTCCCTCCCCACTCCAGGGGAAGGATACTGCAAAATCTCCATTCCCACCCCACTCCAGGGGAAGGATACTGCAAAATCCCCATTCCCTCCCCACTCCAGGGAAAGGATACTGCAAAATCTCCATTCCCGCCCCACTCTGGGACCAGCCAGAGGTGGTATTTGCCAGTTCTCCGAACTGCTCAAAATTTCCGCTACCAGTTCGCCAGAACCTGCTGGATTTCACCCCTGATATATGCGATCATACCAATCGTTATTGAAGAATATATTACCTTCCATTATGGTATCGATTATATAACCATCAAAATATTTACTCATCAGTTTTTTCTTTCTCGTGTAGTCCATATTTCGCACAAGTCCACTCATCTAACCTCTGAATCTGTAAAGCTAACCATTTGTAGAATCGTTTCCATGTTATTAAAATATTCCCAATTTTCTTTTTCTTTGATTTTTAGAGTTCACCTATCCATTTCTGCAGAGAGAAAATGTTTTTAAAAGCCCCGTCCAGGGGCAGGGATGACTGCCTTATCAGCACAGACGGCTCGGCTTTGGCCTGGTGGTTTTCTTGGAGATGTTTCACGACCCGTTTAGGTAACATCATCAGCGCACAGGGCATCATCAGGGACAGGGCGAGATTGACCAGAGAATTTAATGATGCCATGTTGTAATGCTTGTGTGGTTTTCATAGGTCTCTAGGGTATGTGTTAATGATATATTGCTGTCGTTTTAACTCTCCGCTGGGAGCTGCCCAGACTTGTGATGTAAGATGGGTGAGCTATGTAGATTTTTTTCAATCAATAAATAAGTATAGATAAAGCCCAGCTTCTCTCGGGGAAGCCAGCTGGGGAAAGGATCCAGGGCTTGGATGGAGATGCGATGCTCATTATTGACGGTTCTGGACAGCAGGGGTGAGAGAGAGGGGGAGAGAGAGGGGGGGGGAGAGATGGATAGAGGGATAGAAAGAAATAAGACAGGTAGGTAAGTAGATAGATAGATAGATAGATAGATAGATAGATAGATAGATAGATAGATAGACAGATAGACAGATAGAGGGATAGATAGATAGAGGGATAGAGGGATAGAAAGAAATAAGGCAGGTAGATAGATAGATAGATAGATAGATAGATAGATAGATAGATAGATAGAAATAAGACAGGTAGGTAGGTAGATAGATGATGAGAGAGAGAGATGGTAGATAGCTGGATAGAGGGCTAGATAGAAATAAGGTAGACAGATAGATAGATAGATAGATAGATAGATAGATAGATAGATAGATAGATAGAGGGATAGATAGAAATAAGACAGGTAGGTAGATGGATGATGAGAGAGAGAGAGAGATGGTAGATAACTGGATAGAGAGATAGCTAGAAATAAGGTAGGTGGGTAGGTAGGTAGATGGATCGAGGGATAGATAGAAATAAGAGGTAGGTAGGTAGATGATGAGAGAGAGAGAGATGGTAGATAGCTGGATAGAGGGATAGATAGAAATAAGTTAGACAGATAGATAGATAGATAGATAGATAGATAGATAGATAGATAGATAGAGGGATAGATAGAAATAAGACAGGTAGGTAGATAGATGATGAGAGAGAGAGAGAGAGATGGTAGATAGCTGGATCGAGGGATAGATAGAAATAAGACAGGTAGATAATGATAGATAGATAGATAGATAGATAGATAGATAGATAGATAGATTACAGAGGGATAGAGAGAAAGATACAAATAAGATAGATAGTAGGTAGATAGCCAGACAGACTGATTGCCTGCCTGATTGATTGATTGATGGATTGATTGATCGAGGCAATGTCGCCCAAAACCAGGCGGCATCTGATGGCACTTTTCCCAGGCATAATTTTATTAAAAAGACATCGGGACCATAGAGGCTTAGCCAGGGCTTTTTTTTTGGGGGGGGGGTCATCCCACCATCCTTGACTCCCCAACCCATCCTCCTGATCCTTCCCCCCCCCCAAACACCCTCCTGCTAGACCGGGCCCACCCCTCCGCCTGTCCTCCTCCCCCCACCCCACCCCCGTGTGTCCCCCATTAGCGCCCGGGGGCCGAACAAAGCCGGCGGGGGGGTGGGTGGGTGGGTGGGGGTGGGGGGAATAAGCAGGGAGGGGGCGTGGCCGAGGCCGGGAGGGGGCGTGGCTCCTGGCCGAGGAATACCCTTGGCTAAGCGGGCGCCGCCTTCCTTTTTTTTCCCCCGCTCGGGCCGCCTGGCTCCCCTGCGCGATCGGCGGCGCTCTGGGCTCGTGTCCGAGACAAAGGCTGCCTCGGCCGGGCCCCATGGCTTCCCCCCGCCGAGCCAGCCCGGGCTCTTCCTTCCCCTTCTTGGCAGCCGCCCTCGGGGCGCAGGTGAGTGGCTTTCAGGTCCCAGGCGCCTCTCGGAGGATGCTTCAGGTGGGAGGGAGGAAGGCGGCTTCTCACGACCCGCGGAACCCCCCGGGTCCATCCTAAGGGGCTGCGTCTCTTGGGAACCAGAAATCCGATCTGTAAAAGCAAACTTTAAGAGTCCCGGGGGAAAAAAATGGGAGGGGAGCGGGCTCAAATCTGTCATCCTTCAATGTCTTTCTTTCTTTCTTTCTTTCTTTCTTTCTTTCTTTCTTTCTTTCTTTCTTTTCTTTTTTCTTCCTTCCTTCCTATTATTCTTTCCTTCCTCCCTCCCCTTCTCTTTCTCCTTCCTTCCTTCCTTCCTATTATTCTTTCCTTCCTCCCTCCCCTTCTCTTTCTCCTTCTCCTTCCTTCCTTCCTTCCTTCCCAGCTTCTGATTCCACTTCCTTTCTTCCCACCCTCATTTCCATTTCCTTCCTTCTCATTTCCATTTCCTTCTTCCCTCCCTTCCTTCCTTCCCACCTCCTCATTTCCATTTCCTTCTTCCCTCCCTTCCTCCCTTCTTTCCCACCTTCTCATTTCCATTTCCTCCCTTCCTTCCTTTCTCCCTCTCTCCCTTCCTTCTCATCTTTTCATTTTCATTTTGTCCCTCCGTCCCTCCCTCCGCCCCTTCCTTCCTTCTTTCCTTCCTATTATTCTTTCCTTCCTCCCTCCCCTTCTCTTTCTCCTTCCTTCCTTCCTTCCTTCCCAGCTTCTGATTTCCACTCCCTTTCTTCCCACCCTCATTTCCATTTCCTTCCTTCTCATTTCATTTCCTTCTTCCCTCCCTTTCTTCCTGCCTTCCCACCTTCTCATTTCCATTTCCTCCCTTCCTCCCTTTCTTTCTCCCCCTCTCCCTTCCTTCTCACCTTTTCATTTCCATTTTCTCCTTCCGTCTCCTCCCTCTGTCCCTTCTTTCCTTCCTTCCTCCCTCCCTCCTTCCCTTCCTATTATTCTTTCCTTCCTTCCTTCCTCCCCTTCTCTTTCTCCTTCCTTCCTTCCCAGCTTCTGATTTCCACTTCCTTCTTCCCTCCCTCATTTCCATTTCCTTCCTTCTCATTTCCATTTCCTCCCTTCCTCCCTTTCTTTCTCCCTCTCTCCCTTCCTTCTCACCTTTTCATTTTCACCCTCCCTTCCTTCCTTCCTTTTTTCTTTTCTTTTCTTTTCTTTTCTTTTCTTTTCTTTTCTTTTCTTTTTCTCCATCCTGGAGACCCATTGGTTAAATCCAAACCGATACTGATTTTGGGAATAATTCACAGCTTGGCCAATCCACCTGCCTCCCTCCCTCCCTGTCCTGAATCGGAAATTTGTAATCGGTAAATCAGCCTGTGGTTTCGTTTCATACAAAAGCTTTATTTTTTTTTTAAAAAAACAAACCCTTTAGATTTTTGCAGGTTTGACTAGCCTTGATGAAAATCCTAAAAATTTGGAAAAATTGCTGGGTTGTTTTTTTTTTTAGCCGAGCTGTGTGTGTTTTGCTGGACAATCCTAAGGCACTCCCACCCACCACCCACCCCCGGTTGCAATAAATGAGTTTATAGTCCAAAGTTGAATAAATACGCTCAATAGTCCGTCTCTTTAGTCTTATTTTGGTAGAGCGGTGAAGAACGTGCATTTCAGGTTGAGTGAATGACAGCAGATTTTTTTTTTTTCTTTGTCGTCAAGCAGATCTCCGGTTAGGGAAGAACTTCCAGCCAGAATGAGTCCAGAACAAACCTGATTTCCAATGTTTTCATATGCACCAGCAGTGCGTATGTGTTGTGTTCATACAACTGAGTTGTGGGTTTTTTGTTTTGTTTTGTTTTGTTTTTTTGAGTTTGTCCTCAAGCCAAATGCAGCAGGGTATCTCCACCTGGACTGCTTGAAGATTTGTGTGGGACGTCAACTACCCAGAATTCCCCAGGCATGGGGAATTCTGGGAGTTGAAGTCCACATCTCTTCAAGCAGCCAATGGGAGTTGAGGTCCACGCATATCTTCGAGCGGTTGAAAAACATTGGGCTTTAGCATCTGCATTTGTGAAGGATGCTTGGTTGAATTTAACTTTGGCTCGTTTTTGAGGGTTTGTTTGAATTATTGGTTGAACTCAATCCCTCAATAATGGTACTATATGGTTTCCTGCCTAAGCAGGGGGTTGGACTAGAAGACCTCCAAGGTCCCTTCCAACTCTCATATTTCTATTCTATTCTATTCTATTCTATTCTATTCTATTCTATTCTATTCATTCCATTCCATTCCACTCCACTCCACTCCACTCCACTCTACTCTATTCCAAGAATAGATGCAAGTCATGAATTCTTCTATCTTCCATCCCCTCCCCTCCCCTCCCCTCCCATCCTATTCCATTCCATTCCATTCAATATGAATTGAAACTCTCCTCGGGTCACTCTGTAAATCCAGAAAGTAATTAATTCAAGAACTCAAGGCAGGAAATCTTGAATATCAGGGTATAATTTTGTGAGCCGCTCAGGGAGATCTGAGTCGTGGATGATTAGTCCTGTACTACTCGAGTCTGGTTCTCAAATCCATCAGATTAACAAGAGTTTTTTTTTTTAGCTGCTGTCTGTTTTTAAAAGAGCCACCAAATTAGGATTCAGGATTTGCCCTCTTGTCTTCCTTTTCCTGTGCTAAATATTCTATTTTTCAATCCTCTCCACCAGGCTGTGCCTTCCTTTTGTGAGATCCTCTGCAGCGGCCACCAAGAGTAAGTCAATTTTAAGTTATCATCTTTGAGAAGGTACCCAGGGAGTCCTCCACTTTCGACCACAACTGAGCCCAAAACTTCGGTTGTTAACTGAGTTTTGCTCCCATTTTAGGGCCTATCTTGCCACAGTGGTTAAGTGAATCACTTCAGTTGTTAAGTCCCCGTTGACTTGGCTTGTCAGCAGGCCGCAAAAGAGGCTCACATGACACCTGCCCCCCCCCAGGAGACTGCGACGGTCATAAATACGAGTCACCTGCCAAGCGTCTGAATTTTGATCATGGGGATGCTGCAACGGTCGTAAGTCTGAAAACTGGCCACAAGCCATGTTTTTCAGTGCCGTTGGAACTTTGGCCACTCAACGAATGGCTATAAGTCAAGAACTACCTGGGTATACCTTTCAAATATTTACAAGGTGGTGTTAGAATAGAATAACAGAGTTGGAAGGGACCTCGGAGGTCTTCTAGTCCAACCCCCTGCTTAGGTAGGAAACCCGACACCACGCCAGATTATCCAACATCTTCTTGAAAATTTCCAGTGTTGGAGCATTCACAACTTCTGGTGGCAAGTTGTTCCACGGATTAATTGTTCTCATTGTCAGGAAATTTCTCCTTAGTTCTAAGTTGCTTCTGTCCTTGATTAGTTTCCATCCGTTGCTTCTTGTCCTGCTCTCAGGTGCTTTGGAGAATAGCTTGACTGCCTCTTCTTTGGGGCAGCCCCTGAGATATTGGAAGACTGCTATCATGTCTCCCCTAATCCTTCTTTTCATTAAACTAGACATACCCAGTTCCTGCAACCGTTCTTCATATGTTTTAGCCTCCAGTCCCCTAATCCTCTTCGTTGCTCTTCTCTGCACTCTTTCTAGAGTCTCCACATCTTTTTCACATCATGGCGACCAAAACTGGATGCAGGATTCCAATCATGGCCTTACCAAGGCCTTATAAAGTGGTCTCAACACTTCACCTGATCTTGATTCTATTCCCTCTGTTGATGCAGCCTAGAATTGTGTCGAATCTCCCTGGTGGTTTTTTGCCTTCCAGTTACTCGCCTCCAAATTGGAAGTGAACAAAATCGGCCTGCCTTTTTCTTATTTGTTGTGGGTGCGCTGGATCAGGTGTGTGTGTGAGCTGGATCGAGTGATTTGATGATTGATCAGTGACTTCCTTCCCTTGCAGATGTTCCGAACAAGGGACCAGCTGGACAAGCTTGTGGTACGTTTGGTAAGTTGTATTTATTTATTTATTTATTTTTAATCGTTCCTGAAGCGTCTTTTGTTTCAGCAACAGCTCGCCGAAATTCAAACCCAGTCCTGGATGTCTCTCAGAGGGTGCTAAAATGTGGCTTGTTTTAACCACGCCTTTAGGAATAAACCAAGATTTGAATCCAGAGTCTCCAGAAGGAGACTTAGCTGGCAAAATAGTCTTTTCCAGTTGGGGGGCTGCCTCTATATTTGGGGAGTGGGGGGGTGGTACTTGCCACTGTTAACATTGGTTTAAAAGTGGGTCTTGGCCCATTTTACGGGCTTTCTCGCCACAATTGTTAAGTCAATCCCTGTCACATGGTTGTTAAGTGAATCTTGGCTTCCCTATGGACTTTGCTTCTCGGAAGGTCCCCAAAAGTGATTACGTGACCTCGGGGGCATCGCAACAGTCATAAGTACCAAGCCAAGCATCTGAATTTTTGATTGTGTGAATGTCGGGATGTTGTAGCAGTTGTGAATGTAAATGTGTATGAGACACTTTTTTTTTCAGTGTCGTTACTCTGGATATTAAACAAATGGTTGTAAGTCAAGGACTACCTGCATTAGAGTAGAAAAAGGGGTATATATTTCTGTGTTTATGTTTGCGTAGAAGTATCCCTGCATACACAGAAATTCAGGCAAACCTACAAATTGATTTGCAGTAGTGCACTGAGAGCGTATGCACCAAGACAAATTCCTTGTGTGTCCAATCACACTTGGCCAATAAAAAATTCTATTCTATTCTATTCTATTCTATTCTATTCTATTCTATTCTACTCTACTCTACTCTACTCTACTCTACTCTACTCTACTCTACTCTATTCCTGTCCTGTCCTGTCCTGTCCTGTCCTCTCCTCTCCTCTCCTCTCCTCTTCTCCTCTCCTCCTATCCTATCCTATCCTATCCCATCCCATCCCATCCCATCCCATCCCATCCCATCCCATTCCATTCTCACTTCTCTCTTCTCTCTTCTCTTCTCTTCTCTTCTCTTCTCTTCTCTTCTCTTCTCTTCTCTTCTCTTTTATTCTATTCCATTCCATTCCATTCCATTCCATTCCATTCCAATCTATCCTGCACTACTCTACTCTACTCAACTCTGCTCTACTCTATTCTATACACTACTCCTCTCCTCTCCCCTCCTCTCCCCTCCCCTCCTCTCCTCTGCTCTATTCTATTCTATTCTATTCTACTGGCCAAAATTGTGGAAACCTTTTGGGAAAAGTGTATTTTCTAAAACTAGTTCATAACACCACTTTATTTTGGAGTAGTACCCTATAAAATTTATATATCCATGGAAAGAGTATTTAATCAAGAATGTAATGCCATAACTTTTATGAAGGATTTGCCATTAGAATAGCAGTTACAAAGGAGAAAACTGAAACACGTAGAAAAAAAAACGAGATATGTAAAAATGATCCCCATGTCAGTTAATGCTTAATTGGGTAACCTTTAGCATGAATGACGGCCTTACAACGTCTTTCCATGGACTGAACCAAGACTTTGTGTTCTACAGCTGTTATAATGTGAAACCAAGATTGAATGATGGTTTCTATTAACTGGGTTTTATTGCTGGGTCGTTTCTGGCTAACAGGTTTCTTTAGTCAGAAAATCCACAGATTTTCAATTGGGTGAAGATCGGGGCTATTCCCAGGCCATTCCAGCAGTGGAATAGGATGATCTTGAAACTCCAAAAAAAAAAAGAAAAAGAGTGATGTTATTAGCCATCAAACCTCAAAAAATACAACTTTTCCCAAAAGGTTTCCACAATTTTGTCCACTACTCTATGGTGGAATTACAATATAGTAATGGCTGGGAATGTTGAGATTTGTAGTACCCTCAACCTGAGCAGGAGCAGAGACTACGCCAACCCTCTCTGTTAGTTGGGACGATCCCAGAGGTGAACAATTAAAGGCAAAAAAACAAAAACAAAAAAACGATTTGGTTCTTCTAGGGCCCGTCCTCCTCCGCCTTTGTTCTTCGGATGAATTCATCGGTTCTCTTCTCAATTCTTGCCAAAATTCCTGCCTGCTGAGGGTGTGTGTGACTCATCAACACACCAAGTTTGTGGGTCAACATCCTGGGCTGTTAGAAACTTGAGAAGTTTGCCGCACCCGGAAAAAAAAAAAAGTGGGCGGATTTTCCTCTTTGCCGTGATTCAGATGACCGGGTTTTGTTGGTGGAAGAAGTCAAGCGCGGGGCAGGCCCTTCGACTCATTCTGACTTGGCTTTTGGGGGATGTTTGGCATATTTCAGGATGAGGTCAGGTTTCCACCTACTTCTCTCTGTTGCTTCCGGGGGAATGTTGAAAGAATAAAACAACAGGAATCGTGTTTTTAAGGCGATGAAATACGACGGCTTGTTTGCATTCAACCACTAATTTGCAGAAACCGCATAAGTGAAGCAACCAACTGGCTTCCCAGTTTCGTGTTGCTGCCATCCTGGACGAGGAAAATCAGGTCATTCATTCAAGCTGCAATGTATACTGCTCAAAAAAATAAAGAAATGCATAAATAAATAAATAAAATAAAAAAATAAAAAAATGCAAGAGCCTGTAGTACAGTGGACTAAAGCACTGTTATTAACATCATTATTAACATCTGCTGCTTGCAATTACTGCTGGTTCGAATCTCGCCAAGGCTCAAGGTTGACTCAGCCTTCCATCCTTTCAAAGATAGGTGAAATGAGGACCCAGTTTGTGGGGGCAATAAGCTGACTTTGTATAAATATACAAAAGTATGAAGGCTATTGCTTAACGCATTGTAAGCCGCCCTGAGTCTCCGGAGAAGGGCGGCATATAAATCAAATTTAAAAAAATAAAAAAATAAAAAAAATAAAGGGAACACAAGGAGATCCGAGATCTGAATGAATGGAATAGCCTTACTAAATACTTTGTTCTTTACATACAGTAGTTTATACACTGCTCAAACAACTAAAGGGAACACAAAACTACTGTATGTAACAAACAAAGTATTTAATAAGGCTATTTCATTCATTCAGATCTTGGGTGTCTTCTGCTTGTGTTCCCTTTATTTATTTATTTATTTTAATTTGATTTATATGCCGCCCTTCTCCGGAGACTCAGGGCGGCTTACAATGCGTTAAGCAATAGCCTTCATACTTTTGCTTATTGCCCCCACAAACTGGGTCCTCATTTAACCTACCTTAGAAAGGATGGAAGGCTGAGTCAACCTTGAGCCTTGGCGAGATTCGAACCTGCAGTAATTACAGGCAGCTGGTCTGCAGCTGGTTTTTGAGTAGTATATATTACTTGGCCTAAGAAACAGAAGTCAGATGATAACATTACAAAGGGTAGTTCTTTTGTGTGAATCATTAAGGATTTGGGCAATGTTTTACCTAGAAATGTTAAATCCCTAACTTTCTGAGTGCCTGTTTTCTTTTTTTCTTTTTTTGTTCTTTTTGTCTTTTGCCGATCTGCGTTACTGCCCGATGAACAGATTGCTTAATAGTGCAAAAGTTTTATGAGGGTTTTTTTTTTAGGACTTAATTGGTAATTGGTGGGGGCGGGAGATGTGCGTGCACACACACATGTGCGTAAAAAATCTCTTTGCCTTCCTCCCTCTCTCCTGCTTTCTCTCCTTCCTTCTCTCTTTTCTCCCTTCCTTCCCTCCCTCCCTCTTTTACCCTTCCTTTCTTCTTTCTTTCTTTCCTCCCTCCTTCCTGCTTTCCCTCTCCTTCCTTCCCTCCCTCCCTCCTTCCTTCCTTCTTTCCTTCTTTCTGTCTTTGCCTTCCTCCCTCTCTCCGGTTTTCTCTCCTTCCCTCTCTCTTTTATTCCTTCCCTCCCTCCCTTTTTTACCCTTCTTCTTTCTTTCCTCCCTCCTTCCTGCTTTATCTCTCCTTCTTCCGTCCTTTCCTTCCTTCTGTCTTCGCCTTCCTCCCTCTCTCCTGTTTACCTCCTTCCCTTTCTCTTTTATTCCTTCTCTCCCTCCCTCCATCTTTTACCCTTCCTTTCTGCTTTCTTTCCTCCCTCCTTCCTGCTTTCTTTCTCCTTCCTTCCTTCCTTCCTTCCTTCCTTCCTTCCTTCCTTCCTTCTCTTTCTCTCCTTCCTACCTTTCTCCCATCTTTTATCCTTCCCTCCCTCCCCTTCTCTTTGTAATCCCATTCACTGACTTTTCCCATTTTCACCCCGCAGGCTTATCCTGCTCACCGTCTTCCTGCTCCTGATGTGCGGGATCGGAGCCAGCTGTGCCAAATTCTGCTGCCGCACCAAGCAGCCCCTGCGCCAAACCTTCCCGCCCCATGCGCACGACCTGACCGTCATCCCCATGGAGCATGACAGCACCGCCCACAGCACGGTTACCTGTAAGTCAACCCTGACGGGCTTCTCTTTTTCTGGCATTCTCTAAAAATCTGGAGTTTTAGGCATGAACATACTCCACGGTCAAATGAGCAAAATTCAGTGTTGGTATTCAGCCGGTTCGGACCTGTTCAGGCGAACTGGTAGCGGCGACAAGCCAAGTCAAAGGGGAAGCCCGATTTGTTTAACGACCGGGTGGCTAACCTAACCGTTGTCATGATTCACTTAACAACGGTGGGATGAAAGGTCGTAAAACTGGTCAAAATTCAACGGACCAACTGTCTCACTTAGCAATGAGGAAATGTTGCATTCAGTTGTGGTCGGGAGCTGAAGACTATATTGCTTTTCTATTCTTCTCGTTTTCAGCTTTCAGCGGAGTCGCTCAGAGGCAAAGAAAATGTATATTTGATTATTCATGTAATAACCGCAGCTAGAATTGTATCCGCACAAAACTGGAAAAGTGAAGAGATTCCTACAGAGAAGAATATGATAAGGAAAATAGTAGAATGTGCGGAAATGAATAGATTAACACTGGCAATGAAAGAGAAAGAACAAACTGGTTATTATGCAACATGAGAAACATTTTATCGATGGTTAGAGGACAAATATAAACATTAGAAATAAAAGTAGACGAGTAAAATATAGAAAATAGTTAATAGAATTAATAGATTTAAGCAAATTAAAAAGTAGACGTAAAGTATTAGATATTTAATGTATTGGTATTAAGTTAAAAATAGATTAAATAATGAATATGATCGTAAATTTTAACTGTTATTGCACAAACATTGGTACCCAGACGACACACTGTTTAATGTAAAATGGATTATTTGTACTAAAATAAAATAAAATTAGGAAAAAAAAGAGGGAATTGGACGGCCCTGTACATTTTCTTGTATTAAAAATAAAAATAAATGAATAAATAAAATACTGGAGCCTAATCTTTCTGCTTCGTTGTTTTTTACAGCATACAGCTCCCTCCAGTACCCTCCCAACGTCTCCCTCTCACTGCCTTTTGGAGACCCGGATAGGAACACGGCTTGTCCTCCAGCCTACAGCCTCTACGCCATAGAGATGCCCCCCTCCTACGACGAGGCCATCCGGATGTCCAAGCCTCACGACGAGACTCCGTCAGCGGGCCAGAAACCGGACGGCGGCACCTGTGAACCGGCAGCCTCAGCGAGGGAGCGGAACGAAACTCCCAGGTTGCCCGGATCATCCCAAAACTGCCCCATGGAGGCGCAAGAGAACCCGGGGGACGCGTCCACCGGTACTTCCTCCCCCGAGCAGTCATAGCGGTCTCTTCGATAGGGGAACAGGGAGAATACGGACCGAAGTCGCGGTGGAGAAGGGAAATTTGATCATCGGTGTTTGGATCCAGTGTCTCCTGCCGCTTTCTGAGTACCGTTGGACTTTTCGAGGAAATGGAAATCAGATCCTTGCTCCCCACCCACCCCTCCGTGTCTGAAGTATTCAAGGTGAAAAATAAAGCTTTGGGGATGACAGGCCCCCCCTACCCTTAGAGCAAGAGTCAGCAACCTGTGGCTCTGGAGCCGCATGTGGCTCTTTCACCCCTCTGCTGCGGCTCCCTGTCACTCAAAAAAGGCGTCACAACCGCCAATGTGCGACACCCGCCGGCACGCGATTTATTGAGCTTTTCAACCCCCGGTAGGCCGACCATGGATAAATCCAAGGAAAGAAAAGTTTCAGAAGAAAACAGAACGTTTAATTCAACTACATATGCTAGTTTTGCGGCCGCTCAAGGAATAGTCAGGCACGGGAAGGGTTTTGTGGCTCCCGGTGTTTTCTTTTCTGTGGGAAACGGGTCCAAATGGCTCTTTGGAGTGTTGAAGGTTACAGACCCCTGCCTTAGAGGTTCAGCTGCCTTGAATGCATTGGATTAGCAGAAAAATGTCTGCCTGCTGGACTTAAAGGGGATCGAAGGGTCTCTCTACCCCACACCCTGCCATCGGGGGGAGCAAGTACAGATTTAATCTCTCTTTCTTCTGCGGAAGACTGGATTTTCTAGCAAATTGCTGAAAGATGGGGATTCGTTGCTATGTAACGGCCAAGCTTGAACCCAGGGCCCTGTTTTTTTTAAAAAAAATTCCTATGTTCTTCTTTTGATAGACTTGGGCAGTATTTTCCAAGGTACCAAGGTTTTGGAAATTCTTTTGGAGAAAGGCCAAAGTTCCATTTTTTAAAAAAAATCCTAAATCCAAACCAGGAATATACTGTAGTTTCTCAGTGTTTGCGGCCCCCGATTTCCTCGTCTCCTCCTCCCAAGACGATTGTCGTGTCCCATTGGAATGTGAATTCTGCGTTGGGATATTTCGAGTTCCTGCTGCGGATTTAAAAAGAACGGTGCCCGTCTTTTCGCCAAGAAACCATAGATTTTTTTTAAAAAAATATTTTGAATCTAGCAATATTCTGCTGAAACCACGAAGCATTTTGTATTTTAGGTAATTCGTTTTTAAAAAATGTTTATGTATATCATTTTCTGTTTGTATGTGTTGTATATAGAAGGTCAACCTATTGGGAGAATTCCTTATATAAATACTCCGCTGAATAGTTTTGTTTTTTTTTCCCCCATTGATCTAATTTTTCATCCATAGCTGAAAACGAATCTGAAATAAGTCTCTAATATTTGTCACCTTTAAGGAATGGGTGTGTTTTGCTGTGTTATTTTTCTATTTGAATCATTCATTGCCTCTGGAGTATACCCCCGTTTCGCAGGAGAGGTAGTCCTCGATTTACAACCAACAATTGAGCCCAAAATTTGTCTGGCTAAGCGAGGCATCGGTTAAGCGAATACCAAAATGGCAGCCTCACACAATTCAGCGGGCTAGGAAGTCCTAACAAACCAGGTTACAGCTTAGCAGAAGTTGTGATGTTCTCTTTTGCGCAACTCCTCGGGAGTTTCAAAGAACACACTAGTGTTGTGTACAGAGTACCAAGTGTCGTCCAGTTTCCCCCCCAAAAAAAACTTGTGTGTTAAATGTGACACAGGCTTTATTGACAAAAACTCAACGAGGGTAAAACATTCTGTCTGAATGTAGCTACTAAAGGTTTGAAATCCTGTAGTCTCGGCTCAAGTAGGTTTTGTTTCATGCCTCTCACAACTTTCACAAGACTCTTGCTGTGACTTTACGCGTTGCTGTTTGATGTCCAGGTTCTGCCACGGTCTTTTACCGCCACCCCGTGACATCACAGGAGGACGAGAAAGCAGATAGGAGAGATGAAACCGAAAAGTTTCTCGGAGGTCTTACTGAGTCAGTTTGAAGGATTCGCCTGTCATCATGGCCACAAATTCTAGGAAGGAAAAAAACAAAGCTAGAGCAAGAAGGTAGAAATTTCCTTTTTTGTTTTTAACCCGTGTCCGTCCTTCCTTGCCATCAAACATGTTGACAGGATATTAGGGTGGGGCCTTCGCTAACAGTGGTGGCTTTTACGTCCCAAAGACCAGCCCATTGATTTCCATTGCTCTCCTCTCCTCTGCCTTCTGCGCATCCGCACGTCAGGCACTGGACCCAGCTGTTCCTCCTCTTCCTCATCAGCCGCCTCCAGACCTGGGGGCTGTTGACTCTCCATCTGAGGGCTGACGGACGGCCCAGGCTCCTCCTCTGTCTCTCTCTCTCTCTCTGACAGCGCCATGCCCAGCTGAGCTGCACGATCATCAGAGGCTGTTTTTTTTACTTTTAAAAGCATTTTTTATACAACCTTTTCAGCCGAAAAAAATGCTTTTAAAAGTTTAAAAAAAAGCCTCTGATGATCGCGCGGCTCAGCTGGGATCATCGGAGGCTTTTAAAAGCATTTTTTTCTACAACCTCTTTGACTGAAGAGGCTGTGGGGGGAAAAAAATGCCTTTAAAAGCCTCTGATGATCCCAGCTGAGTTGCCTGATCGTCAAAGGCTTCTAAAAGCATTTTTTTTCTGCAACCTCTTTGGCCAAAGAGGTTGTAGAAAAAATGCTTTTAAAAGCAAAAAAAAAAAAAAAAGTTGGCCACCCCCACCTAGTCACAGTCCCCCCCCACTAAGCCACGCCCACAGAACCAGTAGTAAAAGAATTTTAAACCCACCACTGACACCGTTAACCAACTCAGAACCATCTGGAATGAGCTCCCCCCGGAGATACGGAGGATCCCAGATTTACGCACTTTCCGCCGCGCCCTCAAAACATTTTTATTCCAGCAGGCTGGCCTGGCTTGACTCTCCCTTTTAATTTGCTTTTAGTTTTATATAAATTGGGTGTTTTTAAATTCGTTTTTTGGGCCAAAATTATTTAATGTACTTTTAATTGGTTTTTTAACTTTTGTATGATGTATTTTTATCTTGTGCCTGTTCATCTCCCTGAGTCCTTCGGGAATAGGGTGGTATATAAATTGTATAAAATAAAATAAAAAAAATAAAGAAGTTAAAAGCAGCGTGAAATCAAATGGCAAAGAAATCTCAGAATAAGAGAGTAGGTGAAAATTCAAGCCAATGTGTTTAATTGCAAAATAAATAAATTTATTTTGCTGTAGTAGGTGAATCAGTTTTTAATCCGGATGGCGCCGTCTAGTGGACAATTGGAGGCATGGCGGGCCTGTTTGCTTTCATGGCTTTCCCTATAATTTCCCAATTCCATCTTTTTATGCTCAGCTTTTTAACCAGGCTGTGGGAGAATTCTGGGATTTGAACTTTCAAGACATCTCGTGGGGGAGACTGTTCCTATCTTTGGCATCAGATAAAACAGGCAGTTAATCAACTTGTTTCTGGCAAACATAGGCAGATGCTGTAACTTGTTTGTGACTCTTAATTTTTAAAAGTTAAGTCTACCAGCCCAGCTAGGTGCAAAGATGGCGCTGGAAGATGGAACTAAGTTTAAAATGGAGGAATAAATGTGCAGCATTAACAGTTTCTCAACAGTAGAACAAGCCAGCATCTAAATCACCAAGCCAGCATCTTAATCTATAACAAGCCAGCATCTAAATTCTTCCAGGGGAAGATAATTCTGACAGGCAGCTTGGAGAAGCAAGAGCTTTTAATTCTAAACCACTGTAACTGGGAGATGGGAGAAGTTGCCGTCCCAATATTGTCATATGATTGCCATGAAAACTGCACACGTGTATCCATATGATCTTGATCTCTTAATTTACCAGCCCTGTTACCTTTTCAATGTTCAGAATTAGCACTTTCCTTTCCTCACTCCCTATCCTCTTTCCTTTCGTGTCGAGACCATTTTAGACTGTCGACCTGCAGGCCAGGAATTGTCTTTATCCATTCCGGGAGCTTTTAATAAATTAGTCTCCTTTTCAATAAATTAAAATAATCGTGCCGTCTCAATTTACCTAGAACTGAGTCTTAAACTGTACGTTCTTCAAGGCAACTTTTTTGGCTCACGTCATCGGATGTCAGCCGGGGATTATAGCAATATAGCAATCGCACGTAGACTTATATACCGCTTCACGGTGCTTTTACAGCCCCCCTCTAAGTGGTTTACAGAGTCAGCCGCCAACAATCTGGGTCCTCGTTTTACCGACCTCGGAAGGATGGAAGGCTGAGTCAATCTTGAGCCGTCAGTCAGGATCGAACTGCTGGCAGTGGGCAGAGTTAGCCTGCAATACTGCATTCTAACCACTGGGAGGGAGGGAGGGAGGGAGGGAGGGAAGGAAGGAAAGGAAGGAAGGAAGGAAGGAAGGAAGGAAGGAAGGAAGGAAGGAAGGAAGGAAGGAAGGAAGGAAGGATTCATTTTACCCACTAAAAGGTTTACAGAGTCAGCCTTTTGCCCCCAACAATCTGGCTCCTCGTTTTACCGACCTCGGAAGTACTGAGTCAACCTTGAGCCTGGTGAGATTCGAACTGCCAAACTACAGGCAGCCGGCAGTCAGCTGAAGTAGCCTGCAGTACCGCACTCTAACCACTGCGCCATTATGCTTCCGATACCTTCGTAGTCAATGGTCCCATCCCCGTCCTTGTCGGCTTCCTTCATCATGAGTTCAGCTTCATGTTCGTCCAGCGGTTCTCCGGCGTTCATCAATACGTATCTTTAAAAAGGGCAGAAAAACACGAGAAGGCTCGAATTACCCCTTATAATCCTGAGGCTCCACCTCAGGCCTTTTGGCTGCTTACTTGAGCGTGTCCCACTCGATGTAGCCCTTGTGTTCTTTGTCGAAGACTTTAAAGGCGGCTCGGAGTTCCTCGTCCTGGTTTTTGGATTTCTCGTGGTAGATGCCCATCAACACCAGAAACCCATCGCAGTTGAAGGTGCCTTTTTCTGGAGGAAAAAAGAGACCACAAGAGATCAAATCTGCATAGAAAGATTCTGCATAGATTCTGCATAGATTCTTCAGCTCACGTGAAGGGTGAAGACCACGTTATAAGGCCGTGGTAAGGCCACACTTGGAATTCGGCATGCAGTTTTCGTCACCATGATATTAAAAAAAAAAAAGATTTGGAGGCGCTAGAAAGAGTGCAGAGAAGAGCAACAAAGAGGATTAGGGGACTGGAAGCTAAAATATATGAAGAACGGTTGCAGAAATTGGGTATATCTAGTTTGATGAAATGAAGGACCAGGGGAGACATGATAGCAGTCTTCCAATATCTCAGGGGCTGCCCCAAAGAAGAGGCAGTCAAGCTATTCTCCAAAGCACCTGAGGGCAGGACAAGAAGCAACGAATGGAAACTGATCAAGGAGAGAAGCAACTTAGAACTAAGGAGAAATTTCCTGTCAAACGAGAACAATTAATCAGTGGAACAACTTGCCACCAGAAGTTGTGAATGCTCCAACACTGGAAGTTTTTAAGAAGAGGTTGGATAACTATTTGTCTGAAGTGGTGTAGAGTTTCCTGCCTAAGAAGGGGGTTGGACTAGAAGACCTCTAAGATCCCATCCAACTCTGTTATTCTATTCTAGACTTGCTCCCAATTGACTTTATTTTTTGGGGGGGGGCTGTCATCTTTTTTTCTGCAGCCAGAGACGGAGTCTTCCCACAAAGATTTGGGGACTCAGAAGAAGGCAGGAGGGTAACTAGCAACATCCAGAGATCCCTTAGATGGAACAGAAAGGAATATTAAGCCTACTTTAAGGCTGTTACGACTGATCTCAGTTTATGGCTCACCTCAAAAAGGAAGAGAAGTCAGGACGATGGGAGACCACCAGGAAATTTTGAGCGGGTCAACCGGGAGCAAAAGAAAACGAAACCCGTCAGAAAACCACAATAATAAACTTTGGGTTACAGACAGTCACCAGGAGTGGAGCTTTGCTCATAGGAGATTTTAAACATGAATCCCACAAAATATCCTGCATAACGTTAGCAGTGCTCAGTTCGATCAATCTTTCTGCAGATCTGCACCCCAATAACTGCCTGCAAGGCTTTGAGCCCTATTGCAAATGTGATTTCTGGTTTGTTTGTTTTTTAAAAAATTAATATTAAAATCCAAAGTTCCCATTTTCTTTAACGCCGTTAAACAAGTCATCTATTTTTTGTACCCCTTCAGCACCGGGGACGAGGAAGGGAAGGGGAAGTGGAAGGGGCTCAGCGCACCCTACAGTTTCCAGTAACTTCTGTATGAGATGAAATTTGCATAAACTTCTTCAAAGAAGTC